GGAGCCGTCCAAGAAGTCGCTTCAATATCTTTCTCGGGCGAGGCAGAGGCGGTGGTGGAGGGGGAGGGTGGGGGGGCAGGGGCGGCGGCGGCGGCGGCGGTGGTGGTTGAGGCGGCTGATGCGGAGATTGCAATCTCGGAGAGGGAGGCGCCGTCGTCGGAGTGGGAGGGGGAGGGGTGGGGGGCGGAGGCTGGACTGCCCGCCCCCGCCTCCTCCCAGCCCCTCTCCTCCCCGCCTCTCTCTTCCCAGCTCGCGCCGGGCTGGTCAGAGGCGCGGCGGGCGGGGGGCAGGAGCGGGCTGCCTTTACCGCGCATGGCGCTCCTCTGACCGGCGCTGCGTGTTTCCTTTCTCAGGCGTGGACGGAGGAGGGGGAGGCGTACTACTACAACGAGGCCGCCGGAGATGCGGGCGGGGGGGCGTGTGTGAAGGAGCCGGTGCGGCTTGAGGATGAGCTGCTAATGAGTAGGCGCGGCTGGAGAGAGAGGCGCCGCGGGGGCGGCAAGGAGTCGGTCAGTCGCTTAAGACTTGGCTCGTGGTTGATGGGTATAGGCCACGGGGGAGACGTCATGGGACCCGCCGCCAAGCGAGGGGTACCCTGCTGAGGAGGGGTACCCTGCTGAGGAGGGGTACGCTGGTGGGGAGGGGTACGCTGGTGGGGAGGGGTACGCTGGTGGGGAGGGGTACGCTGGTAGGGAAGGGTACCCTGCTGGGGAAGGGTACCCTGGTGGGGAAGGGGGCGGGTACTACCCTGAGGAGGCTGCCAGGGCCGAGGAGACCACCGAGGCGGAAGCGGAGACGGCGGCGCGGCAGGGCGCGGCAGCGGCGGCGACGGCGGTGGCGGCCGCGGCGGCGGCGGAGCAGGCGGCGGCGGAGGCGGCAGAAGCGACCGAGGCAGCCGAGGTGGCGGTGGCGGCGGATCAGGCGGCGGCGGAGGCGGCGGAGGCGGCGGCTGCTGCTGCCGAGGCGGCGGCGGAGGAGGCTCGAGCTGCTGCTGAGGAGGAGTCCGCACGGCGGCTGCAGGCAGATGGTCCGAGATTGTCCGAGATGTGGCCCGAGATGTGGCCGAGATATGGGCCAATCTTGTGATAACTAATCATTGATTGTTGAGCCCCCTTCCCCGCAGGCGGCCGTGCGGGGGCGGCTGGCGAAGGCAAAGGTGCACACGATGCGTTTGGCGATGGCTGCGAAGCTGGCGGCGGCGGAGGCGGAGAGGGTGGCGGCGGAGGAGGCGGCGGCGGCGGAGGCGGCGAGGGCGGCGGCGGAGGCGGCGGCGAGGGCAGATGCGGCGGAGGCGGCGGCGGCGGCGGCGGCGGCGGCGGAGGCTGAGGCGGAGGCGGCAGAGGCGGCGGCGAGGAGAGCTGAGGCGGAGGAGGCGGCGCGGCAGGCGGCGGCGGAGGAGGAGCTGGCCCGCGAGGTCGAGGGGGGCGCTCGGCGCTGAGCTGGCGAGGCGTGGTTAGCTGATGAGTTGACCATTGAGCCTTCAGGTCGAGGAGGCGCTCGCCGCGGAGCTGGCGAGGGAGGAGGCGGAGGAGGCTGCTGCTGCTGCTGCTGCGGCGGCGGCGGCGGCGGCGAGGCAGGCGGCGGCGGCGGCGGAGGCCGCGGCTGCTGCTGCTGCGGCGGCGGAGGAGGCCGAGGCTGCTGCTGCGGCGGCGGCGGCGACGGGGGCGGAGGAGGAGGCGGCGGCGGCGGCTGCAGAGACGGCGGCGGCGGAGGCTGGTGTCAAGGACAAGCTACCAGAGCAGGCGGCGGCGGCATCTGCGGCCGGCGGCGACGACTGGGGCGAGATGGACGATGGCTGGGGGTGAGCGAATTATCATCGGCAGTCAGTTAGCTCGTTTGGTGAATCAGAGATGGACGCCGGTCTGGGGTCGCCCGTCGCTATGTCTGTCGGCTCGGGAGCCTGACCCACCAATCAACAACTCACTCCTCCCCGCTGCTTAGGTCTCCCGCCGTCATGTCTGTCGGTTCGGAGACCAACTCGGCCAAGGGCCACTTCTCCGACTCGCGCACCCTCCACTCCCAGTCAGGCAGCCATCGATGGCCAGTGATCGATAGGCCACTCCTCCGACTCGGGCACTCTCTCCGCCGGCTCCTCCGGGCAAGTTCTCCGCTGTCGCCGACGGAGATCAGCGGTTCACATTCAACCATCGGAGTGGGACGGAACTAGGCACTCGATGTCGACTGCGACTCCCGCCAGTCGCGCCACGCCGGTCGCTGCGCAGGGCAGCGACGAGAGCAACGGCAGCAACGGTAGCAACGGGTGGGACGACGAGTCGTGGGGCAAGGAGTGGTGAAGACGGGGAGGGGGGGGCGAGGCACCTCAAAGCCCCGGGCCCGGCCGCGCCTTGGCGGTGTGTGAGCATGCTCGCGTGGTGCGGGCTAGAGTTTTTGTGGCCGGTGGCGCCTCGGAGGGAGTGGGGGGAGGCGGGGTAGGACGATGAATACGCTCAAGGGGGCTCGAGCCGCTCAGGTTGCTTGCGGGCGTGCGGGACTCCGATCGGGTGTCATTTTCGGACATGACGGCTATAAGGGTTGAGTTGCACGAGACATATGGGACACGATGTCTACCGATCACATCGAATCGATGTCTCAAATATGAGAGGTTTTGACTCCTACCGGCTCCTGACGCTATCCCTGGCAGAGCTCTAATGACCAGGATCAGTAGTGTTGTGATAGAGGCCGGTGCGCGGTGCCCATACTAGCGCAGGAGCTGGCAGCAGGCAGCTGCCACACTGTGAGCACACTCGCCCGGACCGTCCCCTTCTGGGGCCGGTTCCGCAGCCCGCGAGAGCCGACAGCCTGTAGGTGATGAGCTCTGCAACCGAGGAGAGTGAGGGTGCGCCTCCCCTCACTGCTGGCCTGGCTGCGCACCGCCCCACAAAGCACCCCCTCGAGCATCTCTACAAGTACAAGTACAAGGGCGACCTTCTCCAAGTCGTCAACACGCCCGGCGGCTCCGACAAGACTTTAGCCTTGGCCACCCTCCTTGCGGAGCAGGAGGAGATCCGCTCTCGGCAACGTGGCAGCTATTGCAATAGTCGAGAGACTCGGTAGTTGTGACCCCCCTCTGTCGGCTCTGAGTGAGGACAGGAGAGAGAGAGCTTTTGTGGTGTTGGTGTACGCAATAACGGGACAGGGTAGTCGTTCTCTCTAGCTCCCCTTCTAGCTCTTAGCATGAGCTGCGCCCTGTGTCCGACCCCTTTTGCGCAGCAACACCTTAAACTTTTAGGCCCTCCAAATTCGGGTCGGAGCGTAGCGGAGTGGGCCCCGAGTTTGTTTGAAAAAGGGCGACGGACGCTTGCGTCCTAGCCTCCAACAACGCCTCCCCGGCGCAGAGGGCCCCCCGGAGGGATGCTCAACCGCTCCACGCCACGCCGCTTGCGGCGGTCCTATTCCCAGCTCCGCTGAGGGCCCGTGCGTTATTTGGGCAATTTTTCACTTGTTTTCAGGGAATTCGGCCATGCTATCACGCCTTGCGACAGCCTGTCGGCGCTGCTGACCGTGCCATGCTGCTCAACTGACCGCCTGCATAGCTCGCGGCCTTAGTCTTCAGCATTCAGTGACGACCTGATCGTAGGCAGGGCAAGCGGGGGCGGGGGGCACTCCCACAGACGTATGTATCTGTGGTGACTGTCTCCAGTCTCGGAGGGGGGCAAGAAGGTAAGAATATCTAAAAAAATTTTGGAACTTGTGCCCGCCTCCTTCACCCACGAGCTCTAGATACAGTCGTATGCCACGCACGTCGCCGCCTGTGTTTGGGTTTCTATGTTTTCGATTTGGAATTTGGCATTTGTCCAACTCTTTTGTTTATTTATTTATTTACCTCTGCGCGTCTAGACCCCACTGTCACCCGTCCCCTCCGAAGATCGCCTCCACCTCCACCAGCAGGTCCGCCGCGGCCAGCGCCGCCATCATCTCCTCCGCCTCCTCCGCCCAGCCTGGCTCCTTCGCGGCGGACCAAGAGCGGACGACGCCGCGCCCCTTTGTGTGCGCGCCCAGCATCGCCTCCGTCGCCTGCGCCTGGCTTAGCCCGGCCGCCACCAGCGCCGCCTCCACCGCCTCCCGCCTGTTGACGCCGTCGTTGTACAGCAGCAGCACCGCGCCCGCCGCCACGTCGCACCCCGACGGCACGCACCTCGCCGCAATCTCCTCCGCCGCCGCCCTCGCTGTGTCGGAGGAGAGCGCATAGTTGCCGAGCGCGCGCAGCTCCGGGCGGACCAGCGTATTGACGCCGACGACGCGGCCGTCTGCGGTCAGCAGAGGGCCGCCCGACATGCCTCCCGCCAGCGCTGCGTCGGTGACAAGAAAGTCCGAGGCGGTGCCCTTGTCTCGGGCGGAGAGGATGCCGAGGGTCGCGGCGCCTCGCAGCCCGGAGGGGTGTCCGAGGGCGACGAGGAGCTCGCCGATCCGCACCACGGCCGAATCTCGCAGCGGCAGCGGGCGGAGAGAGGCGGCAGCGTCAGGGAGCGCGAGGAGGGCGATGTCGATTCCTCGGCGCGCGCGACCGACGACCTCCGTCGGATAGGTCGCGTCGAACCCGTCCGAAGCCAGCGCAACCTCGAGCCGCCAGCCGCCCTTGCACACGTGCGCCGAGGTGAGGATGAAGCGGCGCTCGCCGACGCCAACCACAAAGCCGGAGCCCTGAGTGGTCGCGTTGCGGACGCCGCTCGGCCGGATCAGCACGAGCGAAGGCAGCGTCGACTCATGCAGGTCCGCGACGAAGGAGCGATCGAGCAGAGGCGCGGGATTAGGCGCGCAGCAGCGCACAGCCGCAGGAAGGCGTGGACACAGCCGCCGCGAGACGGTCGGCGCGACGCTTGCGGCGAGGGCGGCAAGCGTGGAGAGCATACTCGGAGCCATGTGTACAGCCCGCCCGAACAGGAAAGCTGGCGCCGATAGGCGAGGCCGATAGGCGAGGGCCGGTCTCTTGTCCCCTCCGGAGACGGAGGGCTCTGACTGACTCGGACCGCTGCGCCGCTGAGCCTGCCAGTGGGCCTTTACTCCGCCCCCCCCCCCCCCCCCCCACCCCCCACCCCCTGCCTGGGTTGGTTGGGTGGTCCCACACTCTGCGTGTGAGTGAGTGTGTCCCCAGCTATGGGCGTGTCCACGTTGGAGCCAGGTGTGGTGTGGGCGCGAGAATAGCTCCGCCGTACATGGAGGCAACCGATGCGAGTCGACTGGTGTGTGTCGTCGTGGTTTCGTTCGTATCAAGAATACTCACTCACTCACTCACTCTGAGGGAGGGTGTAGAGGATGTAGAGTGTAGAGCGCTGTAGAGCTGTAGAGATGTAGAGCGCTGGAGAGCGCTGTAGAGCTGTAGAGCTCTACATCCGCCGCGTGACGATGTGAGTCGCCTGTAGAGCGATGTAGAGGCGCTCTACAACGTGAAATCTCTACAACAAACTCTACATCATAAGCGGCGAACGAGGCACGGTCGCTCTCCGACATGAGGCGCGTTGCACTTGCCAGTGCTGCCCTGGCCTTCTGTCTGCCCGCCCAATGGGTGGCAGGTGCCTCTGCTGCTGTGGCATGCCTCACGGCTGCGACTGGCCGGCGCCTCGGCGCGTCAGCTCGGCTCGGCGTAGCGATAGTGGCCAGCGCAACTCACCTGGGCTCAACGCTCAGCCAGGAGCTCCCGCACGCGCTGGCGCGAGTCATGGCGCATGCAACGCGCAGCAATGCTCGCCTCGCCTCGCGCAAATGCGACCGTCCTCGCAGCCGACAGTCCACCGCCTGCTAAAGAAGCACAGCGACGAATGCGGCACCGGCGACACATGGCAGGCTGGTCATGACGCAGTCATAGGGTGTTGTGTGCCGTCAGAGTGACTCCCTGTGTGTCAGGGATAGTCAGGGCTGTCCATCAGAGCTCCAGTAAGCTCGGAGACACCCCATTAGCGCGGTTCGACCTCTTTGAGTCACTGCCTTAGTCCCGGCGGTTTGGCTGTAGAGCCTCTACAACAAACTCTACAGCAAAATCGCGCTCTACATCGCTCTACAGGCGACTCACATCGTCACGCGCCGGATGTAGAGCTCTACAGCTCTACAGCGCTCTACATCTCTACAGCTCTACAGCGCTCTACACTCTACATCCTCTACACCCTCCCTCGGTGGCCGGCGCACCTGCCACGCAGCTCACCGAGAGCGCGGACAGCGCAGCCGCGAGGACGCGCATATGCGCGAGCAATACCGGCGCGGCACGCGATCCAGCCGGTGATCCAGTCCGTTCAGTCCAAACTGAAGCGCAGCATGACTGCACCATAGTTTGTGACCGTCGGCCTTTTCATTCGACGCAACGCCACCCGAACGCGCCGCTCTAAATCCAGAGATGCATGCGCGCGGACGCGGCGGCGGCGGGCCGCCCACGCTCGACGCTGCAGGTGCAGCACTAGGCACAGGCAGCTGAGCGCTCTCTCACAAAAACGGTGTTCACGCATCACGGGAAAGGGTCAAAACGCGCGAGCATTCAATGAGTGACGACTGTGCGCGCATATGCATTTCCCGGACAAGAGTCGCGCGCGCAACACCCGCGGCAGACCACTGCGGTGCACGAGCGGGCTGGCGCCGCATCGGCGAAGAGGGAGAGTCCCTGTACGCCCCCCCCCGGCGGCGGGGCATCTGCCGCAGCCGGCTGTACTCGCCCCCCTCCCCCCCCTCCCAACCCGCCCCCCCTAGCTATTACGTGCCCGCCAACACCTGCCCCCCCCTCCCCCCCACCGTAGCGGCCAGCGGCCTAGTCGCGGTCGCCCATCTGGTTGAACAAGTTCGGCTTGAACGGGTCCTCGTTGAGGAAGCTGGTGTCGTTCTTGACGCGCGTGGAGAGGGAGGCGTTCGCGTCCATGTCGACGGCGGTCATGTTTTCGAACAGGAACGACACGTGCCGGAAGTCGTACACGTTGGTGGAGAACCAGAGCCAGCCGGGCAGCAACTTGTTGCCTAAGGACAGGCGCCGCTCGCTGGTGGGCGGGAGTGAGGGCCAGAGTGCAGCCGGCACAGCATCGTGCTGCCGACGAGGGAGAGGAACGGCCAAGCGATCATCAGCACCCAGTCGGCCAGCGGCTGCACGTACCTGTGGCGAGGACAAAGACTGGTTGGCTGATCGATCGACGGCTGCACGTCAGTGGCGCGAGAAGCAGGTGCAGGTCAGTGTCGACGAGTCCATTCTCCGTTGGGTGTGACTCGAGAGTTGATCAGACGGTCCCTCGGTCAGGGCGGGGGGGGGGGGGGGGCGTGCAGTACTTTTGCCAGAGGCCGCGTGAGTAGAGGAAGTTGAAGAGCATCACGCCGGCGATGGCGAGGGCGATGATGTTGAGGATGAGCTCGCCTGTTGGAGATCGACTGAGTAAATCTCGGCTCCCCTCGGCTAATGAGGATGAGCTCGCCTGTCGGAGATCGACTGAGGCCATCTCAGCTAGTCTCGGCTGGTCTCGGCTGGTCTCTGCCGAAGGAGTTGCCGCCGAGGTAGTACCACTTGCCCTCGGGCTCCTCGTCCTCCTCCTCCTCCTCCTCGTCCTCCTCCTCCGCCAGCTCCGCCGCCGTCTTCTTCTCCTCCTCCTTGCGCTTCACGATGGACTTCTTCATGAGCACCTGCCCGCCGAGGCAGAGGTGAGCCACGTCACGGACTGTGCACGAGGTCCCTCCTCCGCACCTTCTTGTCGAGCCCGAGGTAGGCGGAGCAGAGGCAGTGGATCTCGTAGTGGACCACGCCCTCCTTCGGCGCGAGGAACTTGAGCGCGACCTTCTCGAAGCGCGAGTTTTGCGACAGCTTCTGGTAGCCGACAAGCTTGTTCGACTTGACGTCGACCAGCAGCACCATCCACTGCTCGTGCCGCTCCTCGGGGAAGTGGGGCGCGTGGACGGGCACCGGCTCGTGCAGAGGGCGGGCGGCGAAGCCCAGCTCGCCCGACTGCGGGTTGCGCGCCTTCTCGCGCTCGCGCTTCCGCTTCTGCCGCTCGTAGTACGCGTCTCTCCACTCGTCCATCAGCTCCTCCTTCTTGGCCTCGTACTCCTCCGAGTCGGGCTCGAGGTGCGCCAGCTCCTTGGAGAACATGTCCTCGTCAGGCTCGTCATCCTCCTCGTCCGAGTCGACCCAGTCCGGGTCCTCCGGCAGGTGCTTCCGCTCCACCTTGACGGTGAGCGAGAGCACATCACCCTCCTGCACGTCCTCCTCGTCCTCCACCTTGGCGTCGAACGAAATCTCAATCTCCGGAAAGTTGGTCAGGAAACGGTCGATGTCCGCGTGCTGCGACTCGGACAGCTTCGTCAGAGCCTCGCGCCGCTTCTGCGGGCCGAGCGCGCGCAGCTTCTCGATCGGCGAGCTCGCCTTGGCGTCCTTGCCGCCTCCGTCGAGCAGCCGCGAGCACGCCTTGACCTGCGACGTGGGAAAGAGCGTGACGGAACGGTAATCAAACCGAATCAACTCATCTACGCCTTGACCTGCGCCATGTCGAAGTGCGGCAGCTGCAGCAGCGGGTTGGAGTGGAACCACATCGCCTTAACGAGGCAGCCAAAGAACAGTGAACTAAGGCCGGCTGCAGCAGCGGGTTGGTGTGGCGCCACTAGCGCCTGCGTCAGCAGCTGCGAGAACTCGATCACGTTGATGGTCGCGGTGACGAACCTCTGCTCCATGCAGATGTTGAGCAGCCCGTTGAGCAGCCTGGGAGGGGCGGAGAGCATTAGACAACTACCATTAACTGGCACTCATCGACGTTGATCGACGTTCACTAAATCATGAGCAATAATAACATTGAGCAGCCTGTGCGGCGAGCACGAATCCGATTCATGGACTGAGGGCAAATCACTAGGCGGCGGCGCCGGTGCGAAGCGGAGAGCACGAACTGCATGTCGGCCTGCAGCGACGGCGGCACCGGCTCGCGGAGCAGAAAGGCGTACAGCAGCGTCTTCACCTTCATGATGTCGTTGTTGACGTCGCCCTGGTTCTTGACGAACTGCTCGCGCACGCGGTTGTGCAGCTTGGACAAGTCGTCAGCCTAGCCGACGAAGCAGCTGAGTGGTCGGTCTCGGCGGAGGGAGTCGGGCACTCGCCGCACACTCGCCGCGATCTCGCCGCGATCGTGATCTCGCCGCGATCTCGCCGTGATCTCGCGGGGCAGGTGCGCTCAGACAGTACGAATACGGTTCTTCCGCACGGGTCATCGGAAAATGGATGACAGCTGGGGTCCTCCTTGCGCCTCCGATCTCGGGCAGTCTCGGGCGCATCTCGGGCGCATCTCGGGCAACCATCTCGTGCATCTCGGCTGCATCTCGGCTGCATCTCCCCCTCCGCCTGGTTGTTTCTGCACGGCACGGCCTCCGAGAACTCGACGGCCGAGGAGAGGATGCCTGAGGAGGACGTGAGGAGTCGATGTGTTCAAAGCAGTTGGCACCGCCTCGGAAAAGGCCGCAGCGGCAGAGAGTAGATGAGCTGCAATCTCAGCTGCATCTCGGCTGCATCTCGGAGGGGCTTGCGTGCCGGGCATGAACTTGGCCGCCGTGTGCTCCGAGATCTGGCGGTAGAAGCGATAGGCCGTGTTCTGCATCACGCCGTCCTCGAGGAACTTGGACGAGTTCCTCCACCTGGTCGCCATTAGCACCCGATGAAGTCGCCAACCCGGAGGAGCTGGGCCACTCCTCCCACCTCTTCCCATGCATCCGCTACTCTCGGCTCGGCGGATCTCGGCGGATCTCGGCGGATCTCGACTAGTCTCCGCCAGAGGCCGACGACGGTGGGGATGATGACGATGAGGGCGACGAAGTAGGCGACGAGGATCGCGAGCTCGTTGTCCTAAGGAGCCGCTTCGTCACACTCATGGCCCTGCGTTTGACGGGGTGGGGGGGAGATCGCGAGCTCGGGGGAGATCGCGAGCTCGCTCACCTTGTCCGTCAGCCAGGAAGGCAGTCCGATGGTGACGGACGTGCCGTGGTAGCCGTCGGGGTTGCCGTACCTGAGGCACCCATGCAACCTCAGGCCAGCACTCGAGAGATGCAAACGTCGCAACGCTTCTCGCAGCGTCATCTCTCGCGATCTCACGGCGATCTCTCGGCTGCATCTCGCACTTCTCGTAGTTGTCGCGCGTCGCGTCGTCCGTCAGCGTCTCGTACGCCTTAGCGATCTTGATGAAGAGGTCGGCAGCCTCCTTCGCCGGGCAGAGGCACGAGTTCTTCTCTGGGTCGTCGTCCTGAGGAGTGAGTCACTGCGGTGAGCCAATTGGCCGGGCAACACTTTTGCTCGCTTTCCGCCCTCCTGGTTCTTGTCCGGGTGAAACTTGAGCGACATCTTGCGGTATGCCTGTCGCTCATCGAGGGCAGAGGTGAGGTCTTCACACGGGGAGACGTCTTGCGGTGCGCCTGGCGACGGCGACGCTGTTCTCATGCCTCGGAGCGATCATCTAGGCTGCCTCTCTGCCGCCTCTCTGCCGCTCGTCCGCAATGAAATGAGCTCTATCACCGAGGAATGAACTCCGCTCGCCTTTTTGATCTCGCCCGGCTCGGCGCCCTCCTCGATGGCGAGGATGCGGTACGGGTTGAAGGTGTACATCTCCTCGTTTTGCATCACCTGGGCGGTGGAGGGAGGGCGGCGGGAGGAAGGAGGGCGGGTGGACGGTGGGGGCGGAGGAGGGAGGTGCGAGGGGTGGCTGGGGTGGGCAAGGCGAGGGGAGGGCGGCGCGGGCGGCGGAGGGAGGAGGGAGGAGGGGTGGAGGCGGGGGCGGGTGGATCGGGGCGCCGGCAGCGGCAGAGGCGGGGCCAGAGGAGGGGAAGGGGAAGGCGGGGTCCAGCGTGAGTTGGCGGCTGGCTTGGCGGCGGCGGCGGCGAGGGCAGCAGCGGAGAGGGCGGCGGCGGGGAGGGAGGGGGGCGGCGGGGAGTGGAGGAGGCGAGGCAGGGTGGGAGGAGGCATCGGGGAGGGGTGGAGGCAGGGGGTGGGGGAGGGTGCGAGGGACGGGGAGACGGGGCGGCGGGCGCCGTCAGCCGCATCGCGAGGGCAATGAGCAGCGTCCAGCTGCAGATGAAGCCGACGCCGCGCCAGCCGAAGAGCTTGGACATGAGGTCCTTGCGCCGCTCCCGCTCGATCCGCTCGTTCTTCTCCTGCGCTCGGGCGGACGAGGCAACGGTGAGGAGCCAGGCACGGAGCAGGCGGCGGCGGCGGGCGAGCCGGCGGCGGCGGAGAGTGGCGGAGGCGCGGGAAGCCGCGAGGGAGGCGGCGGCGCCCGGCGGCGACGGCGAGGCTGCCGGAGCCGCTAGGCGGCGGCGGCGGCCGGTGGCGGTGCGGGTGACGGGGCGGCCGCCTTGCAGGAGTCGAGCTGCCGCGTCCAATCCGCCGGCGGCCGCAGCTGCAGAGTGGAGAGGAAGGAGTAGGACATGGGGACGATGACCATCACCATGACGGAGAAAAGGAACCAGTAGAAGGCCACGTCGTCAAACACCTCGAACGCCATGGCGCGGCGCCGGGGCCTCGCGGTGCTGCCCCCACGTGCGTGGTGACAACAACGAGCTCGACGCTCCCTTCACAGCCTCTCTCGAGGTTCTCGAGGTGATCTGTGATCTGTAAGGGTCCGCCCGCAGGCGCATTTTGTATACCGAGGCGGTGCCCGGTGCCGAACCTGTCGGACCTTAAAGGCCTATTTCCAGCTTGGGGACGCGCGCCGACCGTGCTCGATTGGGACTCGTGTGTGTGGCAAAGCAGCGAGAGCGTGAGCGTCCCCCGATCCGCATGGTGGCGTGTCGCCATCCTGGTAAAGGCACGCACGCACACTCACTTTCGTTGTTTGGTCGGTTTACAAACGCCACAGTCACTGAAATGAGCCCGCTCCTGAGATCAGAATCTTCACGAGGGATGAACATATCTACCCATCTGAACCCCATTTCGACCCGTTCGGTTCAACCAGCCGCCGACGCGGGCTTGCCGCCCCCGGCAGATCCTCCCGCGCTGCCGCTAGCGCCTGCACTGGCGCCGGCGCCGGCGCTGGCGTCGGAAGACTTTGCGCCCGAGGATGCAAGCTTCCACTTCGGCCCGAGTGGCCCCGCCGCCGCCGCCACCTGCTTCTGCGTCGCCTTGAGCAGCTCGGCCCGCGGGGTCGCGCCTGGGACGTGTCCCGGACGTGTCATGGAGGCGTGACCGTGCGGGAGGACCAGGGCGGCCTCGGCGAGAAGATTCGCGCCGGCCGTCGCCGCCGCCAGAGGCGTCTCGCCGCTCGGCGCTCCCGCGCCAACGGGCGGCGGCGCAGGATCGGTCGAGGCGACTGCGGCTCCCTTGCGTGCAGCCTGCACCGACCGCTCGAAGCCTGCTCACACACCCGCGATGCCGTGATGACGCCGTTCACAAGCCAGAGACGGGGAGCAGCGACGCCGGCTCCTGCGCGGATGTCGCGGCCGATGCCCTGGAACCAGGCCGCAGAGCGAGCACCTGCGGAGGAGGAAGCCCATCGGCGGAGTGTGAGCCGGGACGGCGCCCGCCGCCGGGTCGCTTGGGGCCGGGCGGGAGAAAGAGCGCCGAGCCCCGCCATGATGCTGCCGATGGCCTGCCCGCCGAGACTCGTCCCGAACACCTCCTTGAGCGCCTGCGGCACCAACTGGTCGAAGAGCAGCCGCTCCTACCACCGTGCCAGGCCGCACGTTGATGTGTGCATGCCGTTAGTTGGTCGAGGAGAGACGCCGCTCCAGAAACAAGTCGAGCGGAAGATCGCCCCCGTCCTTGGCCGCCACCGGCCGCAGGTGCATCCACCGGATCCGGACCTGGTGATTGCAATCAGTTCGTAGTTCATCAGCCTGGTGAGCCGCAGGTGCATCCGACCGGACGCGACACCCGTCCGCCCTCTCCTCGATGCGAGCGCCAATCGCGGCTCATCTCGGCTACATCTCGGCTACATCTCGGCTACATCTCGGACCACGTCCGTCATCTCCTCGATGCGAGCGTAGTAGCGCGCCATGTCCTCCACCCCGAGCTCCGCCGCCTCGGCCTGGCCGTACCGGCGCAGGTCTCGCTCGACGTCGCCCTTGTACCCGGTGAAGAGGTCCTTGATGGACACCTCCGCGTCGCGGAAGCAGACGTCGCCTGATCAGACTTAGCTACGTGACGGGCGCATTGCCCGCGCCTCCGCACCGCGCAACAGCAGACTTCGCCGCAAGACAGTCGCAGCGGCAGCCCGCCCATCCCTACCCATCCCTGCCCATCCCTACCCATCCCTACCCATCCCTGCCCATCCCTACCCATCCCTACCCATCCCTGCCCATCCCTGCCCATCCCTACCCATCCCTGCCCATCCCTACCCATCCCTGCCCATCCCTGCTCATCCCTGCCCATCCCGGCGCATCTCGGCCCATCTCGGCCCATCTCCGCGCATGTCGGCGCATCTCGGCTACGTCTGCGCCGCAAGAGAGTCGGAGCGGCAGCCTGCCCAGCACGCCGCGCAGCTCGGCCACGTTTCCCATCCGCAGCGCCGTCTCGGCGGAGTTCTCCTGCAGCTGGGCCATTGCCGTGCGGCGAGGCGCCTAGGAGGCGCCAGAGAGGTGTCAGAGAGGTGTCCAGAAGGTGTCCAAGAGGAGTACGAGAGGTGTCAAGGAGGTGTCAAGGAGGTGTCCAAGAGGTGTCCGAGAGGTGTCCGGCAGGTGTCCGGCAGGTGTCCATGTCTAGGGAGGTGTCTAGGAGGTGTCAGAAAGTGTGTCTGAGAAGTGCCTAGGTGCCTGGGAGGTGTCCAACAGTTGTCTGCATAACTCTCTCTCCGAATCCCGGGCAAGGTCATCTCGACGTCATCTCGACGTCATCTCGCCATCATCTCGCGCGGCCTCGCCTTAAGCGGCGGTAGCTGCTCCACGTGCGCCCAGTGGATCCGCATGTCGATCTCGCCGCTCAAGCCTCGCCTGTACTTCGTCCCCGCCTCGCTCAGACCTCGCGCATATCTCGGCTCGATCTCGCCGCCGACGCCTCGCCCCAGCTCAGAGGGGCCAAGGGACCGCACCTGTTCACAGCGCGCGGCTGTGAAGAGACGCCGCTCACGCCCTCACAAAGTGTTACACGCCTCGCACCGCCGACCCGCGCAACCCCTTGTCTAGGAAGTGTCCAGGAGGGGTCTAGGAAGTGTCCAGGAGGGGTCTAGGAAGTGTCCAGGAGGGGTCTAGGAAGTGTCCAGGAGGGGTCTAGGAAGTGTCCAGGAGGGGTCTAGGAAGTGTCCAGGAGGGGTCTAGGAAGTGTCCAGGAGGGGTCTAGGAAGTGTCCAGGAGGGGTCTAGGAAGTGTCAGGAGGGGTCTAGGAAGTGTCCAGGAGGGGTCTAGGAAGTGTCCAGGAGGGGTCTAGGAAGTGTCCAGGAGGGGTCTAGGAAGTGTCCAGGAGGGGTCTAGGAAGTGTCCAGGAGGGGTCTAGGAAGTGTCAAGGAGGGGTCTAGGAAGTGTCCAGGAGGGGTCTAGGAAGTGTCCAGGAGGGGTCTAGGAAGTGTCAAGGAGGGGTCTATGAAGTGTCTAGGAGGGGTCTAGGAAGTGTCCAGGAGGGGTCTATGAAGTGTCTAGGAGGTGTCTAGGCCTCGCACCGCCGACCCGCGAAGCCGCTTGTCGGCGAGCAGGAAGGTGCCGGAGAGGGCCCCGTCTCGGCCGACGGAGAGCGGGGGCATGTGCTTGCAGTGGCGCGGGCAAGTGACGAGGTACTTGGCCGTCACGACCTGCTCACAAGGACCGGCTCGGAGGCAGCGCCCTGCACAGCTAATGGCGGGGTGTCTGGCTCTGTCACAGACCCACTGCCCAAGCAGCCGCCGCGAGCGCGCGTCGAACTCGGCCGTCCCCTTCCGGCGGCAGTACACGCAGACGTGCACGACGGCGGATGGGTCGGAGAGGCGGAGCAGCACCTAGACACACCCTAGACACCTCCTAGACACCTCCTAGACACCTCCTAGACGGGTGGGAGAGGCGGAGCAGCACCTGTTCACAGCGCGAGGCGTGAAGAGACGCCGAGAGCGCCGAGGTGCGCCGAGGTGCGCTGGGGTAGTGGGGGGTAGTGAGGGGAGGTGAGACGAGGTGAGTGAGGGGGGCGAGGTGAGGTGAGGGGAGGCGAGCAGAGGTGCGCCGAGGCGAGGTGAGGGGAGGGGAGGCGAGCAGAGGTGCGCCGAGGCGAGGTGAGGGGAGGGGAGGCGAGCAGAGGTGCGCCGAGGCGAGGTGAGGGGAGGCGAGGCGAGCAGAGGTGCGCCGAGGCGAGGGGAGGGGAGGCGAGGCGAGCAGAGGTGCGCCGAGGCGAGGTGAGGGGAGGGGAGGCGAGCAGAGGTGCGCCGAGGCGAGGTGAGGGGAGGCGAGGCGAGCAGAGGTGCGCCGAGGCGAGGTGAGGGGAGGCGAGGCGAGCAGAGGTGCGCCGAGGTGAGGGGAGGAGCACCTCGTCATCGAAGAGCCACTCCTGCGCCTCGCCCTCGCTGTGGCCGCTCCCCTTGCTGCCGCCGCTGCCGCCGCCGCGGGCGTGCTGCGCTGCCAGAGAGCCGACGGAAGTGACCAGCTCTGTGCCGCGCACTTTGACAGCCACGAAGGGCCGCGTCCCCCGCAGCTTCCTCAGACCCCGCACCTGCAATCGGGGGGACAGCCTCGATGCAGCCGAGAGAGCGCCGAGAGAGAGAGAGAGAGAGAGAGAGAGAGAGAGAGAGAGAGAGAGAGAGAGAGAGAGAGAGAGAGAGAGAGAGAGAGAGAGAGAGAGAGAGAGAGAGAGAGAGAGAGCGCACCGCCCCGATGCGCAGCCGGAGCAGGTTGGGCGTCGGCGGCGTCGGCGCTTGGCACGGGCGCGGGAAGAGTCCGAGACACTTCCCTCTCGCGGCGAGGGCGGCGCACACCTCCCGCTCGGCGAGCTCGCGCACCTGGGCGCGTTATGCCGAGAGGTGCCGAGATACGAAGAGATGTGATCTCCGCCTGGCAAGCTCGCGCACCAGCCCGTTGATGTTTAGCTCTCCCGCCTTGAGACCAGAGACGGCCTCGATTAGTGATGAGCTGAGCTGGTCCTCCTCTCATCGGCTCGTGCGCCTTGAGAAAAGAGATCTCGAGAGCTGCTGCTAGAGTGACTCTCGTTCATCGCTATCTCCCGCCTTGAGCTCAAAGAAGATCTGGGCGCGCTTCACGTCAAACGACTCGAAGACCACGTGTGCCGGAGAGAGCTTGCCTGACACATATCCGTGCCCTGGGATCATGCTTCTTCACCACGGCGTGAGGCGCCAGAAGGGGGCGGCTTGCCGGTCCGTAGCAGCGTGCCGAGGAAGGAGAGGTCGAGGGTGACAAGTGTGTCGACGGAGCCCGCCTGGAGGGGGAGGGGGGGTAAGACTGAGTGAATCGTGGGACTTGAGTGGGCGAGGGAGTCCTGGCAGAGGCCGTGAGAGACGGAGAAGCAGCGCGGGTTTCGCCTTGAGGAAGTCCTTGTGCGCACAGTGCAGCGACGGCGGGTTGGCGAGCTCGACGCCTGTGCTCGAGCAGCGGCGGTCTCGACTCGCTGTTTGGACGAGCTCGCCGGGTCCGCGAGAGGAACGCCCTCGACGTGCAGCTGCAGCCGGAGCCACGGGCCGCGCGCCTGCAGTGGCTAGCGTGCTCGCCTCAACCATTGCTGCATCCGCATCTTAAGGTACACTTCGTCTCCGGAGCCGCGGGCCGCGTTCCTGCTCGGCCTTGCAGTCGTCCACACTGCCACGCTCACCCTTGGCCGCGTGGTGCCTCGCCTGAATAGCGCAAGGCGGGCCTGTCGGCTGGTGATGGTGGTGGGTGGTGGTGGGCGGTGGGGTGGTGAGATGGGTACGGGTGTGTGGGTGCACGGTTAGCAGGACAGGGGCTGAGGACACAGTGGTAGGATGAAGGGACTCGGACGCAGTGGGGCAGGAGGCCTCGCCTGCGCCGCGCTCGAGGCGCGGAAGTCGACCTACTCGGGAGGGCGCCAGTTCCGAGAAGGTTCGGGGGGAGAAGCTGCTGGTTGGGGGGGAAAGCGAGCTCTGCCCAAGGCGACAGGTGGAGGGAGTGGATGCGGAACGGGTACCTGCGAGCAAGCAAGGGGTCACTGGGGCGCGTTGTAGGCAGGAGGAGGGAGTGGGTGCGGGAAGGGGGAGGGAGTGGGTGCGAGAAGGGGGGGGAGGGGGGGAGGGAGTGGGTGCGAGAAGGGGGGGGAGGGGGGGGGGAGGGGGGGGGAGGGGGAGGGAAGGGGGAGGGGGGGGGGGTACCCGAACATGCCCAGCCTCGTGATGAGGTGAGAGGCGACCCAGCCGAGCAGGCGGGGGAGGCGGAGGTAGGCGTAGGCGGCGGCGGCGGCGAGGAGGAGCCACGGCGAGAGGAGGAGGAGGGCGAGGAGGAAGGGTAGGCCGAGGAGCAGGGCGGCCGCCGCGCCGCAGAGAGACAGACGAGGGCGGCAGTCCACCTGCGGCTCCTCCTCCCCCGCCGCCGCCTTCTTCCGCTTGCCCTTCTCGGGCAGGAGAGACACCTTGCCCGTCGCCTGTTCACGCCGCAGAGCTGTGAAGAGGCGCCGTTCACGGCCTCACCGCATGGACACACCTCACCGTCGAAGATCGCTATCTCTAGGCTATCTCCCTGCTATCTCCCCGGCTGTCTCCCCGGCTGTCTCCCCGCCCTTACGCTGCATCTCGGCGAGATCTCGTCGCCGCGTCGTCGAAGATCGAGACCGACCCCCTCTCGCCGCCCGCCTTAGCGCCTGCAAGCACCTCGCCCCGCCTGAGCTGTGAACTTGAGCTGTGAACTTGAGCTGTGAACTTGAGCTGTGAACTTGAGCTGTGAACTTGAGCTGTGAACTTGAGCTGTGAACTTGAGCTGTGAACTTGAGCTGTGAACGGCGTCTATCCCCGTCTAGCTCCGTACGCGGCGCCTGTCGACTCCTCGTCGTCGCCCTCCTCGTCCTCCTCCCCCTCCTCCTCCTCCTCCTCCTCCACGCTGCCGCCGCTCCGCTCCTCCTCCCGCCCGTCTGTTCACAGCAGCGGGCCGTGAAGAGATGTGCTCGCGACCCCCCCCCCCCCCTCTTCCTTCCCCCCCGCTCCTCCCTCGCCCAGATGCTTGCGAGTCTGCAGCCCTCGCACCACCGCCTGCGCGCGAGATGGGACACGAGATTCGCTCGAGATCTGCCCGAGATCTGCTCGAGATCTGCCCGAGATCTGCCCGAGATCTGGCCGAGATCTGCGGCAGATCTGCCCGCCGCCTGCACGCGTGTTGCCGACCGAGCGCGCGCCAAGAAGCCGCGCCTCGGAGGCGCCTAAAGAAGGGAAGGAAAAGGGGCGGCTGAGCAAAGGAATGCAGGTGTGATGACGCCACACTAAAGAGAGAAGTTGGAGCACGCGTGGCGAAGCCGCATGCGGGGCATACACGTCGTTGCTATCTCTCTGCTATCTCTCTGCTATCTCTCTGCTATCTCTCTGCTATCTCTCTGCTCGATCTCAGCTAGATCTCGGCTAGACCTCGGCTCGATCTCGGCTCGAGCTCAGCTAGACCTCGGCTCGAGCTCAGCTAGACCTCGGCTAGACCTCGGCTCGATCTCGGCTCGATCTCGGCTCGATCTCGGCTCGATCTCGCCGCATCCGGAGGCGCGAGAGACGACGCGAGCGACGACGAGGACACGGCCGAGGAGCACAGCGAGGCCGACGCGGAGGCGACGCGAGGGCGGGCTGGCTGCGAGCAGCGGAGGAAGCTGTGAGTGGAGAGGGCCTGTGTGAGCGGCGTCTGAGAGCGAGGCGTGCTCGAGGTTGGGCGGCCTTGGTGGACGTGTCGGGCGGTGCGACGTCGATGGAGACGTAGCCGAGGACCTATTCACAGGCGGCGGGTGGAGGCGTGCAGCTGTGAAGAGGTCGGTGGAGGCGTGGTCGAGGACCGGCGTGTCGCGCGGGAACCACGGCCCCCACGGCGCCTGAAGAATGGCGGACTGGTAGTGAAGGAGTAGTCAGTGGCCTTCTGACTGGCGTCGCCGTCTCTCCCTTCTCGACGGTCTGTGCTTGTGCGTCTTTGGCGCGGGGTTGTGTGTTTGCGTGAAGCGGGCACGGGGGGCGCCGCGGCGCCTCGGCTGCCCCGTCGAGGCGCGCACGCAGCGCCTCGAGCATCGCGACGGCCTGTTCACAGCTGGAGGGCGTGAAGAGGGCCTGTGCACAGGGAGCAGCGCCTCGGGCATCGGTACGGCCTGCTGCTTGCTCGTCGACGGGAAGAGGAGGTGCGCGTTCCTCGCAACCAGCTTCTCGTGCGCGCGGCCGAGCGAGGCGGCCTGAGATATGGGGAGAGATGGGGAGAGATGGGGAGAGATGGGGAGAGATGGGGAGAGATGGGGAGAGATGGGGAGAGATGGGGAGAGATGGGGGGAGATGGGGAGAGATGGGGCGGCCGAGCGAGGCGGCCTGAGCATGGCGCATCAGTGGTGCGGCGGGCGGGGCTTCTTGTGCTCGTGTGCGTGCCCAGCGAGGCGGCTTGTGCCGCGGTAGGTGGGAAGCGAATGTGAGGTGTCTGATAGCATCGAGGAGCTCTCTCCTGCTTCCCGGCCGTCTTGATGGCGAGCGCCGCCCGCACCTTCGACCCGAACCACATCCCCTTGTTCACCTAAGGGACGGCTCCTCCCAGCTTCATGACACCGCACCTGCACACTGCATCCGAACCGCCCGCCGCCTGACCTACCCACGCACACCGCTCGGTCAAGAGACGCGGCCCACTCTCCAACCTCGGCCGAGAGCGACAGCCTTGCCACCTCGACCCGCGACCGGCGGCCTCTCTCGTGCGCCTGGAGGAGGGTGCAGTCACGGTTCAGTGTATGCTCCGTCTCTGTCTCCCGCCAGTCTCTCGCCCGCCTGCAGCAGCGCCGCAGCGAGCTCCATGCGGTCCTCGCGGACGAGGGAGCCGTCGAGGCTGGCCCGCGGCTGCGAGCCGCCAGCAGCGCCGTGCAGAGGTGGCGGCTTGGCCTGCGGCGGGCTCTTGTGCTTCTGCGGCGCCTTGCGAAGGAAGAAGCGGCGGCCGCTGCTCTCCTTTGGAGAGAGGAGGGAGTCGGACGGAGTAGACTGCTCCGAGAGAAGCGGGCCGGATTGTTCCGTCTGCATATCGAGTGCCAGCCGGGTTTGTCAGCTGGTTGAGCACTTGGCGGCTCCGGCGACCGAACCAAGGTCCCGAAAAAAGAATTTAGAGGCCGCGCGTTGGGGTGGGGCAAACCCTGCCCACCCCCTAGAGCTCCAAGTAAGGCCCAGGTGTGGCCTAGGGCATCAGAAGGGACCAAGAGGAGTCCAGTCTGAGCCATAGAGCCCATGTCTTTGCCCCCGAAGGTCGCGTTCAAATGCCCGGAACGGACGTTACAGTGGTGTCCGGCCGGCGCGATCACCGAGCTGTGACGCTCAGGGAAGCCTGATGAGGTACTGGTTTCTTTGCCCAGGCCTGGCCTACGACCCATGCTGGATCAGCTGAGCAAGGTTTGGGGAGAATCCTATAGTAGGATCTTCAGATATTTTGACGGACGACCGAAAATTGGGCAAAAACGGGTGATTTCGGGCATCCTTTACCCTTTTTTCTCCGACTGCCCCAGCTAGTTCACGAGTTTCGCGGGAGTGACCCCATGCGTCAAACCCGAGTGTGCAAGGCCCAAGGCGGCTAGGGATGAAGCCGCAAAAGAGGCGCGCGAGGCAAGGAGCCCGAGATCACCCGAGATTGTCGACCGCGCCCTTTGAGGCGTACGGCGCGTCGCCGTTTTTGCCTTGTTGCGCAGTGCGTGCGGAGTGTCAGCGGAAGTAAGCATTTGCCAATTTCACTAGCCCGCCAGGGTGTTTTCTTGCGTGGCCGGACACCACGAGATGAAATCCTGCAAAACCTGGCCGGGCCCTGCCCCCACCCCTACCTACCGACCTACCTACCTACCTACCACCCTCCTTTTTCCCTTCTCCTCCCTCAAATCACTGCAAAAGAAGAAAAACGCCTTGGCATAAGAGTTTAAGCAAGAAGACTCGCAAACGGGACTGGCGCGCACACTGGCACGAACAAAGGTATCACTAAGCAATGGGCGCCAGCCCCGGGGCCCGGATGGAATTTTGCATGCTCGAGTTTGCATGGCCCACTGCCCGTGCCGCCTCCCTGCAAAACGCGCCCCCACCATAGGTACGATGGCTCGGTGGTGCTTCGACAAGTGGGAACCCACCGATCTTCATCTTGTCCATCATCTTGATAGTGGACAACGTCCACCACCCTTTTCCCGACCACACACGGCCACCCCGCAAGAGCACCGCTGCCATTGCAAGTTTGGAATACCCCGAGCTGGAACTTGGTAAAAAGGCCGCTGCAGTGGCCATGATTGCAAGGTCGTCATCTGGGAGGCGATTCCACCCGCATGTGACTTGCCACCCGGCTTCGGCGAAAAGGCGTTGCACGCGTGACGCATAGGCGATGCTCCGATTGTAAGGGTGCGGGGCATAGCCCACCCCACGGACGTGCTGCGCCGACCCAATCAGCGTCACGCGCGCGGGGGGATTGGACGCAATGAAGTGCTCGTAATACCCACGCGACCAAAGAAAGCCACCCACTGGGTGCATGCTTGACCCATTGACATTTTCCCAAATGTCATCCACCGACCGATGAGCCAGGACACGATGGTGACGCACAAAGCGCAGCGTGCGCGGCAGCAGCGCCGACGGCGGCCCCGTGCCGCGTCAGCGGCGCTCTGAGTGAGGCAGGCTGCGCTGCACATCCTGCTGAGCACGCTCCCGACGAGCAGCGCGCCACGCGGGCCCGCCGCAGGCGACGCGGGCGGCGGGCCGACACGCGTGTCGCAGGCGTAGGCAGCTCTGGCGAAGCGAGGCGGCCGGCGCCGGCCCCGGAGGCGGTCGCAGCGAGAGAAGCGAGGCAGAAGATGCTGTTGAAAGGGTGGGTAGCAGCCTGCCGTCGAGCGGCGCGCCGCGCAAGCCCGCTGCCGGCGACCCGATCGGAGACCTGGTAGTCGTGGTAGTACTGAGCGGAGCGCCCGAGACAGCCCGCCCTGGCCCTGTAGATAGACCTTCCCAGAAGCTTGGCGAGGCTGTACAGAATGCCGAGAGCATACTGAGCAGGCTGCCGTCGAGCGACGAGCCATGCTGGCTCGTCGCGGGCGGCGAGCTCGAAGACCCGCTCGGTGCTTCGACGAGCCTGGCGGGCCCTCCCGCACGCCCGCGGCCGCAGGCATGGAAGCGAGCTTCCTGGCGTCTCTAGCCAGCGCTCACATACCAAAAGGCACCTTGCAGCGCGCGAGACGTGACCGGATCGGTACGCCTCGGCGCCGCGAGAGCAGCCGGTCGGCGTGGGCACCAAGCGCGCGGCCGCCGGGCGCCTTCGCACCGACAGGGGCGCCGCGGCAGCAGAGAGCACTCCAACACCATACCGTTTTTCTGGCGGGGCCAGCGTGCTGTAAACGTGTAATATTTATTGAATTCTTTTGCGCAGGGATTCGATCATCTGCCTGAGGACGATTTCCTTTATGGCGAGGGCGACGGCTTCTAAGGAAGCCGTCGCCTGCGCCTGGTCTGTCGTGTGAATCGTGCGTGTGCGAAAGGCTTTTGTTGTAAAATTCTTTTGCGCACAACACTTCGTTGTAAAATTCTTTTGCGTGCTGATTGATTGATGGGAAGGCGAAACACAGTCCGACCAACGTGCCAGTCTGCTGTGACACCAAAGCAGAATTCTTTCGCTCGAAACGGCGGGCGTTCCTCCATGGCGGCTGCCTCCGGCGGCGGCCACCATGGTGGCCGACCTGGAGCTCCTCAGCGGCCGCAGCCGCTCGTGGCCGCTGCCGAAGGCACCGGTCGCAGGAGCTTCAGCTCGGTACACGCGCTGCCGGCCGGTGGGCCATGCCTTGTTGGACGACGTGCTGGTGCTCTAGACCAACGCCAAGTCCAGCTGAGCTCTGCCTGCCGGCCGCCGCGACGCGAAAGCCAGCTCCTCGAGGCTCTTCCTGCTGCTACGGCTCGGCCGCCGGGCAGCCGGCTCGCCTCGCAGCCGGCTCGCGCCTCGCAGCCGGCTCGCGCCTCGCAGCCGGCTCGCGCCTCGCAGCCGGCTCGCGCCTCGCAGCCGGCTCGCGCCTCGCAGCCGGCTCGCGCCTCGCAGCCGGCTCGCGCCTCGCAGCCGGCTCGCGCCTCGCAGCCGGCTCGCGCCTCGAGCAGGCTCGCGCCTCGGAGCAGGCTCGCGCCTCGGAGCAGGCTCGCGCCTCGCAGCAGGCTCGCGCCTCGCAGCAGGCTTGGCGGCGGCGGAAGAGGAGGAGGGGGAGAGTGAGGGGGAGGCGGAGGCGGGGGCACCTGTGACGGCCCGCTACAAGAAGGGCGACTACCGTACTCAGAGCGGTGGTTGAGGCCGATTACCTCAACTGTCAACCAGCGGTTCGACACAGCTGGGAAGTATAGTAATCTACGGTTACATGGCCGCAGACATTGACTGCTACCCGAGGCGAAAAAAATATCCGCAGTGGCACAAAGAAAAGCATTGGCGCGCACTGGCACAAAGAAAAATAATTTCGGCACGCATTCGGCCGCCGCAATGGATTCAAGTGCTCCGAGCGCTCCTCCACCCTCTTGCCGGAGAGCCACTCCTTGGCGCCGCCGCCACTGCCGCCGCCATAGCCCCCGCTCGAGCCGAAGCCGCTCGGCCCGCAGCCGCCGAGCTTGCCGTTCAGGCCGCCGCTGCCGCCAAACTTGGCACGCATGCGCTCCGCAGCCTCCTCGCGCTCGCGGTTCTGCCGCGCGACGTACGCCGCCTCGCTCTCGCCGGGCAAGGTCTGCAGGCATTATTTCATTCTTTTTTTTATACCAAAAGGAGGGCTACACGAGGCCCTCTACGCTGGGGCGCCGGCGCCCTACTGGGCGCCCCCCGCTCCCTTCCCCTTAGAGCCCCCCATCCCGCTAGCCCCCCCCCCCCACGGTCCCTCGCGGTCGCGCGACGCCGCACCAATGGCGCGCTGTGCCTCGTCCGCGAGCGCCGTCCAGAGCTGCACCGACAGTCGCTGCAGCGCAAACGGCATCCATTCGCGCGCCGACCACGACGTCTGGTCGTACTGCCACCACGTGAGCTTCCGGCCCGCCACCTTAGCCACCCGCATCAGCAGCTCCTCCACCCCCGCGCTCATAGCGCCGAACTCCTCGAAGAGCAGCGCCTCCACGCGGCACTTCCCCTCTGCGTCCGTGTACTGGCCCTTGACAGCCTCGACCGTCCCGGTCCCCGTCCGCGGGTCCCACATCCCCACCCTCCCACCCCTGTCCCCGCCCTCCACGCCCAGAACCGTCTCGCGGGCGCGTGGCAGCGTGTTGCCGCAAGCGACGAATGCCCCCATGCGCCCCACCCCCGAGGGGTCCGACGGCACACCGGCAAAGATCTTCGTGTCGCCGATGCAGGGCAGGTCCCCAATCACGCCCTGGTAAATGTACAAGTCCGTCCTCGTAGTGCTGTGCTCGCAGTGAAACTCGTGCTCCACCGCGCCGCGCCCCAGCTTGCCCCGCAGCAGCTCGACAAGGTCCAGGAGGACCTCCTTGTGCCGCGTCTGGTGGCCCGCCGCGCCGTCGTTCTGCGCCACGTCGCCAAGGGCGTCGAAGGGCAGACCGTGCTGGCTGTAGATGCCGTCCGCCATGACGTCCGTCATCATCGACAGGTGTAATCCGAAGCGGCGCTGCAGCGCGAAGCGCAGCACGTACGAGGGCAGACGGAAGTGCGCGCGGGTCGGGATCGCGTTCAAAAACGCGCCCGCGCCGAACTGGCTCGCCGAGACTAACCGCACCTGCTCCCTCCTCCCTGCGCGGCCCGCCGCCGCATGCATCTCCCTCCAGGCCGAATGGTGAATCGTCGCGGAGTATCGGCGCTGAGCGTGTTGTAGAAGATTGCTGCGCGAGCTCCATTCGGTAAGCGGAAGGTATGTATGCGCCGGGGGCAGCCCTCTCGGGTTGTAGATGCGGTAGGCCCGGCCAGTCTTGTCGAAGAAATAGTACGTCTTCTTGTCCTCTCGGTACTTGGCGTCGAGGGCGGCGTGCGCCGCCACCAGCCGCGCCTGGCGGCGTGCGACGTCGAGGTGGACCGGCAGCAAAACCACGCCCGCGCGTCGGATCGCGTCCACCACCTCGTCGCCGCGCAGCCCGCGGCCCACCGCCGCCTTGGCTGCCTCCGCCGCCCTCGACTCGGCGCCCTCCGCGCCCCCGTCGGCGGCGGGGCCGGCGCCGCCCCCCGCCGCGCCAGCCCCGCCCCCGCCACCTAGAGTGGCGCCGCCCGCCTCCCCTCCCTCGCCGCCCTGGCCGCCCTCGCCGCCCCGGCCGCCCTCGCCGCCCTCGCCGCCCTCGCCGCCCTCGCTGCCCTCGGCGGCCTCGCCGCCCTCGCCGCCCACGCCGCCCTCGGCGGCCCGCATCTCAGCATCCCCGCCACCGCCGCCGCCACCGCCACCGCCCGCCGCCCCGCGCGCACGCGCCTCGCGAGCATACCTCGCCTTGAGAGACACCGCCGCCAGCGCCTGCTCGACCGCCGACTCCGCCTCCGCCTGCCCGGTCGCCGCCTCCGCCGCTGCCACCGCCGACGCCGCCACCGCGGCAGCGCCGAGGTCGATGCCGCGCGCCAGCTGCGGGCAGAGGCGAGCTATAGGCTCCCAGCAGAGGCACCACGAGCCGACGATCGCCGCGTCGGTGATGGCCGACATGGAGGTGAGACCAGCGCCGCCGAGCTTGACTGGCAGCCGCGCCTGCTGCAGCGCCGCCCTGCGCTGCGCCGTCGAGCTCAAGCGCCCCGCCGTGAACTCGTCGAACGCCTCGCCGATGAGCCGATCGTGCAGCCGCGCCGCCTCCCGCGTCGCCTCCTCCGGCATCGTGCGGAGGAAGTAGTTGAGGGAGGCGTTCGCGCAGAAGCGATTGAGCGTCATCTGGATCTGGAGCGCGAGGTTGCACCGCCGCGTGTCGTGGAGGCCGCACACGCCCTCCCGCCCCGCCAGCGGCGCCAGCGCACGGCGCACCCGCTCGACGAGGCGGCGGGAGGCCTCAGAAGCGTCGCCCAGGAAAGTCCCGAGCACCTTGATGACGAGCAGGCGCCCGTCGGCGTGGTGGGGCGAGCCGCGAACCGCCGCCGGCAGGAAGGAGAGGTCGCCCGTCGGCGAGTAGACCTCCTGCTTCTTCTGGTTGGACGTGACGCCGCACAAGTCGTCGGTGGCGTCCTCGCCCGCCGCCGCCGCAGCGCAGGCCGCCGCCGGCGAGACGTCCAGGCAGTAGGTGTCATCAATGAGTTCAGCGCTGCGGCGTCCAGGCGCAAGGCAAATCGAGTCCGGACTGCGCGCCTGCATCTCGAGGAGCGCCTGGTGGTACCCGAAGGACCACAGCAGCGGCCCGAGCGGGTCGCCCTGCTGGCAACCCTCGCGCGACGCGTAGACCTCGCCCGCGCTGTCGCACGCCTCCACCTTGCCGTGCCCGCCGAGCAACCAGAGGCGCGGGTCGACCGCCTCGGCGTCGTCGCCGTCGACCGACTGGTAGTAGAAGCGCGCCACCGGGATGAGCGAGGGGAAGAAGGTGCGAAGGCCGCGGAAGATGGCGCCGCGTGTGATCGAGTTGAAGCCGTTGACCTTATCGTCAGAGAAGATGGCGCCCTCGGGATGGCGCTGCACGAAGACGCGGCAGATAGCGATGAGAATCTCCGCGCCGCCCGGCGTCCCGCAGCCGAGCTGCAGCGGCGTGTTGCAGCTCCTCTCGCGCGCCTCCTCCTCCGTCGCGAGGCCGTTGTACTCGCGCGCGCGCCACAAGTCCTCCCACGTCGGCGCGGTCCCCGTCAGCCGCTCGCCAACCTCGTCCTTAATCTGCTCCATGATGCACCTCCCGACAAGGCGGCGGAGAGCCGAGCCGATGCCGATCGGCCTAGTCCCGCCGTCCGGCTTGCGCAGCCCCACGAGGAAGCAGTCGCCGAGGAGGGGGCGCAGGCTCTCGTGGATCCGGCCCGCCGCCATCTTGAAGAAGAGGCGAAAGAGGACGTCCCTGGCGCGCTTCGACGAGTGGTACAGCCGCCCGAGCTCCTCGTACGAGAGCGCGTCGCCCGAGAACATGGCGCGCTCCTTCGGCACCCGCGCCATCACCTTGTGAAAGGCAGACGCCTCGAGAACAAAGGGCGCGGCGCGCCCCTCGTCGCGCATGTAGTCCGGCTCGGCGACGTGCCGGCGCGTTTCATTCTTTTGCGCCTTGCAGGCCCGCCTTGGCGCGCCTCTTGCTGTCTGCCGCCTCGCTCGCCGCTCGGTGCCGAGGTGTGTCCTCGACTTGCGGCGCTGTGATGCCCAGCGCCGCCCCGGTCGCCGCCGCGGCGAGCAGCAGCAGCGAGGACGAGGCTTGGCTGTCGCCGCCGCCGTCGCCACCCGAAGACAATCTGGCCTGGTTCGGCGTGTTCCGGCCGTACGAGCTGCCTCTGCCCAACCAAGTCCTACCGTACCTGCTGCTGAACCCGGTCCGCCACCTGCGCCGCGGCCTCGACCCGATCGCCATCGCCAGCACCGCCACTGTCCAGCGCCGCCGCAGCATCGCAGCCGCGGCCTGCAGCACCGCCGTGGCGGCCTGCAGCACAGCCGCCTCACCCGCCGCGCCACGCCGCCACGCCGCCGCCGCCTGCCGCGGCAGCGCCCGCTTGCTCTGCGCCACAACGCTGCATTGGCGGCCACTTCAGCGAGGGCTGGTGTTGGGTAGCAACTCTCTCTCTCCTCAGCCCTTGGCCACAGCCCTCGGTCTCCCGCCCGCCGCGCGCCCGCAGGAGGCGCAGAAGATGGCGGACGAGCTGAAGCGGGACCAGGTCCTCGGCACCTCGAACTCCCTCCTGATGAAGGAGGGGTACGTGCTGAGAGAGGGCTTCAAGAACATCTTCACCTGGGCGATGTGGAACTCGATCTCGGCGTACCTCAAGGACTTCGGCTACCAGCAGTCGCTGTTGGTGCAGTACCAGGCGGCCTCGCAGAAGAATATGGTTACGGGTGAGGATACGGTGCGATGACGCTGGTAGCACACTCCACAGGCGGTCTCGCAGGACGACGGCACCCCCGGCACCAACCAGCCGCAGCCGGTCAATGTGTTTGGCACGCCGCTGCCGATGGCGACCGTGGTGGGGCCGGCGGCGGCGCTCAAGGCGAGCGGCGCCTTCGTCGCGCCGTGGCTCGGCTGCCGCTGCTCGTGGCCGTGCACGCAGCTCTGCTGGTTCTACCTACTCGGCTCTCAGTTCCTGCAATGGGTCGCGGTCGTGGTTGCGGTGCTGACGATCGTCTTCCAAGTCCTTCTCCTCGAGTCGATGATCGTCGCAAACTTTCTCGCCGAGGTGCCGCACACGACCACGTGGTACGAGTGGTGGACGCTCGACGAGCCGTGGCTGCCCCGACTCATCTGGCTGCTGGGCAAGGTGATTGTCTTCTGGTTCATGATTGGCAACGCTGTCAACTTTGACGACTCCCAGTCCTTCCTCGCCTCGCCCGAGATCCGGCTGCTGCTCCGCTCCCTCGCGAACCGGTTCGAAGGGCAGACATACGCGTACTGCACCGTCGTGCTCTGGACCATCATCTCCGAGTTCGCCACCGTGATCGTCGTCTCGTACTTCGCGCTCGTCTCGGCCATCATTATCAACGTCGAGAGCACGGGCAACGCGCTCGGCGACGCCACAATCATCTTCCTCATCTTCGACTTTATTCCGGCGCAGACGGCCTTGGGGGGCCGGTTGTTGTCTGTGACATCAACTCAATTCATAGTATCGTCCATAGGAGCTGGACGGATGGGCGATGGGCTTGATCGCCTTCGCCGCCTGCCTGCCCCAAGACTTTGTCGACCAATCCTCGACGTATTTGCAGGGCCCCCGCTGCCAGGTCTGCTCGGCTAGGTCTCGGCTACACCTCGGCTACACCTCGGCCGCACCCGCAGGGCCTCCGCTGCCAGGTTGTCTACCGGACGTACCGCTACGTGCTGTTTTGGTGGACGGGCATCTGGACCACGCTGCTCATCCTCCTCTTCCGGTACCAGATGACGCCGCTCTACCTCTGGGTCGTGCCCGCCTCCTTCCTCTACTTCCTCGTCCTCTGGCAAACCTGGCCCTACTGCCTCGACGGCTGGCCCGTCTGCTTCCCCCACGGAGGCCCTTGCATCTTTTGGGCCGCCCTCGGCACCACACTCCTCTGGACCGGCTTCTTCATTCTCCGGTACGGCTGCTTCCTCTTCCCCTGCGTCTGCGCGCCGGAGGTCCCGGGCTGGTTCTTCTTCCCTCCGTCGAACATGCTGCTGTCGCCGCTCGAGGGCGAGATACAGCCGAGATACAGCCGAGATACAGCCGAGATACAGCCCAGATACAGCCCAGATACAGCCCAGATACAGCCCAGATACAGCCCAGATACAGCCCAGATGTGGCCGAGGTGTCAAGCGAGATACAGCCGAGATACAGCCGAGATACAGCCCAGATGTTGCCGCTGGAGGGGGGGGGGACACGGATGGCTCTGGGCCCTGATCGACCAATGCCTCTACGACCGCATGCGTGTGGCTCCCAGGCGAGTGGGACACTAAGTACTTTTACCTCTTCGTCGAGCGGCTCTTTGGGCTCGGAGGCCGCGCCTTCCTGGACGGCCTCTGGGGCGAGGTACGCTCTCGCCGGGAGCCAGGCTGGCAGCAGCTGGCTCGCAGCTCATCCTTCAGCTCATCCATCTCCACGGTTGACAGGTCGACTGCGGCTGGGAGCCGCTCGAGTCGGACTACGAGCGCTTCTACCACGGCGACCTGCAGACGCCGCAGCAGTTCCAAAAGGGGTGGGAGACGTGCGCCCAGCTCGAGGGGCACGGTGCGTGTGGGTGTGTGGACGGCGTCTCACTCCCCCGCCTGGATGTGAACAGGCGCGTCGCGCAGCTCGAGGGGCAGGTGCAGGTGCTGACCAACGTGCTCGCGTCGCTTGGGCTCGGCGTGTGGCAGAGGCGGCGTGAGGAGTCGGTGAGAGGCAGTGCGCGCGGACCGGTGGCCCGTTCTTGTAGGCGCGGACGGGCTTGCCGATGGCGGTTCCGACGGCGGCGCGGCGGGCAGGATGGAGGCGTCGCTGAGAGACGCGGGCGGGCGGAGGCTGCTGCTGGGGGGAGGCGCGTCGCTGCTGAACGGCACGCTAATATAGCGTCAGGTGCGTGTGTGTGAGTGTGAATTGTCGTGCGCGTACCGCATGCGATCAACCGGGCGGCATTTGGGCTGTACGTACGCGTAGCCGTCGAGGGCGGCTGCGTTTCTTTTTTGAGCTCGATGACGACACGGCCCCCTCCCGTCTGCTCACTGCTGTGTCGTTTATATTGCCAGTCCCGTACCGTGCTCTCCCAGCCCCGTCGAGGGATCTGGACAGCTCGAAGGCGGGGACGATGAGCTCAGAGCTGCGGCTCGCGTTTGGGCAGGGGCTGTGCGCGGGGCGGCAGACTGCCAGACGATTGGCAGGTGATAGACGCGGAAACGTACGCGGTGCTGGCTTACCTGCGTAAGATGGCGACGGCGGAAGATGCAACGGACAGGAGGTGCCTCGTCTTGAGCGACTGCAAGCCCGCGCTACAGCAGATCGAGGCGGCGTACCGAAGATAGGCTCTCTTGAGGGGCTCAGGGAGTGGGATCGAGGAGGAGCATTAGAGGGGATATGCAGATATCGCGCCCAGCTCGAATCCGTCACGTTCCTGTGGGTACCGAGCCACGCGGGGTGCGCTAGCAACGCCTACGCCGACGCCGCGGCGACGGCATACATGGGGGCCAGCGAGATTGAGGATGCCACAGCGGTCATTCGGGGAGCGGTGAGGACACGCCCGTGCCTATACACGGATCGCCGGAGGACGGCAGAGCGATGGCTTTCTCAGACGGTGCACTTCCCGGCGGCGAAGACATTCCTGGCGCGGCTTTCGTGGTGGGCCGTGCCGTGACGGCACCGCGACGTCTCATGACGCATCAGTGCTTTGAGGATGAGGCGGCGCCTCGCGCCTGGCTGGCGCATGCTATCCTCACTACCCTCGTGTCCCAACCCGCACATGCGGTTCCCGATGTCGAGTAGCTTGCGAGAGATTGTGAGCCGCGGGGGAGAGCCCCTCAAGCCACCTCCCCAGACATGGCTAACGCGCGGGCGCACAGCCGTCCTCGCTCAGGCCACCGCATCGCGCTCTCCCGCGACCGACCGCGCGCACCTCCCGGCTCTGGCGCCGATCACTTAAGCATCAGGTTCTCCATCGTCAAGAAGGACATAGCTGTACACATTGACCTCAGAGAAATAGATACCGAGTCCACAACTTTGTCTCCAGCATACACCTGCTGACAGCCAGCATAACAACCTCATAAGCGCCAGGTCTGACGAGCTGGGCTTGTGGCGCTCAGCTAGGTCATGCACACCCTCTGGGCGGAGCCGAGCGGAGCAGAGCGAGCCGAGCGACGAGTGGAGCCGAGTGGAGCCGAGCGGAGCCGAGTGGAGCCGAGCGGAGCCAAACGAGCCGAGTGGAGCCGAGCGAGCCGAGCGGAGCCGAGCGGAGCTTTAGGTATCACCAGCCAACACAAAACAGGGGGGCTGGCCTTGTTTTTAGCTGAATCCACCGTTTTCGTGAAGTAAGTATAGGGTTAGAGGGTTAGGGTTAGGGTTAGGGTTAGGATTCCAAGCCGTTGTGCAGGTCCTAAGAACGGGCCGCTTGGGTCGGAATGGAGAAACTAGCCGTCCGTCGAGGCCACCTCTCGGTGAATGCGCCCCCGAGTTCTTCGCCACTTTGGGTTAGGGTTAGGGTGTTAAGGGTTAGGGTTAGGGTTAGGGTTAGGGTTAGGGTTAGGGTTAGGGTTAGGGTTAGGGGGATTGTTGTCGTCGCGCCGCTCTCGATATCTGGTTAAGACAGAGACACAGGTGACACACCAAAGCACGGCTGGGTGTGTGAGCAGCCGTGTTGCACTGTGCGGCGACTATTTGTCATCAGGAGCGCGCCGCCGCCCCTACACGGCCGCCGCCGCCCTCCCGAGGACAGATAATAGTCAAAGTCGACGAGTGCGCCTCGGCCTCAGTATCTCGGCGGCAGAGGCGATCTAAGAGGCGAACCAGAGCACGGCTGGGTGTGTGAGCAGACGCGCAGGGCGAGACGAGGGAGGGAGCAGGACTTTGCGGAGATCAGCAGGAGGATGTACGAAGAGATTAGGAGCAGCAGGGACCCGAGGGACCATGTGGAAGACGGCTAGTGCTAGTCCCCCATCGGGAGGACGACCCCGGCTAGTCGCCGACCGACCACACCCACAAAGAACCCTGCATGCACAAAGATCACAAGGGCGGGGACCTGTTCCTTTTTACCCACCTCACAGTAAAGAGGTGTCCGTTTTTATTTATTTATTTATTTCCCCCAGCCCGGCCGTCTGTCCGGCTCTAATTTGGGCGCATCATTGGCCGAATCGCAATTAAACTTTGGGACTATGACCCGGCGCCAAAACACTCACCCGCGTACGATCGTCCCTGGCCGTAATGCTGGGGAGCGTGGTGGCGAGCAGCGGGGAGCGGATGGCCTTCGTGGCGTCGGGCTACGCGGTACGTCCCGCCTCCTCCACGCGGCCCAACTCGACCGTCAACAGCCACCGCCATTGCTTGAGCCGGCAGGCCCGCGCGGCAGTGATGGTGCGCCTCCGCGGAGAGGCTGACGCTGGTCAGCGGTCAGCGGTCAGCGGTCATCGGTCACCGGTCAAGCAGGTCATCGGGCGTCAGTGTCATTCAGGCGTCGAGTGTCATTCGCGTCAACACAGGTATGGTAAATTTCCGGAAATTTCTCCTTCCGAACAAGGCTGTCATATTTCTCAAAATATTTCGGGAAATCTACATTTGCCCCAATATTAGTCGACCCCCCTTATCCTCCTCCTCCTTCGCCTCCGGCCCCATGTTGGGGACGCTTGTACACTACCTTCGGTGCGAGTCCACACCATATAGGCGCACCGATCGCCAACGTCGCACGTAGAGTCATGATTTGCCTCTCCACTAGCCGTAGCAGCCTGTCTGTCTGGGTGGAGAGGGCTGTAGGCGCGCGACGTTGGGGACGACTGTACACTACCTTCGGTGCGAGACCACACCATAGGCGCGCCGATTGCCAACGCCGCATGTAGAGTCATGATAGACGCATTGCCTCTCCACTAGTCGTAGCAGCCTGTCTGAAGTCGCGGCGCCGGTGCCCTCGCATGTGCTCTGCTGTACTAGCCATGTTCGTTGCGCCCGCGTGTACAGTAGAAAGAAGCGCGCGCACGCACGCAGCTATAAACGCCTGACGACACCAAGCGCGACGACGCGACGCACTCGCACCATCACACGAACCGGCACCGGCTCCAGCACCGGCACCGATGATACCAACCGACCTCGTGCGCCGGTGGGCAGGCTGCTCGCCTTCGAGGCGGCCACCTTGGAGGCGGAGTCTCGCCTCGGAGCCGCCTCAGCAGCCGCCCGAATCACACCCTTCCCTGTGTGCCCGCTGGCACTCCGTGCTGCACTGGCGCTGCGCGCGCGCGCCCCCTGCCCCTGCGGCCGTTCCAGCCGTGGTTCCACGCGTCGGCCGTCCACCCCGCTCGTGGGGGGGGGCCTAGCTCTCGTCTCCCCTCGGGAGGGGGGGGGGGGCAGGGCCCGGATTCGCCGACGGCCCCGCTTCTCCCCCCTCCCGCTCCGCATCAGGCCGCAGACTGCGCAGTAGTCGCGTCGCCTCCCCCCTCGCTCGGTCCCCCTCAATTCGGTCCCACACTGACCGGATATCAAATGCCGAGTTGTGTTCGGACAGCGGGCCCGCCGATGCCACACGCCTCTTCACACAGCAGGCGTACGCCTTCAGCGCCTGCCCCCCCGACAACGTCGGTCCCGGTGCAATGTCGTTGACGAGGTAGTCCTCCCCCTCCCACCGGAAAACCTGCCCAAGAAGGTCCGTCGAGCCAACCAGTCGTCTTGCCAGGCTCCGCACTTCCCGCGGCTGCACCGGCCTGAGAACGCCAGTGCTGACCGCGAGCGACAGACCTATCGCCCTAAGCTCCGCCAGGACCGCCTTCTCGCCCGCCGCCGCGGCCGCCCGATCCTTCTCGGCCTCCCGATAACGCACTGTTTCTTTTTTCTCCCAGTAAGCTAAAAGTATGTCGCAGTCGCTGCTGACGTCCTAGAAACCGCTGTGGGCAGCTCATCAGGCCAGCAAAATGCGGCGTCTCGCCTTCATCAGCGCGCTGCTGCCTCGCGCGGCGGCGTTCGCTCCCACCGGCGGGGTGGCCGCGTCAGTGCGGTACCTTCGCGCCGGCGCCATCGCGAGCGCTGCGCCAGACGTGGACCGCTACTATACAAAGGAGCGTGAGCCGGAGACCCGCGACTTTATCATGCAGCAGACGATGCTGCGGGTCAAGGATCCGGCGGCCTCGCTCGCCTTCTACTGCGATGTGCTCGGCTTCAACCTCGTCACGCACCGCGAGTTCGAGCAGTGGGGATTCAACGTCTACTTTGTGGCCCCCGTCGACCCAGCCAGCATCCCGTCCGATCCGGAGGAGCGCTTTGCCTTCTGCATGCGCACGCCGGGCTGCATCGAGCTGACATGGAACTACGGCTCCGAGGGCGAGACAGGGCCGGTGTACAACGTCGGCAACGGGGACGCCACCGGCACGAAGGACGGCGAGGCGGTGCGTGGAGGCTTTGGCCACCTCGGCAGCACCCACCGCCTCCGCGCACGCGACGCTGTGAAGAGACGTCCCTCATGCCTGAAGCTGCGGGTAGGCATCACCGTGCCCGATGTGTACGACGCGTGTGCGCGGTCCGTGAGCTCGGCTGCGAGCTAACATTGAGACGCGGCGTTCACACCGTCAAGACGCCGGCTGTGAACGAACAGGTTCGCGGAGCTCGGGTGCGAGTTCACCAAGACGCCCAACTCTGGCGGCATCAAGGGCCTCGCGTTTTTCAAGGTGCCCGACCAAGAAAGAAACTTACTGATCATCATGTCTCGGCTACATCTCGGTTTCACTGTGAGTAGGACCCGGACGGGTACCTCATCGAGGTGCTGCCGCAGGGCAGCCTCGTCACCAAGCCGGTGCGACATGTAGCCGAGATGTAGCCGAGCTCAGGAATGCCTTCAGCCGGCGCTTCTCTCCAGCGGGGCGAAAGCGGCCTTTGCTGCTTCCTTCACTCGAGCCGTGAGCAGGTGGATCATGCCGGCGTCCCGGTCGAGGGGGGAGGGTACGTCGACAACTCCAAGAAGAAGTGACTTCGCGGCGGCCGCGGACGTCTCGCATGCAGCTGTGGCCTCCAGAGCCGGCCGCGTTGGCGCGGTGCCGGTGTGTATTATGGCGGCGCTCTCTCTCTTCTTGGCGTCTTCTCAGTTTAGGTTTGAAAGGCAACAGTCTTGGACCAGTGGAGGCATTCATTGTATGACGATTGAGGCCCAAATGAGTATACACGGGCCGGGGGGGTGGCGAGCTGGCGACAGCGGCCGACAGACCGAGAGGCGAGACCCAAGACTCTCCGCCACACCCCGTCGGTGCAATGACCGATGTGGCATGACGCGAAAGTCTTCTAGTCGGGAGTGCATTGGGAGGGGAGACCTAGCTAGACCGCACAGGGCCACAACGCACAAGTGCGCTCGATGTCAGAGCAGCAGAACCGCATAACGAGGAAGGTAAGCGAGTCATTCGTCTCTAGACTCCTGCCACGCTGGCGTCTCGTCCCCCACAGCGTAGCTCCGTCCGCCGCTCAGCGCGTTGGCCAATCGCTCGTCCTGCCGTGAAGGCGGGCCCTCTGGGAAGCTGATCCGCTCAATTGCCTACGAGAGTGCGCCAGGGGCGGGTCCGAAAGCATGCGTCATTCTCCAGGTGGCATCCTCCCTCACGATCGCCTCTTTGAGCGCGTCAGGGCGGAAGCGGAGCAGGGGGGCGTGCGCCGCGCCGAGGCTCTCCACGCACAGCGACCATGCCGCCCACGACGAACGCAGCCGCCGCTGGTCGCGCAGCTCCTGCTCGGCGGTGCTCAGCGCACGATCCTCGCCCAAGCCGTGGCCTCCCTTTGCGTTGACCATCCACTCGCCGCGCGCCTTCGGGCAGATCATCCAGTCGCCACGCGCCAGCTGCTCGGCGAACTCGTCGTCCTCCCACTGCACGCGCCTGGGGGACGCACGAGCAGGTCGCATCACAAGCGGGCCCGGGCATATCCTTGGCACGGATTCAACCGAATACAGGGAGAGAGAGAGAGAGAGAGAGAGAGAGACCGAATACAGGGAAGAAATGGAGATGCCATCTCGGCGACATCGGCAATTCTCGCCCACGGAAGAAGACGAAGTCCTCCGCTTTGGCCTTGCCGCAACGCACGAGCATCGCCGCGTCGAGGAGGCGGCCACCCTCATACAGCGTAGGCGCAAGCTGGCGGCAGCCGCTCAGCAGCGAGCCGTGCGGATGAAGAACAGTGAGACGTTCCGCCTGAGGGGTGCGGGGCAGGCAGAAAAATAACGGCCCGGAGAAGCGCGGGGAGGGTTAGCAAGGCACAGGCAAAGAGCGGCCTCCGAGTCACCGCCATAGAAGACGGGGCTCCACCTATGGCGATCGCACGTCGTTCATCAGTCGGGTCGCGCTTGATTGTGCCCCTAAGCCCTGTAGAAGCTGCAGCCCACCCGAATACGCTGCTGCACGAGTCGAGCCACGAATCTCCAGGCCACACCTCGCCGTGGTCGGCGCTTCCGGGCGGCGCCTTCTGCTCGGCGAGCATGCCGACGTGCTCGTACAGCGGCAGCGACGAGGGCGCATTCACTACCACGCCACGTCCCTCGCCCAGCATCAGCAGTACGCATGGAGCGAATGCCCTGCGAGGGGCAGGAGGGTGGCGTTGAGCGCCCGCTTCTCCAGGTAAGTGTGCGGGTCTCTGTTGCGCGTCCGGGATGTAGAGCTCTAGAGGGTGGCGCCATGTGTGCTCCCACAGCCGCGGCTGCACAGCGAGCGGGTCCGCGGCGAGGACGGTGCCAGTCGGAGGCAGCGTCGAGAGCGAGGATGGCTCCTCGGGGCAATGGTCCCAGCAGTTTGCTGCCACAGCCGAGGAGCTCACCATGCGCTCGCCTTCGAGCAGTAGCGTTGGGTAGCTTTGGCCTGGTGTCGGCGTGAGAAGATAGGGATAAGAAGTCGCACCTTGCTCGTGCAGCACCCCGATCTCTCGAAGCATCTCGAAGCCGGCGTCGCCAAGCGCCTCTGGAGGTCGGCGCGCCTGCTCTTGCCGCACCCTCCGTGCCATCGCTTTGTGAAGAGGCACCGCAGACCGAGCGAGCTGGAGCTGAGGGAGCACGCCCTCCGGGCTTGCGGTGCGCAGCTCAGGCTTGTATCTTAAGAATTCTTTTTTACTTTTTTGGGTCCTGTGCGCTGTGGGCACCCTAACACAACACACACCGCTCACCCACGCGCTGGGAATTGCACTTTGAATGGTATGCTGTGGGGCTCCTGTCATTAGACGTGGAGACGCGAGGGTTGCCCCCCCTTGCCCCCCCACGACCTCGTGTGTGTGTGGAGAGAAGTTTACCTTACCCCTTACTTAAAGTACCTTACCCTTGGCCTTGCGCCTTGCCCCAGCATCGTAGAGCCCAGAGCCCCCTTGCCCCACCACTCTTTGATGTTCGTGTGACCGCCTCACACACACTCCCCCCTCAGGGCTAAGCAGTGCGCGGGCCCACCCGACTCTAGGCGAGGCGTCGACCACTCCTTCGGAATAGCTCTGTCAGTGGCTGCACTAGACGCCCATAGTGACGCGCGGCGCGGGCGGATGACTAGAGGAGAAAATGCGGAGATGCTAGCTCGCAGGTAGATGTGCTCAGCCAAGGGTAGGGATGAGGGGTAGAGGGGAATGTGTCAGTGCGAGAGGGGTGCACCAACCGCAGAGCGTTGTGTTTTGCCTTTGAAAACTGAACAGTTTTTTTTTGATGTGCGTGTGGAGAAATTTACCTTACCTTACCTAGCTCCATACTACAGCGCATGTACCACTACCAGCGCGAAACGTACCTCCGCTCACCTCAGATTCACCCCCGTCACGCAAACATCTGAACTCACCTTCTCTCCCGGCCGAATGCCACCGCGAGCCGAACGGCTGTGTGTGTGTGTGTGTGTGTGTGTGTGTGTGTGTGTGTGTGTGTGTGTGTGTGTGTGTGTGTGTGTGTGTGTGTGTGTGTGTGTGTGTGTGAGAGAGAGAGAGAGAGAGAGGACTCGCCGAGCCCCTCCTCCACCCTCTCTCGCCTCGGCGCGGCGTGGCGTTGCGGGATCGGGGCGCGGCACGAGCCCACTCGATCCCCGGCCCTTGCACGCCGATGTCATGGCAGTGCCACCTGCGTCAGCAGCGGTTGGAACGGTTGGACGACTCCTTCGTTGGAGGTGAGTGAGTGGCCGGTCTCACTGCCGCCTGCTCCAGCGACTCGACGTTTGTCTTCATGTCGATGTTCGACCCGACGGCCTTTCGCTTCCCCACGCCGAAGGCCGCCAGCCCGCCCCCGCCCCCCCTCTGCACCTCGAGCGCCCCTCGCTTGTACTTGAGAAGCACGTTGCGGCCGGCGCAGCGGCAGGTATACGCCGTGACCTGTTCACAGCTCTCTCTTCACAGCTCTTGCCACCTGCTCGCAGCCCATCTCGTGCCGAGGTGTGGCTGAGATGCGCGGAGGTGTGGCTGAGATGTGCCGAGGTGTGGCTGAGATGTGCCGAGGTGTGGCTGAGTTGTGCCTGCACGAACAACAACAATCACGCCGCGCACAGTAATGACGTGCCTGTGCGGGGTTCTCTCGCACAAGGCCGGATAATGGCAATGATAACAACAATAGTGATAGATCTACGCGCCTCCGCGAAGTTGTCTCGCACAACGCCCGACCGGACAGCGTCTGCAGTCGGCAGCCTCGGCTTGGTGAAGAGCGCGACCTGGAGAGGGGTGTGGAGAGGGAGGTGTGAAAGAGGGAGGCTTGGCGAGGGAGGCGGGAGGAGTGGTGTGTGACGAAGAGGGGGGGGGGGGGAGAGCTACTTTCTCATCGTTGCCACGGCTGCTGCTACAGCGCTGTGACTGACCTCGAGAGTGTCGACGGAAGGCCCGATCTCCGCGCTGACCACCGTCTGGTCCTCCATCACGCCGTTGCGGAGCGCCTCGTCAAGCAGCAGCAGCGACCCCACCTTTTCGCAGGCAGGCGTGTGTGAAGAGAATGCCGCCGCCCGAAGAGCCTTGGAGCGGCGGCGGGTGGGCTCGCCTTGCAGCGAAGCAACTCGACCACGTTCGCCCCCGCGAGCACCGCAATCACCTCGCCGTCTCGCTCCGACTTGTTGACCACCTCGAGCCACCCAGACGTCGGCGGGTCCCGCCCCGATCCGCTCTCGTTCGCATACCCAGGCAGCAGCTCGAGCGGCGGCGGGCCACGCATCGCGCTGGCGGTCATCGCAACCTCGCTCAACAGCGCGTTGCCGGTTCCACCCGGCAGGCAGCAGCAAAGCAGTGCCGAGAGCCCAGACGGCCCCTCCTCCTCCTCTGCCGCCGCTGCCGCCGCCGCTCGCCTCTCTCTTCCGCGGCTGATCGCCTCATTAACGCGGGTGCGGCGGACGTCGGGCGATTTGCTGTCGATCGTCTCTTTGTAGGGGCGTGCGGCGGCTACGGGCCGGCTCATGCGTCGTTGGCGAGGACTTGCTTTGTTGTACTCTATTGTACCAGCGCGATCGCGCTGCTTGCTCCGCCTGCCACAGTCGGGAGAAAAACTCCGCCCGACAGAAGCTCTCGCTAGATTCCTTGTCTGTTTTCTTTCTTTCTTTCTTTAGATTCCTTCCTTAACGGAAGAGAAGAACGTTGTGAGCCAACAGTGCGTCGGAGCGTCCGGGAACGTGGCCTGGGGCTACGCTGCGCTCGAGCAGGCACATCGCAGCCCCCGTCCACACCGCCTCGCTCCCGTACCGCCGCCGCCGCCGCCACCGCCAGCGCGGTAGACAGCCGACCCACCAAGCGGGCACGCTCGCAGGTGAGAGGTGTGACTGATGATCGACTCTGTGAGCTGCCTCCTGCTCACGGGCGCCCAAGCATTTTCGAGCCTCCCGTCCGACGCGCTGCCGAGGCTGCCCTTCACGTGTGAGGGCCACACAACCACCTACGAAGGCGAGACGGTAATGTGGCGCCGCAACTCAAAGGCCCGCCTGCTCGGCATTCTTCTCTGCTTGACCACCGTCTCTGGCGGCTTGGTCACCGCCGCTGGCGGCGCCGCGCTTGCTGCATCCTCAACTGCGCTGCCAGACGTCACTGCGCTTCCGGCGAGTCCCGCTACCACCACACCCTCCGCACCCCGGATGCCCGCATCCTCAACCCCTTGCCTCCGGCACCTACTTAGGCCATGGGCGCATTAATGGCCTACGACCCCCTGGACCACGAGGAGGTCCTCAACAAGATCCACACGAAATCGCGCAAGCTACGAATATCGCCAAGCACATCTCCATGCCACTGCCCCAAAGGTTGCGTGCCGTGGTTCATGGCCATTGGTGCGAGATACATGCCGGCACATGCCATCGAAGCCAGTATGGCTTACGTCATAGCAGCAGTGGGCTCGCAACGCAAGGCAGCGCCTTCACTCCTGCCTCATCTCATCTACGATGGCAAGCCAACAAACATCACGGCCTGGTTGCAAGGGCAAGGGGTGGAGGTCATATTTCATGGGCTGAGCTTCATAGACAAGATGAGGGAAGCTGGGTTGCGTCACAACCCCAGCGTTGGCGCCTACCTGCGGCTCGATCTCACAGTCAACGACACCGGACCGCTTGGCGCGCATCTACGTGGCGAGAAGAGCAGATGCCAATCCACAGTGTCCTACAAGCAGGTACTGTACACAGACACGGATGTCTTGTTCTTGGGGGACATTGGCCAGCAGAATCTCATCCGGCCTCGGAATGGGGGGCTGTTGGCCATGGGTCCTGAAGCCGTGAGAGGCTCCGCTCCCAGCAACTCCGGGGTGATGGTGATGGACGTGGAGCGGTTCTCGCAAAAGCGCGACGCACTTCTGCGCTTTGGGGTGGAGCACAAGTTTCACTTTCCTGCAGGAGACCAGGGTCTCCTCCTGGCGTTTTTCAAGGGATCAATCTCCAAGCTACCAGATGAGTGGAACTGGAAGGCGTACTGGGGCTGGCAAAAGGAGAAGAAGACAAACATACGCATCGCCCATTTCCATGGCCCGAAGCCAAGGGGGGTATATGGGTGGTATTGCCTGTGCAAATACAAGGCCTACTCTCCGGGGGTCTACTCAGAATACAAGGATCCATGTGAACAAGAAGCCAAGGAGACCACCGGAAACAAGAGAGAGGACGTGTTCAAAGCATACAAAGGACTCCTTGACCAAAGCCTCTCAGCAGACGGGGGAGCACTCGCCTTTTACCTGCTCCTGGTGTGGACAAACTACTTGAAGCTGTCTGGGCAATATCCTTCCGACCCGAGATTGGGCTCCGATCAAGCAATGTTGCGGTCCTGCCTGCTCAACAGCAAGATGGATCGGTGGCCACCGGGCCTAAGGGATGAACTAGCTGCCAACTTGTCGATAGCGGGATTGAACACCAGCATAGGCCGGGACTTTGCATCTGGCCGCCAGATCCTGTAAAATGCAGCGCTGCCTCACCCGAGAGATCCGCATCTGTGTCGCAGAAGTGTAGTTGTGCGGCAAGCCCTTGTTGTCAAAACGAGTGTATAGGAAACGAGTGTATAGGACGCAGGTCGAGCCAGTACCTCGGGACACGTTGCACCCTTGCGCCTGCCCCCCGCCGGCTCTCTGATACGGACTCCCCGGACTCCGCGAGCATCAAAAAAACAGTGCGGCAGTCGTCGACGGGCAAGCATATCCCACGACGGAGGGCCCATCACAGAGAACCTGCACGCCAACACCGGGCCTGCCACCAAATGGTGCAACAAGCCGTAATTGTCAGACATGCGCAGATGGCTACCAATGGTGGCCTTGCAACACGAACTCTGCCATTTGCACGTGCACTTTGATCGACGGGCAAGCATATCTGATCACCCAATCGAATGGAGACTTTGACGAGGCCGCTGCGGTGGTGCAGAATCGACGGGCGGCGGCGACGAGGCCGCTGAGGGCGGCGGCGACGAGGCCGCTGAGCGTGGCGGCGACGAGGCCGCTGAGGGCGGCGGCGACGAGGCCGTTGAGGGCGGCGGCGACAACCTCTCGCCGGTGGCCATTTGCAGAGGCTACTGCTACACCAAAACGGATGCGTGGGAACAGCGGTGCGCCTGGGGCGGCTGCGGGGGCTGCGCAGAGTGCCTGATCCCGCCGCCATCGCCGCCACCGCTGCCGCCACCAGCGGGGTGCACGGTGGCGCTCGCTGTCAACTACGACCCCTTGGCCGTCGCTGACGATGGTTCGTGCGTCTTTGGCCCAGGACCGGATGTGGAGGTCCCGGTGCAGACCTCCACATCGGAAAGTCTGTTTGTGCGGCCCCGTTGCGAAATCACGGGTCGGACTCTTGCTACAGGAGGGAGGTGCGACTTGCTACCCTATCCTGCGAGCGACTGCACCGGCTTTTACATGATCAGCGTAATCACGGGCCTACCAATGCCGTGCAGCAGAGAGAGAGAGAGAGAGGTCGTGGAAGCTTCGATCCCAAGGGGGGGAGCTGAGCCCACTCATAACCAACTCTCAGGGGCAGTAGGTGGGCGAGCCTCGAGCGCGCTCATCTCGATCGTCAAGGCGTCGCTACGCGCGGTCTTCCGCGGGGGGAGCTGCGTCGACGGGTGCGGGACCGCGGCGCAGCCAGTGCCGTGGCGATGCCTCCGGCCGTTTGTGGCGGGCGGCTTGCTGCTCGCTGCATGGCGAAAAACTCGTCTCGCCACACGCCAAGGGCTTATGCTCTGGCGAGACGTGAGGCGCATGCGCCCAGGATGGGAGGGGGCATGCGTAACGACACTGCTAGAGATGCCTTTCGGGGCCCAGAGATAAAACTTCTGTGATGCCATGCGTGACCTAGTAGTGTCCCCAGCTATGGGCGTGTCCACGTTGGAGCCAGGTGTGGTGTGGGCGCGAGAATAGCTCCGCCGTTCATGGAGGCAACCGATGCGAGTCGACTGGTGTGTGTCGTCGTGGTTTCGTATCAAGAATTCTCTCTCTCTCTGCCGTGCAGCACGCCCTCCGATGACGCCCAAACCACCTGCAGCCGCATGCTCACGATTGGAGACTCGGAAAACTGCCCGCAGTATTCTCAAACTCCAAACTTCGTGAGTGGCATACCGCGCTCGATGTGCGATTATCGTTGCAGCATCAGGCAAATTCCACCAGGGCGGTACCAGTTGCTTGTGGGGCAGGTCAAGCATGTGTTACACAAGTATCGCCTGTCCATCTCTGGGACACATGCTGACAAAACCATGATCGCCACCGAGGGCGCGTCGATGACGTTTTACGCGTCGAAATGCTGGACCTTGGCTGCGGAAAGGCGAAAGCGATGAAGGCCCGCATGGGCGAATGCAGAGGCCTGTCACAGAAACAGAATCGCCGGCACGCGCGCGGAAAAAAGAATCCCCGCGCCATCAAGGCTTCTCTCTCACTCACATGACTTTCTCTTCTCTCTCACAGCACACAGGTTCGAGAGAGAGATTTTTAGCAATACCAAACAACTCTGTCAGGTTCGACACAGGAAAAAAAGAATAATCAACGGGAGTGTCCCGGAAAGTGAGAAACGCCCGGCAGCGCGACTTTAACCTCCCATGTTTGTTCGCTCCATTCCTCGGGCTGTTCCACATCTCCTCAAGTCCTCATCTCTTTCGACTTTCCGACCTAGGCGGGGCGGGTGGCCGGTGGGCGCGGTGCGCGGTGTGCGGTGTGTGTTTTGTGTGTGTGTGTGTGTGTGTTTGACTGCGTCTGCGACAAGCGCACAAGGGACCCCTCTCCTTTTCTTATTAACAACGAAGGCGCTCTCAAAGAAAAACATGCGAACGCGTCAGTGGGAGTGTTTAAACGTTAGTCTGGGTTAACGTATAGAGACCGGTAGACGGCACGCGAAGTAGTATGAGAAGAGTGCCGCGGTGTATGGCAGCGAAAAGAGAACCGCTACCTCTACGCTTGACGCGTCCGAGCGGAGGGCGCCCGAGAGGCGCATCACAAGTTCGCGTGAAGCGACCACCTGCCGTCTGCGATGGATCGCCGCGAGTCGCTCTCCCGCCCGGCATGGCCCGCCTAGGGCAGACGGGAAGCCAAGGTCACGAAGCCGAGGGAGATGCAGACGGGTCAGCTGCTGTCCTCGCCGGCGTCGGCTGCATCGCATCCCGGCTACATCTCACCGGCGTCGGCGGGCTGCTCCTCTGCTCTCCCGCCCAGCAGCCCGGGGCGACGCCGGCGGAGGCGGAGGGCGTGCGGCGGCTGCCGCCGCCGCTACCGCCGCTGCTGCCTTCCCCCTGCGAGGCTCGCTCCGTCAGGCTGGGCAGCGAGACCTCGCGACTGAGCTGGTTGAAGATGCCGCGGCCGCCGCCGCCGATCGTGGAGCCGAAGGCGACGCTGACGGCCGCCTGCTCCGCCAGCTCCTCGGTCCACTCGCCCCGGCTGCTCCTGCGGCCGACAGCGGCGAGCGGAGGCTCCTCCTCCGTCCGCCGCTGCCGCGCCGACCCCTGCGCCGCCGCGCCCCTGCTGCTGTGCTTGCGCGGAGGCGCAGGGTTGGCGATGACGGCGAAGGAGGGGGAGCGGACGTCGATGCCGCCGCGGGCGAGGTCGGCCGCGCGGTCTCTCGACGCCTATCAATGATGAGTTGACCATCAATTCATCAGTTGGTTGGAGAGGCTGTGGGCCCCGTGCGGTCTCTCGACACCTTCCGGCGGTGCCTCCGCCGCGTGGGCGAAGCCTCCATGCCGGCCGCCTCTCCCGCCGCTCCGCCCTGCTGCCCTCCGCCCTGCTGCTGTCCGGGCTTCCGTTGGTGCGGAGGCGACGAGGTCGGCAAGCCGGCGCTCCTCTGCGCGGCGGAGCTGCCGCGCGAGCCTCGCCGCACGCTCGCCGCCGACGCAGACTCCTGTGAAGGAAGGGGTGCTGGGGGGGTGAGTGTGGGCCGGCGGGAGGCGGGTCCGCACGCCGCTGGCGGCTCCTCGGACACACGCGCGCAACTGCCGTCGGCGCCGTCGGGATCCCGAGGCGAGTGCTTCTCGAGCAAGTGCAGGTCGTGCAGCCGGCCGGAGCCGAGGCTGTCGCCAGTGGCCCTGCGGATGAGGTCCGACGGCCGCGCCTGCGTCGCCCCCTCGACGAGCCGGAAGCCGTCCTGCTAGCAAATACTCATCCATTAGCCGGGTGTGCATTGCGTCGCCCCCTCGACGAGCCGGAAGCCGTCCTGCGAGTGCCGCTGCGAGTGCCGGCGCGAGTCCCCTTCCTGAGAGTGGCGCCTATGGCTCATGAACCATGGTTCTCAACCGCTGAGTAGTCCGTCGCAGGCCCCGCCCGGGGGGGGTGGCGCCGCGAGGCGCTCGCAAGGCTGCCCCCGCTCCCCCTCCAGCTCTCGCCCGCCTCGCGCGTCGGCGAAGGAGGCGGCGCCGCCCCCGCCGCCCGCTCCAGAGGCTTGGACCGGTGCTTGGTTCGGCCGGCGGCGTGCTTCTTTTGCGGGGACGGCATCGGCGGCGGCTCCACTTTCTCGAGCGTCTCGGGCGGGAGCAGCGCGGAGAGAGGCTGCACCTTCGGAGGCTCGGCCGCCTGGAGGGGCGGGAAAGAGCTTCATTATGAGTCCGCCTCCTCCCCTGGCTGATGAGGAGTGTGGAGCATCCCCGGCCGCCTTGAGGTACGGGTTCGTGCGCGCGAGGAGGTAGTGCAGGTGCATCGACCCCTTGCCCTTGATCTCGCGCACGCCGCGCGAGAGCGTGGCGTACTCATCGCCGAGCAGCGACTGCGTCGTGTCCGAGATGGTGATGCAGCCGGGGGCGGAGTACGCGCACATGCGGGCGGCCGTGTTGACCGCGTCGCCGCAGAGGTCGTACTGGAAGCGCTTGTGCCCGATGATGCCGGCGATGGCGGAGCCAGAGTGGATCCCGACCTGCAGCTGCAGCGACACGTCCAGGTCCCGCACCTACGAGGACATGTCCGAGACTTGTCCCAGACATGTCTCGGACATGGTACGTACACGTCCAGGTCCCGCACCTACGTATCCGTCATCGACTAAGCATCTGCCGCCGGACCGGGCCGCAGCGATGTGTTCCGGTCCCGGCGCCACCATCCCGCATCTCGGCCGGATCTCGCATCTCGGCCGGATCTCGCATCTCGGCCGGATCTCGTCTCTCGGCTAGGTCTCGCGCCACGGGGTCCGAGTTGATGATGTCCATCATCTGGACCATCGAGTGCGCGAGGGCGGCGCAGGCGCAGGCGCGAGCGCCCGCCTCCTCGAGCAGTGTCGGGTCGGGGAGTCCTGCGGCGACCATGTAGTACTCGTTGACCGTCTTGCGCACCTTTTGAACCTTGAAGAGGTCGGCCAGCTGGTCGAACCGGTTGAAGACGAGCTGCAGCACGTCGACCACGTCCTCTCCGTTCTGGTTCTCGTCGTCGACGAGCGACTTGAGGCCGACCACCTGCGGAGACGGCTCGGGGAAAACCAGCTCGGCGAAGGTGCCGGCAGGGTGCTCATCCGAGCGACTCGAGGCTGAACACCTCTGCGAAACCTCTCGGCGAATCTCAGCGAATCTCGGCGAATCTAGGCGAGTCTCGGGGAGTCTGGGCCTTCGCGAAGAGGAAGGAGCACTCGTCGAACTCCTCGGCAATGATCTCGCCCGCCCCCTCCCCGTCAACCGCGGCCTTGGCCTTGAGCCGCTCGAGCACCTCGGGCGCAAAGATGTTTTCGAGCAGCTGCTGGCAGCGCACGACCTCCTCCTTGATGTCGTCGATGTGCTCGCGCGTGTCGTCGAGGAGCTTGGCGTGGTTGCGAAGGCCGGACCTGAGCCATCAATGCATTACGAGTTGCTCAGTCTCACTTAGCAGGTGTGGCGCGGCTGCGCAGGTCGGGCCGTCTGTTGAGGTTGTAGATGATGCCGACGCCGTGCGCGATGACAAAGAGGAAGATGGTCATCAGCATGCTGCTGCTGGAGCCGCCGTTCGGCGCCTAGTCTCAGGCTCTCTCGGGTCCTCTCGGTCAGTCTCGTGCGTCCAGGGGGAGCGCCGCCCGGCGCCATCGAGTTGCAGGGCCACTCGAGGAAGTACGACTCGCAGTTGGAGGGGCAGTAGCTCGTCGGGTCCTCCGGGCAGGGCGGGTTGCAGTAGGTAGGCTCCGGGAAGCCTCGCTTCGTGGCGTACCGTCCCGCGAGCTGGCTGCTCGCGCACGAGAACGGGAGGATGTCCGGCGTGTCGTACTCCCCGTTCTCGAGGACGCCGTCGTCGTTCTCTCGCTGGCCGCAGCCCAGGCCGACGAGCGCCCAGATGAGCGGGTACTCCTCCTCCGGCGTGTACACCTTGTTGTTGCACGCGAGGCGCATGCCCTGCGAGAAGCGCAGCATCACCGTCTGGCAGATGGGGTACCCCGCCGAGAGGACGATCATGATGAGCACGAGGAGCGGGAGGGAGAGGGCGAGCGTCGAGTAGCCGAACGCGATGTGCAGCAACCTGTGTTCACGCCTCGGGCTGTGAAGAGACGCCGTTCACAGGGTCGAGAGGCCGGGATCAATGTGCCGCCTCCGCCGTGTGCTGCGCTATATCTCGGCTATCCCTCGCTCATCCCTCGCCCATCCCTCGGCTATCTCTCGGCCATCTCTCGGCTATCTTCTCGCCCGAGGAAGGCCGTGTACTGGGACGAGGCGTCGGGCGCGAGCCAGTACCCGACCATCGACGTGAAGAAGGGGAAGGTGAGCAGCGCGACGTTGGCGTACTGCGCGCCCCCGATCGAGAAGCGGAGCACGATGAGGACCGAGGCGATGGCGGCCGAGGTGAGCATCCCGCCCAGGTAGCGGCAGAGGAGCAGGTTGATGACCGTCTGGTAGCTGCCGTGCTGGTCGATGATCAGCGGGTGCTGCCACCAGTGTGCGAAGTCGTAGCCCCCCGCCATGAGCATCAGAAAGGAGAGGAAGATGGCGGAGCGGCGGAGCGCGTCGATCACCTCCGACGGCAGCATCTGCACCGTGTACGACGTCGGCGCGACCGTGTCCCCCTCCCCAGTCTCGACAATGTCCTCCATCACCGACACCTGCGACGCCGCCGGGACGGACCCTCCCCGCCGGCCCTCGCCGACGGAGCCGTCCCGGCGCGACTTGTAGTCTGCGCGCGAGAAGCACGAGGCGCGCGCCTGCGGCAAATCGGCCACGAAGTCATACTTCCTTTTTGATTCGCGGAGGAGGCCCCGCCCGCGACGCTGCATGTCATCTCATCTCTCGTCATCTCTCGCCATCTCTCGCCATCTCTCCCCATGCCCGCCTGCGACTCGCACGTCTTTCGGCCGCGAGGCGAGGCCAGCTCGTCCGCCACCGCCTGCGGGAGCTCAGCTAGTCAATGAATGAGTCAAAAGGAATCAACCTCGAGTCCGCAACCGCCTACGAGAGCTTGCTGGCGGCCGTCATGCCTCGGCTGCACCTCGGCTAGCCTGCACCTCGGCCTCACCTCGGCTACACCTCGGCCTCACTCGGCTACACCTCGACTACACCTCGGCTACACCTCGGCTACACCTCGGCTACACCTCGGCTAGGCTACGCCTCGGCTACACTGCGGCCTCACCTCGGCTATATCTCTCAGTCGCACCTCGGCGATACTTGGTGCACCTTGGTTCCACGGGGGGGAGGCTCGGCTCCATCTCGGCTACATCCGCGCCTGCGAGAGCTCGACGGCGGCTGTCTCGCGCGTCGACGCCGTCGTGCTGCGCGGCGAGCCGATCGAGCCGCCCGCGCGGCCTGCTCTTCACACCGCGAGGCGTGAAGATGCGCTGCTCGGAGGCGCACGGCGGAGCGGCTGGCGAAGCAGCGGCGCCTTGCCCGAAGGAGTGGGCGTCGCTCCGCCCGCCGCGAGGCGAGGCGAGGTCCCACGCAGGGCCGGCCGAGTTGCGGGCCCCGGGCTCTGCGGAGAAGTTTGCGAGCCGGCGCGCCGGTGCAGACGAGTAGCCGGGCGGCGAAGGGGCCGCCATCGAGCCGCGGCACTCGCAGGAGCCGCGGCACGGGTTGGACGCGCGCGGCGTGGTGAAAAAGTGGTACGAGGAGGCGCGGTCCGTGATCTCGAGCGGCGGTGCGTCCGGGTCGAGCACCTCGCCCTCGAGCGAGCCACAGCCGCCGCCGCCGAAGGAGGACGCCCCTTCGAGCCCCCCGCCGCTCCCTCCTCGCCGCCCGAAGGAGGAGCCGTCCGGACGCGACTTGCGGCCGCCCCCCCCCCACAGGGACCTCCAGCCGCCGCCACCGGCACCGCCCACCGGGCTGGTCGCGCACCTGTCGACAAGCGAGGCCGTGGAGAGCGGTGAGGTGTGCCTCTCTGACGCTGCGGACCGCGCAGCCTCCCGAGGCCTCCTCGGTCTCACACGGGCGCTGCACCTCGGCCACATCTCGGCTATCTCTCGGCTATCTCGCGCGCCCTCCCGACGCCTGGCCTTGGATCGACGCGGACGCGCGCGCAGACGCGGCGAGCGGCTTTGCGAGGAGCGAGCGCATGCCGCCTCGCTGGGGCTGGTCGCCGCCGCCGCCTTCGAGGAGGGCACGCAGCGCCCGCGCGCCCGCACTCGCCGACACGTCGTTGAGGTCGCAGCTGCCCCGGTCGTCTGCTCCGCCCGGGCTCACCCAGTACGTGCCCTGGATGCCAACCTCGACGTCGGCGGGCGGGATGTCCTCGCGCCGGAGGTTGGGCGTGCAGTTGACGTAGGTCTTGAGCAGCTCGTACCTGTTCACAGCTGCACGTGTGAAGAGGCGGCACGGGAAGGTCAGAGAAGGTCTGGAGCAGCTCGCACGTGCTCGACGAGATGTGCACGCGACCCTTCTCGCCAGTCTCCTCCATCCGAACCGCCCCGTTAACCCCCGTCCCCCACATGTCGAAGTGGAACCTACAGCCGAGGTACAGCCGCGATCCGTCCGAGATCTAGCCGAGATGCAGCCCCACATGTCAAGATGGAACCGGACGGTGCCGATGATGCCGCCGGTGACGCGCCCAGTGTGCACGCCGACCCGGACCGCAATCTCGATCTCCTCCGCCGCCGCCTTGCGCTGCACCACATCCTGCATCGCGACCCCCATCCGCACGATCCTCGCCGCGTCGTCCTCGCGAGGCTCCTTGAGCGCGCCCGCGCAGACGATGTACGCGTCTCCGATCGTCTTGACCTTGTCGACCCGGTGTGTCTCGCACAGCCGGTCGAAGTCCTAAGGATGGTTGAGTCAGAGTTGGCTGCTTCGTCACCCCTCGACCCGGCGCGTCTCGCACGGCCGGTCGGAGGCCTCGAAGATGTCCGAGAGCAGTCCGAGGACTCGCTGAGGCGGGTGCGTCGCCGAGAGCTTGGTGAAGCCAACCATGTCCGCCTGCGGGGGCGGGGTGCGGGGGCACGTCATGGACGAGTCCTGATCCAGCCTGGGGAAGCCCACCATGTCCGCCTGCAGCACCGTCGTGCCGGGGTAGACGCGCACGCACGCGGTGTCCCCTCCGCCGAGGGCGGCGAGGATCGGCTCGGGGAGCGTGTTTGTCATTAGCCGGTGCATGCGGCGCCTGCTCGCACGGAGGGTGTGAAGACGCGGCTCGCTGCGCGCTGGCCCTCCGCCGGTGCATGCTGCGCCGGACGAGCCGTGTGACAATCAGCGGCTGCATCTCGGCTGCATCTCGGCTGCATCTCGGCTCATCTCGGCTGCATCTCGGCTGCATCTCGGCTATATCTCGGCTATATCTCGCCGGACGAGCCGCGAGACCATCAGCGCCTCCTTGAGCAGGTTGGCGTGCCAAAAGTTGTACCGCATCTCGCTGATGAGCTCGAAGGTGGTGAAGGTGCCCAGGATGTTGACGACGAGCTCCTTGAAGCTCTCGGCAAAGAGGACGTAGCCCCACTTGTTCGCAAAGTCGTTCCCGTCGTCTTGGCGCACCCAGGCCCAGAGCGCGGCATTCGTGGCCGCCATCACGATCATCAGCCCCCAGCCCGCAAAGACGACGATCTCGAAGGGCATGCCGGGTGTGAAGACCGTGTACATGACGATCAGGAAGAGGAAGTTGAAGCTAGACTCCTCGGGCCCGCCGTCGGACCCCACCTGGTGTTCATTACTCATTCGCTAGTCATCAAGTAGCCATCCGTTCTATCTCCCGCTGTCGCAGCCCACCTGGTGCTGGTAGAGCGCGATGGTGTTGAACATGCACCAGCCCCAGCTGGTCAGCACCATCACGACCAGCACCAAGATCCGCTCCGTCGCCGGGTGGCACTCGAGGCACGGAGGAAGCCTCTGCGGCAGAACGGTCCACGCCCAGGCGTGCACCAGCAAGCCGAGTTGTGCGCCCCGCATGATCAGCGCGAAGTCAGTGCCGCTGCCGCAGTAGACGGGGTCGAGCGGCAGCGCGCTGCTGCTGTTTGTTTCTTCTTGCAGGGCGCGGCGGCGATTCGGCCCCCACGGCTCCTGCAGCGGGTGCACGTCCTTCTCGGCGCAGAGGGTGAGGTGGTCGTAGATGAGGAGGGCGATCGAGAACAGCGCCAGGCTGAGCAGCACGATCCGGAACGAGCGGAGGTGGCCTAGCGACGACGCGGGGGGGGCTCTTGGTCGCCGCATCTCGATCTCTACTGAATCGGCTCGATATCTGCCGCCTCCCTGCCGCCTCTCTGCCGCCTCTCTGCCGCCTCTTGCCGCCTCTCTGCTAGACGGGACGCCTCGAAACGTGAGCTCCCGAAAGTCAGCTTCGAGCGACGGCTCGAGGAAGGAGAGGGAGGCCCAGCGTTTGCGTGCGCGAGAGTGCTCCTCCAGTTTCTCCTGCAGCGACTCGGCGAGCTCCTCGATCTCCCCACCCGCGCCGCTCCCGAGCTGGAATGTGTTTTGCGCATCGGCATTCTGGTCGTCGGCATCAGCCTCGGCGGCGTCGATCAGCGCATCGCCGAGGATCGGCGCGGTGCGCGGAGAGAGCGATGCGGTAGAGCTGGCGCGGGTGAGCGAGTCTCCGACAATCGTCGGCGCTCTACGCGGTCGGCTGCCGCTGCCGGGCGGCTCTGATGTCGGCGACAGCCGTGGCGCCGGCGCCAGAGTCTTCTGCCTGGCGATGGATTCGAGCGAGATGCCAGGGATTCTCTGGCCATCGACGGGACTACCGGTGCCCTTGGGCATTCAGCCGCTGCGACGGAGCCAAAAACAGGCCTCTGATGCCGCCAGCGGCGTCGCGGCGGCTCGGGCTTGGACGATCGGTCGATCTAAGGAAGAATTCTAACGCGAGTGAATTTTCAATGTATGTGGCTCTTACGTACAGGAGGAGGAAGCGGCCAATCGATCACCTAAGGAAGAACTCTGCGTCACGTGTGAATCAGAAGCATGGGGTCACTCCCGCGAAACTCGTGAACTAGCCGGGGCAGTCGGAGAAGGGGCAACTCCGTGCACTGACGGTCGGCCGCCAGAAAACACGCCTGCGTGGATCGCGTCACACCAATCCTCGCTACCCAACGCGGCCAAACAAAGGATATCCACCTCGAGAACCTCGAGAATCAGAAGGACCCCAAGAATTTTATAAGAATGGTACTAGCACAGGAAGAATTCTTGGACGACCGATGATCTAAGGAAGAATTCTACTCAGTAGCGATCACACGAGCCCAAGGAATTTTACAGAATGGCACTCGCACAGCAAGAATTCTTTCGCGGCTATGGATACACATCGTTCAGCCCAGTGCTTTGAACGTCTTGCTCTTCGAAAAAAACCATTGGGTTTGTATTATTAACAACGAAGGCGCTCTCAAAAAAATAAACGCGCAGGCACCGCCTAGGCCCTCGCTTGGCACCCACGGAGAGGTTGGAATATCCGCCGCCGCCCATGGCGCAGTGCTTCGTCTGCGCCGGCGATTCAAGCACCGAGCCGCTCCTCACCGATCTCTGCGACTGCCGGGACCTCCACCTGCACGCATCGTGCCAGCGGCGCCTCATCGCTCAAGTGAAGAGCCACAGCAGCTGTTGCGCGATCTGCAAGTCGCCGTACAGAAATGTCCGCTTCGAGACTCGCTGGTGCGGCGGCGACGATGATCAGGACTCGCATGCGGACCGAGGCGCCTCCAACCTCCCGCCTCGGCCCACCCTAGCCCCTCCGCTCTCGCGCCGCAGGCGCCTGCCCACGCCCACGCCTCGGACCTGCCACTGCTCACCCTTTGTCCCTTCGTCTGCCTCTTCTACGGCATCGGCGCCGCCTTTGGCTGCGACTTCTGCGCCCTCTTTCTGCCGCTCTCCTCGCTTGCCTACTGCTGTCTCTGGATCCACGCCTTTGGCCCGGCATGGCGAAAGGTGGCCATCGTTGGGGGCGACGTTGGAGGCGACGCGGGTTCGGTCTGCGAGGGGAGGGAGGGCCAGCGTGGCTCGAGGCATGGCGCTCAGGCGATCGCTTAAGCGTTAAGGCTGCAGGCCGATGCCAAAACGTTGTCCAGTGTCCAGTGTGAGGACTCGCCTCGGGGCTGCAGCGTCCGGGGGTGAGCAGAATATATTAAAATTGTAATACGGCTTTATGAGAGTCGTGGCAGGCTGTCAGAAGCATGGCGCAAGTCTCTTGTGTATACTCTAGCAAAAAAATACCTAGCAAGAAAACAAAGCAAGAAAGGCCCAGGTCCCCGAGGACCGCGACGGGACCGAGGACCTGGCCGGCGAGGAGCGAGGTGTGGTCGCGCCGATCGCGATCCGCCGTCAGACGTGGAGACGCGAGGGTTGCCCCCCTTGCCCCACCACCTCGTGTGTGTGGAGAAGTTTACCTTACCTTACCTTACCGCAATACGAACAGACGGAGTGTGACTGTGTTGTGTGTGTGTCGGACATCCGAGACGCACATCCGTTTCTTGACCACACAAGGTTCGAAAAGGGTGCGGTGCACACATGAGTCATGTTCACGTCCCACGTCCTCGCGGAGTGAGTCGGACACCATCAGTCCGTCGCCCCACCTCGCCCAGCACGTCCCAGCCGTCGCCTCAGCGCGACGGGACGGTGTAGACCGCCTCGAGGTACTCGACGATCTCGGGGCTCTCGAAGAGCTCCACGCCCGTGTTTGGGTCGACCAGGTACGGCACCTGGAACTGGACGCCCGTCTTGCGCACGAGCGCGTCCCGGTTGGCGGAGCCGCGCGCCGTGGGCACCAGAGTGTGCGGCAAGCAGAGCGCGCAGAGCTTCTCCCGCACCGGGCGGACGAACGGCGACGGCTCGTAGCCCCACAGCTGCAGCGGCTGCATCGCCTCGTTGTCTGGCCGCGCGTTCGGCTGCCGCTGCGAGCCGGCGAGGCCTCGCAGCAGCGTGGCCAGCGTGGCGGTGGCCACCTGGAAGCCTCCCCGCAGCGGCCAGAGAGCCTTTGGGTCGTACGCGGCTCTGGGCGGTCCGTAGGTCGAGAGCATGTACTCGACGATGTCGTCGCTCTCGAACATCTCGGTGCCCGTGTTTGGGTCCACCAGGAACGGGACGGTCATCCGGCCGGTCCGCTCCTACTCATGATCGTCTGCCGGTCAAGAAGGAGGTCGGGCACGGGCGACGGTCCGCCGGCCAGTCATGTCCTGCAGCTCCGATGCGAAGCCCGCCCTCGCGCCGGGGCAAGGGCGGAGGGCGAGCGGCAGGTCGAGCAGCAGCGCCGCCTCGCGCACCTATCCGTACCACTCTAAGCCGTCAGTGAGTTGGCGGCAGGTGCAGCAGGGCCGCCCCACGCGCCTTCCGACAAAAGGGCGAACCCTCGTACTCGTACAGCACCAGCGGCTCCTCCGGCCGCACCGCTTCCGCTAGTAGCGGCGAAGTATCGCGAAAGGCGACCGGGCCGACGCGAAAGCCGTATGTGCCAGACTCAACTCCGACCGCCGCAGCGTCGTCGCCGGTGAGCAGTCTGGGCGTCCAGCCGAGTGTGAACACGCCTGTTGCCAGCCGGACGGCGAGAGCAAGTCCACCGGTGATCAGCGACGGCAGCTGCTCCTTGGGACGGGTCATCGAGAGCGGCTTTGGCTTGGGCGCGACAAAGCCAGCCGGCGCTGCCACAGCCGGAGGTCGCGCGGCGCCACCATCACCGGGCCGTGTAGTTGGCTGCACCATCTGCACGAAGCCTGCTCGGTTCCCAGGTGCTGTCGGTCTCAGCGCGATGGGCAGGAGGAGCAGGAGGACTGGCATGGCTACGACGGCGGGGCGGCACCGCCTTGCCTGTCTGCGCCGTGTCTGCACCCGGCTGTTTGCGGCCGGGCTGTGTTGCGAAGCGCAATCTCCTGCGTGCCGAACCGGCGCGAGAGGGAGTATCCGCGGGTGGGGCGGGGGGGGCCCTCCCCTCCTAGATGATGATTCTAGCACTTCCCTCCATAAGATAAGGCCGCCTCGAATGTGCATAGAGGTGGTCATTGAGAGGGGAGTCCTAGAGAGTGAGTGAGTGAGTACACACACACACTCGGAGTCCTAGAGACTGAGGGAGTTGAGGTTATTTTGTATGTCTGTGTTGCGAAGCGAAAAAGAATTTTTCGATTCGCCGCACGACACTGGGCACGGGACTGGCGCGCACTGGCACTAACACAGCTCTGTGTCTTGGTTTGCCAACAACATACCTTAAACACAGGTACACCACGGGAGCCGCCTAAGCGACTCCTGCGAGGACGGCGAGGCACTTATGCACTCGACCCCCGTCGCCGCAAGCTCATTCACAATCTGCTCTGCGATGCGGTGTGAAGAACGCCTGGATGCGCCCTCTGTTCGTTGCGAGCACGATTCGCGCATTCCTCAGAAGCCGTCGCGGCCCCCACCACAGGAGCAGTCACACCACTCCCACTCCGGCGCCCACCCCACCCCACCCACTGAGGCGTCGACCGCTGCCACCGCCGCCGTCCGACGCAAAATGGCGCCTGCTCTCTCTCCGCTTGTGCGCTCGCTCATGCGGACCGCGCTCTCCGTCTACCGCGCGCTCGCGCTCTGGGTCTTGTGGGTCCGGCGGCTGCTCGCCGGCGGCGGTGGCACCTCCACACTTGCCGAGCAGCGGGTCGCCAGCGGCCAAGCTTGGGACGAGTTTTGCGACACACTCAAGGCCGCCGGCGCGACGCTCGTGGCGCCGGGCGCGCCGCAGGATCCGCTCAATCAGGCTGAGGGCTACCGCTACCTCTCCCGACTTCTCCGCGCCGGCCTCGAAAACTTTATCGAGTGCGCCGACCCGGAGGGCGCGCCGCAGCTGTGCGCGATCGCGAACGGCAGCCGCGCGGCGCGCATCTGCATCGGCTCCGACAACCCGGACAACCTCTACGAGAACGCGACGCTCGACGGCTCGCTCGAGTACGTCGTGACCGGCACGCGTGGCACGGTCGGCTACCTGGGCTTCGGCACGCAGTCCGGCCAATACGGCGGCAAGGGCGGCTTGCGCACGGTGGACTACCTCGAGGCGGAGCAGCTCGTCTACGACGATGCCGCGGCGGGCGGCCCCAGCGGCGGCGAGCGCGGCTTCACCATCCTCCTCTCGGCGACGCGCCCCGCCGACGCTCCCAACTGGCCGCAGCTCCTGCCACAGCCTCGAGCGGCGATGGTCAGTCGTGACCACAGACTCGTGATCGCGTAGGCTGCAGCTCGTGCCGGAGCCTCGAGAGGCGATGTTCATCGTGCGGCAGACGTTTGGGATCCGAGCGTCGGAGCAGCCCGCCCGGCTCTCGATTGCGCGGCGCCACGGCGCGGGCGAGCCGTCATCGCGTGGCGGCGGCGGCGGCGGACCGACGCCGCTCAGCGCGGCCAAGCTGGACGAGGGCCTGCAGGCGACTGCGGTGCTCGTCGCCGGCGCGTCGGCGATGTTTGCCAAGTGGGCGGCCGGCTTCCAGCAGCACACGAACCAGCTTCCCCTCTTCGACCAGCGGAGGTCGAACGAGGCAGGGTGACTCCCCACATGCCCGGCGCTGTTCATGAGTCGATGCTGCTGACTGCTACTCATTGTGCGACAAGGCGGGCGGCGACCCGAACATCCGGTACTACCACTCGTACTGGCGACTGCCGCCCGGCTTCGTGCTGCGCGTCACCGCGCGTCCGCCGGCGTGCCGCTGCTGGAACTTCCAGCTCAATAACCACTGGATGGAGAGCCTCGACTACCGCCACCACCCCGTGCACACCAACTCGACGCTCGCGCGGCCCGACGCGTCCGACCCGTCGCTGTACACGCGCGGCTCGTCTTGCAGGGGAAGGGAAGGGCACGTCCATGACACGTCCTGCACGCGTGCCGCAGGTACACGCTGCTCGTCTCGCACGCCGACCCGAACGCCGACGGCACTTTCCGTGGCAACTTCATCAGCACCGTCGGCCACCAGCAGGGCACGATGTGCTTCCGATGGGTCGGCGTCGCCCCGCACGCCGACGGCGACGCGCTGCCGCACCCGAAGGCAGACCTCATCCCGCTCGACCAGCTCATGCGCGGCGGCGTCTGAAGAGCGAACCTTGCTCAAGTGCGGCGTGGTCTGGGCGCTCGTTCGTATGAAACGAACGAACCTCTACCGTAATCTATTCAGGTCGGCCCCCTGTTCAACCAACGATCTGTCAGTCTCGTACGTGAGTTCGTCTGTGAGTACCTCCACTGCGATATATCCCTATCTCTGTGTGTAAAATAATCACACGGGTCGCGCAAGCAACGCGACGTTTCTGCGTGGTGAATTGCTCTCGATACCGTGCCTACGCCTTTGCCGGTGGCACGAGCGGCGCGCTAAGGTCGGGCGAGAGCACTTTGCCCCAGTTGGGCGGCGGCGAGATGCCTAAACTCGGGGCAATCGCATGTGAACAGACGCCGTTCTCAGGGCTCGCCGTCTTGGGCGGCGACGCGGTGCAGTTGTCGTGGAGCAGCAGCGCGAGGAAGAGCATGGCGGCCACTGGGGCAAAGAGCCAGACGTCGGTCTTGTGGTACGTGTAGGCGCCGCAGCCGCTCCCCACGACCATGCCAAGAAAGATGATCCCCGACTGGACGAAGCCCGTCTTGTCAGCAAGCTTCAGGCTGCCGAGCCCCTTGTCCGTCACCTTGATAGGGCCAGGATCTGAAGGCTCAGATGGCCACGCGCTCGTCCGTTCTGGGCTTATCTCGGCTCTACACCTTCCACAATATCTTGGTCATCTTGTGCAGGTGGCCCGTCGCAGCGAACGTCACCGCCTTGAGCCGCGACCCGTCCGATGTGGGTCCGCACATAAAGTGGACCGCACCGAGCGAGCACGAGACAAAGAGCACGCTCCAGCGCGCCTGTGGGGAGGATGCAGCTTCAGGCAAGGCTCCACCCATGCTCCGCCTCGGGAGACTCTCCAGCCCGCCCAGTGGTTCTCGTTCTGAGAGTGCTTCTCGACCGGCCCCCAGCCCAGGTCGCCACACGAGTACGGGATCAAATCGCCCATGAGCACCATCGCAGACAGCAACGGCGCCGCCCACGTCGCCGACTTTGCCGGATAGCGGTGCTCAAAGGCGCAGTAGGCAAAGGCGCCGAGGCACGAGATGACAATGACAGAGCAGCGAAAGTAGAACTCCTCCCAATCCATTAGCCGCACGAGCTCCTGCGGCGGCGGGACATGGCGTGTAGAGCCTCCGTGTCGCGGGTGCGACTCTCTGGAAGAGGCGTGGACGTTGCGTGTGGGTGTGGGTACGACGGAGCACACGCAGGTCCTCGGGCATCTCAGCCATGTGTAAAGTCAGTCTCTGATTCGATCCTTGGAGTGCTCCGGCACGTCGTTGTCAACAGGGTCGATCAGGTGGTGCAGTGTTCGTCCCAAGAAGACCACGTTGCCGGTCTGCGGCGGCAGCAGGGTATCGAGGACACTCAGCGGCCCACGAGTCTCGCCGCGGGAAAGAGGTTGGCTAGGCGGAGGGGGAAGCCGGCCTGCGTAGCTGGAAAGACGTCAAAGCGGATGAAACAGACGACATCAACGTACCTACATGCGTTTTGCGTCTTCGAGACTGCCGCTAGAGTTGCTGGCCAAAAAGAGCGGTGGGCGGCATCGGCGTCACCCTCCGAGTACGGCGAGGAGAAAGGAGACCAGCGTCTTCCACTTCGCCTCGTCGAGCGTGCTCTTTACCGCGGCCATCGATTTGCGCGCCGCCGACGTGCCTGCGCCCATGCTGTTGCGAGACTTCGGGTCGTAGTCTAGGGCTCCGCGTCGTCGATCTCCTGCGTGCGTCCCCGCTTGTGTCGTCCTCCCGTCAATCCCCCCCTTGGGGCCGTCGGGTGCACCGCCCCGACCCCACCTCGCGTCCGCCGTCGCCCGGGTCCACCCTCGGGTCCGCCGCCGGGCCGCCCCCCGAGGCCGGGTCCGCTGCCTCGTGCCATGGAGACGGAGGGGTCAGGAGCGGATGATGCGGCAGCGGGAATGGACGGAGTTGTGAGGAAGTCGGACTTCGCAAATGCAAAGGTAGTGGACGGCATGTCAAGCAATAGCGCCGCGGCACGTCAGCGCCGCACCGCCAAGCTCCGAGCCGAGTACGGAGAGATACCCCTCACCTTCTACCTGACACTTGCCATCACGAACCTTGACGAGGCCACCTTTGAGCAAGTCAAGCTCGCGGCCGGCGACAGCTTTGGTTATGAGGAGGAGAAGGTCTCGACGGCCTACCTACCGCGCCTCGCGGGCTTCATTGCCTCCAAGGTTCTGAGCCCCGAGACGATGACGGAGCAGGTCTCGGACGAACTGGCGCGGCAGCTGCCTGACAAGCTCAAGGACTTTGGCATCGAAATGCACATGAAGACCGTCTTCTGTCATGGCTGCATTGCCGTCGTCGAGTGCTTAGCCTGCGACGTTGCACTCAAGAAGCTCATTGAGCTCGCCGGCGCGCAGAGAAAGTGCTGCAAGGACGCACCTGTGCTTAAGTGCATCCTTAAGTGCCTACAATGCTGCGGGTTCGACGACGACGTCGAGGCGCTGATCGTGCGCCCGCGTGCGGTGGAGAAGGTGTGTCTTGCAAGAGGCAGCTGCCCATGCCACCCTCCTTTCACATCTCCCGCTTGTGACAGGTCATGGTGATGCTCGAGTCCGAGCTGCCGCCCTACCTCCAAACCGAGCACGGCATCCAGTGCGAGGTGATGGCGCTGCACGCGGAGGACTTTGGCCCTGCATTCTTTAGCATCCTGGAGCGGTTGCACCTCCACGGCTGCTCGGAGCATGCTGTAGAGGATCAGCCGGGGGTCGAACTCGGGGTGGAGGAAAAGTAGCAGAGGACTTGAGCATGCGCGTGTGTGTGGCATGGCCAGGGGCGCAGCAGCTGGGCGCGGTGCCTCGCGCCGACAATAGTTCACTCTCTACAGTCACCAAGAGCGCGTTGGGGGCGACTAGATTGGCTCGGATTCTTGGTCTAGGTTGCCACTTTTGTATGGTGTACAGTGCTCCGCACCTCCTCTCCCCGGCGCACACACACGTGTGCGTTCACAAACGCGACAGCGTGGGCGGCATCCCCCACGCCTCCAGCTTCTTGTCAAAGCGCCTTATCGACGGCGGCCTGCACCTGGGGGGGAGGGGGCGCGGGAGGGGGGGGGGGGGGCACCACACGAGTTTCGCGGCCGCATGGGGGACGTGTCGTGGACGCGAGCGGCTTGCGCGCCTCCTCCTTGCTCTTTGCGGCGCGTGTCTCGTCGCCGAGCGTGTCCTCGGGCGCCTGATCAACGAGTGCGTGCTTAGTGGGGCGGAGTGCGCGTGTCTCGTCGCCGAGTGCCCTGCTCGGGCGCCACGAAGGGCAGCGCCGCAGCAACCCCCTCCTCGAGCCGCGCCTGGCCGTGTCGTGGACACGTCATGGACATATCAAGGAGTGTGGAGACCCCCTCCTCTATGGCCGGGGCCTTTGTCAGGACGGTGGTGCCGCGCGAGGTGAAGTGCCACGGCTCGTCGCACTCCTCGATGTACGTCGCCTGTTCTCAGAGCTGCTGCCTGTGAGCAGCGTCTCTCTCAGCACGGCGCGTCGCACTCCTAGAGAGGCGGACCTCAGCGGCGGTGCGGAAGCCGGAGATGGCGCGTGGGACGGGCACACCTCCACCCTCCATCCCTCGCACTCCGCCCGCCGGCCGCTTGTCCATCGGACCGACCTTGCCGTCGCCTGCAGGGGGGAGGGGTTCAGGGTTCAGAAGAAGCTTCCTCCAGAGACAGCCTCGCAGAGGCGAGCTCCGCCGCTTGTGTACCGGCCCCGTCCCTTGCCACTCGCCCCTACTGCTACTCCTACACACTCTTGCCGCTGCGCAGCCCGCACGGCCTCGCATCGCGTTGTGCTCTCGGCGAATCTGGGCGAATCTCACCGTCTGCAGCTCCAAAGGGCTTCCCCTCGCGTGGGTCTCCCCAGATCGGCTCGAGCGGTACCGCGTCCTTCTCCGCACCCTCCACGATTGCCCACTCGTCCCGCTCCCACGCTGGCTCCCACGCCGCCATCATCGTCACGGTGCCTAGGACAGGCTCCAGGAAGGGTCAGAGGAGAGATCCTCTGGCTGGCTCCCACGCGGCGAATGGTGGCGGGGCCCCCGCGGCCGCGGGACGCGGTGACGGCCTTCTCCTCCGCCGCCTTCTCCGTCGCCACAAACTCCTTCAGCGCCTCGTCCGCCTCTGAAGGCAGGCCCTCTATCGCCGCCGCAAAGCCGACGCTCAGCTCGCTCGGCGCTGGCGCGGCGGCCGGGAGGTCGGCAGCATCGTTGAGTTCGGCGCACGCGTCGCGCAGCGCGTACTGCCGGCCGAGCTCTGCGTCCACCGCGTTGGTCCACATCGACAGGAATTTTGCCAGCCACGGCAGATCCCTGCGGAGAGAGCGGGGCGGCGCTCAAGCCGCAATGTGACAAACGAGTGAAGCGTGGGTGAGAGCCGACGGGTTGTTGCGCTCGTCGAGCGAAGGGCGTCGCGAGTGCCATTGCTCGAGCGACGCCGCGGCAACGGTGAGTGCAGTGAAGTGGGTGGCGGCGCTCGCCAGATCGTCCGAAAGCTGCCGTTGCGAGGCATGACGGGCTCGTCGGTGTTGCGAAAGGCCGTCATGGCCGGAAAGGCACGCGTCGGAGGCGACCGAGGCTGCAGGTGGAGACCGCTCGCCGCGGCGACGGTCACGGCGATGAAGGTGAGATGCATCCTGTATAACATAGGAGGTGCCACCGTGGTGTCCAGGTCAAAAAGAAAACATGCGACGCTTCTTCCTCACGCGCGCGAACGCGATGCCACCTTCATTTATTTTCTAGCGGTGTGGTCTGTGGGTGCCGAGGGAAATAAGAACTTACGGCCGCCGCGACTCGCCCAACCATCGCCGCTCGTTGCGTCCGCTCTCGTCGGGCCGTTGCGGCTCGCCGTGCCAGCCTCCCGCCTCGCCCAGATTGAACCTGGGCTGTGTCGAGGGGGAACGGCCACCGTGGCGCTTTGGTTGGCCGACCGAGAATCGACGGAAGGTCAGGTAGGTATGACGTATGCTTTGTTCCCCCAAATTCTCTTTCTCGTTACAGTTTGAGAAAAGCGCCCGCCACCACTCTCCGGTTCCGTCGGGGCTGCTCGCCAACGTCGTGCCGCCCGTGAGTTCACTCACCATGATAGACAGCCTCATCGATTCCTCCGACTTTCAAGACACGGCGAGGCGGTTTTCCGCCTTTGCGTCGCGAGCGCAGCGGCAGCTCGTTGCCGCCGCCTCATCCGGTGGAGGGCAGGCCAGCGGGCCGACAGAGGAGGAGCTGGCTGCGCAGCTTCATGCGCATCTCGCCTCGCTCCCCGCAGCCGACGCAGAGCACGCGTCCTACAGCCTTGTGGCCAAGCTACATGAGAGGGCGTGGCTAGAGGCGGCCAGTTGCCCATGCCTCTCCCGCCCCAGCCATCTCGGCTTGATGTTTTGCCCTCCCTGGGCATTCACACGTTTCCCATCCTCCACGGAGCGATGTGGAGCCCGAGGCGTCTTCCGACTCCTTCTAGGCGGGGCAAGCACAGGACAGAGAAGAATGCGGCAGCAGAGGCGATGGCCTCCTGACAGAGGCAAAGGTCTCCGAGGGCGTGGCCGCCCTAGCCGAGCGGCTGGGCGAGCTGGCACGCCGAGCGGCGGCGGACCCGGTGCTCCTGCACGAGCTGAATGAGGCGTGCAGCGACGGTGTCGCCCTTACGACGAAGCAGGGCGGGCGAGAGATATGCACGGAGTGCGAGGGTCGCGCCTCGTCCTCATCGTCCTCGTCGGACTGCGCGGTCGACTTCCTTGGCCTGGGGGATTGCAACCTCGACGGCGGCGCCCTCCTCGCCGAGCTCGGCGACCTGCCGCCGCTGACAGAGCTGCCTGCCGTGCTTGAGGCACTACGCGTGTGCGAGCCAGAGGCGCGCGGCGAGAGGCCTTGCCCGCCATGCCACTTGTAGACGCGATCTATGCACTCGCCCAGTGGCTCAGCAATATGCTCGCCCTCTTCCACGCCCGCCGCTCAAACGACCGACCCGCTGCCTGACGCGCGTCCTGACGCGCGTCCGCGACACGTACCGCAGGAGCTGCCGGCTGTGTGGGCGAGACTCTCGCCATTTCCGCCGGCCGACCTCGCAGAGAGCGACGCGTGGGAGGCGGTCCTGAGTAGAGGCGAGTCGATGGCCACGCAGCGCGGGTGGCTAGAGGTCACAGCGGCCGCTGCGTTGCCCGCGGGCGCAAAGTACGCGGGGTCAGGCGAGCCGCGCGCCACGGCCCTGCTGCTGCTCACTCTGCTCTGTGCGGACGCGCAAGCAGGCCTCCTCCTCCGCCGGCGGCTGGGACTGGTTGCGGCGCTGCGCGCTCCCATGGGATTGGCAGCAAGGCATGCAGATGTGGAGGGGGCAGAGCCGAGCCTTCCCGCTAGTAGCAGCGCGGATAACGGCTCTCCGCCTGGCGCGCGGTTTCTCAACATATTTCATGGCTGGCACGACGGAGACCGCGGCGATAACGGCGTTTCCTCTCCCAGTGGGCAGTATGGCGCTGCAGACGGCGCTCCCCCCGCCGCCTTTGCCGACCTCTCCTCGCCGCCGTGCTGCCTCGACGAGGTCTGCAGGTCCCGGCTCCTCGCGCGACTGCTGCAGTGGGGGGTCCCCTCCGAGTGGGCGCTTGACCACCGCTCGCTCGCCCGCAGCGAGTACTTCCCGCTCCACAGGCCGCCCGCACCAGCGGCGAACCGACCACCGCCGCTCTCCTCCGCTGTCACAACAGCATACCCGCCACGCTCCCCTCTCTTGGCTCCGGTGGCGGCGGCGGCGGCGCTTCTCGAGGGCGGCAGCCTCGACGCCGCAACAGCTGCCCTCCGTGCCGCGTTTGCCGCCGCCGGTGTGCATGCGAATACCACCGGCACCGACTCGCTCTGTGCTAACTCTGCAGAGTCTCTGCCACAGCGACGCGCCGTCGGCCAGCCGATACGACTCTCTCCACCCTCGGAGCCGGTTCCATCGATCGCAGTCGCTGCCAATCGTCTTCCGCCGCATTGGGTGACTGGAGCCGTCCTATTGCTTCGCTACGCCGCGCGCGCGGGCTCGCTGAGCACGGAAGCGGCCGCGCGAGAGGGCGACGGCCTCCCCTCTGGCGCGCATCTAGCCTCCCTCTCTCTCGTCTCGCTCCCGCCGCCAGCGCATCGCCTCTCCTATGCAGGCGAAAGTCTGACAGTGGCCTGCGCTCGCCTGCTTGCCTTTCTTGCCGATCTGAGCTCCATTGTGTGGGACAGCAGCGGAAGCGGCAGCAGCGAAGACACGCCGCTCGACCTGTTTGCAGCCATGGCCTGGACCCTTGGCGGTGACACCGCGGCGAGACGGTCCCTCGGTGCGAGGCAATCAACCCCAATCCCGCGCAGGAGCGCACGCGTGACAGGCTGCCGATCCTCTCACTCGTGCAGGCGACCTGTTCGCATGCCCCGCTGCCCAGCTGGTGTGGCCTGCCGCTTTCGCCACACGGCTGGCTCCGCGCTCGCTCGGCCCGCCTCCGCTTTGCGCTCCGGCGCCGGTGATTGCCCTCGTCGACCGGATCCTGCGGGCAGAGCTTCCTCAGGTGGTGGCCATGGACCCTGCAACGGTCAATCTCGTCCATTACCGACCCGCTCTCTTGTCCGCCCACCTCGCAGGTGGAGTCTGCCTTGCATTCGGCGGGTGTGGCTCCGGCGCTGCTCACTAGTCGTTGGCTCAGCCAGAGCTGGTTGAATGTGCTGCCCTGGCGGTCACTACAGCAGGCGGGGGTGGCGGGAAGACGGCTGAGACCCAGCCCTCCAGATCACGGGGTTCTGCTGCCCTCCCAGGCGTTCGCTCTCCCCCTGCTCGCCGGCCCCAGCTGGTCCGCGTACCTCTGCGTGGCCGCCTGGCGGTTCCTTGAGCCCGAGCTAGCGCGGCGAGCGCCTTGCGGTGCGCTGCAGACACTGTCGGCGGCGCAGCAGCAGTTTGCATCTCAGCCGCTCCTCTCGCATGAATTGTGGGTGTAGGCGATTTGCTCCCCTTTTTGCTGCTTGGTGAGGCGCTGGAAGGCTTCGAGCCCGCAGCCGAGGTTGGTTTCATGACGGAGATCGCGCGGCGATACAGGGAGGACGATGCCTGAGATGGCAGGGCGCGGGGCGGGCGGCTTTTGTGAGCGCCGGGGGAACGTGTGTCTCCCGGGGAACCGACACTCTCCGGAGAGCGCGGTCGACACGCCCGGGGGTCTCGTGCTCGACTCGTGGGTGCGCGCGCGGGGGACGGGGGTCCAGAGGGTCTGTGACTGTGTGTTCCCCACATTGAACATCTTGCTTTTTCGTTTTTGGATCCGATCGAGCATGTGTGGTTCCGTGGAGCAAAGTCCAAAAGCACCAAGCTCCAAGAGGTGACATCGACTGACATGCCAAGGATGAAGAGGAAGCTTGTGCGCGCATTACAGCTTTAGCCGCGTATAGGTAATACTCGTCGTCTTGCAACATGGAGAAGGAGGTGCACAGGTGGAGCGCATGGGTAAGGTAAGGTAAGCTAGGTAAGGTAAACTTCTCGCATGCGCGCGATGCGGCATGGGCCATGGCCAGGTCTCAACTGCTCGCGTTTAATATACAGCCGGAGAACACACATCAGACACTAGTGACGAACGGGGTGTTCTGTTGTGGGGTGTTGACATAGTAGACGCTCTCGCGTGGATGCAACGTGATCACACACACTGAGACACGGTGACGTCATCGTACGGGCGACGCCTCGAGACGAGAGAGTCAAGAGGTGTCGTGACGACAGAGGGAGGAGGGTCGCCCAAGCGCCGGCGGGAGGGGAGGGAGCAGCTAGCCAGCGGCAACCCGCTGGTCGCGCCCCTCTCCCGGAGGGAGGGAGGGAGGGAAAGAGGGAGGGAAAGAGGGGGGGGGGGGGGGAGGCTTGCCGGGGCCTCCTCGGCCCGGGCCTCGTCAGCCGGCAAGGCTCATCCCCTCCCAGAGAGCACTCTGCCAGAAGCCGTGTTCGCCCCGCTTGGCGCCGCGCGCCGCGTAGGCCGCGCTGCGAAGCACGCGCCACATCTCGAGGTTGCCTAAGAGAGTTAGCCGCGAGCCGTGACTCGCCGGCGGTGTTGGCCAGGCCACGCGCAGCTGCTCTAGCTCGCCCGCGAAGAAGCCCGGCTCGTGGTAGGCGACGCCGAGCGGGAAGAGGCGCTTGCACTCTGCCGAGCCGGCGGGGAAGTGCGCCTCGACCACCTCGCGGACCATGTCGCGCGCGAGGCGGAGGTTGTGCCGCGGCAGGCGGGGGAAGAGGTGGTGCTCGATCTGGAACTGGAGGCCGATGTGCACCTGCGGCGCAAGAGGGGGGGGGGGGGGTGGAGTTGCGCCGCTCACAGCCTCTGCCTGGAGCCGGAGGCACGGCGGGGGACCCTGTCGAGCCCACGATCTCGGCTGCATCTCGGCTGCATCTCGGCTGCATCTCGGCTGCATCTCGGCTGCATCTCGGACCCAGTCGAGCCACGGCGGAGTGGCGACGTTCATCGTCGTGCGCATCGTCGTGACGTACCACTCGTCGTCCGCGCCGTTGTACGCGCGGCCCTCGTACGTGTGCATCGACCAGTGCGAGAGGACGATCTGCACGTGCAGGATGCCTGATTCGTCCATGCACTCCTCCTCAGCCGCGGGGTTTGGGCCGAGAGTGCGGTCGGTCTACCTCGGGGCGCCGGCGACTGCGTGCGACAGCATCACCCACCCGACGGACTCGGCCCAGGAGGGCATCGAGAGAGCGGTGCCGAGCACCCACCCAAAGTAGACTGCGATGCCGGCGAGCTCCGTCTTGCGGAAGTGCGTCTTGTCGGGCTGCGTGAGGAGGTAGATCAGCCCCTGTGCGTACAGGTTCCACCGCCCGAGCGCCATCAGCGGGTAGAAGAAGAGGTGCTGGTGCGAGACGAGCCAGTGCGCCGCATCGTCCATGCCGACCCACCTACAACCCCCGCCCAATCTCGCGTCATCTCGGGCCATCTCCGAGCGGCGCGTCGACCGCCCCGACCCACTTTCGGTGGTAGGTGTCCCAGAAGCGCGGCCGGCGGAAGACCTTGTCGGTGATGGCGAGCATCGGCATGTGCTGGATGTTCGGGTCGTGCTCGACGGCGTTGCAGACGACGTGGTGCGTGTTGTGGTCCGACTTCCACCAGCCAACCTAGGGGAGGTGTGCCGCTCGCCGGTGAGGTGGTGACTGTGGTGGCGTGCTGTGGTCTCGCTGTTGCGGCAGCCGACCGACAGGCCCATGAAGGCGGAGAGGAGGGAGCCGACGAGGTGGTCCCGGCGGAAAGAGTGCGTCACCTGCAGGTGTTGCGAGGGAGGTGTTGCGAGGGAGGTGTGCGAGGGAGGTGTTGCGAGGGAGGTGTGCGAGGGAGGTGTTGCGAGGGAGGTGTGCAAGGGAGGTGTGCGGCGGAGGTGTGCGAGGGAGGTGTGCAAGGGAGGTGTGCGAGGGAGGTGTGCGAGGGAGGTGTGCGAGGGAGGTGTGCGAGGGAGGTGTGCGAGGGAGGTGTGCAAGGGAGGTGTGCGAGGGAGGTGTGCGAGGGAGGTGTGCGAGGGAGGTGTGCGAGGGAGGTGTGCAAGGGAGGTGTGCGGCGGAGGTGTGCAAGGGAGGTGTGCGGCGGAGGTGTGCAAGGGAGGTGTGCGAGGGAGGTGTGCGAGGGAGTGGTCGTGTGGCCGAGGCCTCTGGAGAGTCTGGGAGGTGTCTGGGAGTAGCAGCAGATGCCTAGGAGGTGTCTAGGTGTCTGGGAGGTGTGTGGGAGGTGTGTGGGAGGTGTGTGGGAGGTGTGTGGGAGGTGTGAAGGAGGTGTGAAGGAGGTGTGTCTGGGAGGTGTGGAGGAGGTGTGAAGGAGGTGTCTAGGGAGGAGGCACTCCGCTGTGGCCGAGGTCGTGCCCGATGCCCGCGAGCTGCTGCCAGAAGACACCCATCAGCGCCGCGCCGAGCATGTGCGCGCCGCACGAGTCGCAGCCGAGAGAGAGGTACCTGAAGAACAGGAAGTCCTCGGCTCAAGAGAAGGGAAGGCGCGGCGCGCCGCAGCCGAGCGACGGGGCACATCGCGCAGAGCCAGAGCGTGCAGTGCCAGGCGAGCATCTTGAGGTAGAAGCGCGAGTCCGTCTCGAAGAGCCCGCGCCGCAGCAGCTCCTGCCGGATGCGGCGGAAGTCGGCGACGTGCGGCGCGACGACGATCTCGCCTGCGAGGGGAGCTCGGACAAGGGTCGGGGAAGGCGCGGAGGAAGGCGCGGAGGAAGGCGCGGGGAAGGCTCGGAGGAAGGCGCGGGGAAGGCTCGGAGGAAGGCGCGGAGGAAGGCGCGGGGAAGGCGCGGAGGAAGGCGCGGAGGGAGGCATCTCTCTCGGCTGGATCTCGGCTGGATCTCGGCTGGATCTCGGCCCCCTCTCTCTCGCCTGCCGCCATCGTGCCGATCAGGTACGCGGGCAGCATCCTGTCGTAGACGCGCGCGGCGTGGTAGTTCGCGAACACGTCGGTGCAGTCCTTGCCCGCGAGGTTAAGGATAGGGCCGACTCCGCCGGGGTGCGCGTCGATGAAGCGAGACACATCGTACACTCGCTCGTCCACGACGATCCACGCGTCGCCGCGGGAGCAGTGCTTCCCGACCTCGGCCAGCGTGTACTCGCGCAAGGTCGGCTGGCCAGCATGGGCCGGTGGCTGGCCAGCATGGGCCGGCGCTCCGGCCGCTGGCGCGGCGACGGCGGGCGCGGCGGCGGCGGGCGGGGGAGCTGCGGGATCCGAGGCGGGCGCCGGGGGGGCGGCGGGGGCGGGGGCGGGGGCGGGCGTCGGCGGGAGGAAGGAGAGGGAGCGCGGGTTGTCGTCGTTTGTGAAGTCGCGGGAGGCTCCCTCGAGGACGGGCGGCTGCGCGGTCTTTGCGCGCTTGATGTGCACGGCAGCCAGCCTGCGGGCCGGGGGGGAGGGGGGGGGGGGGGGGGTCGGTGTGTCCGCCCGTCAAGGAAGCAGGGACCTGTCCAGTGCGCGCGGCGCCTCGTCACGCCGAGCTCCTCGCGGAGAGTGAGCGAAGGGTCGGCCGGAAGGTCGAACGCTCGCTCCCTCCCCTCCCTCGCCCGGCCGGGCGCGAGCAGCAGCAGCGCTAGAGCCGCGGCGGCGGCGGCCGCGCAGAGCCGCAGCAGCAGCGCGTGCGGAGCCTCGTCAGCGAGGAGGGCGGCATCGGCGCCGGGCGCGCGCGGAGGGGCGTCGAGAGACAGGCACGCGGCAAGGCACGCTAGGGCCCCTGCCGCAGCCGAGCTGGCGACCCGCATCGCCGCATCCCCCTCGGCCCTCGCAGGCTGCTGCGGCGGCACGCGGCGAGCGATGAGGCTCCGCGAGGTGGGCTCGGAGCCGCCCTTGCCCCCCTTCTCGTCCCTCTTCTGCCGCAGCAGCAACTGAGAGAGCAGAAGCGCGCCGACGGCTGACGCGCCCCAGCGCAAGCGCCGCGAGCCAGTCGAGTCGACCTCGGGGAGAGACGACTTCGCGTACGCGCAGCCGAGGCAGGAGAGCAGCAGGAGGGCAGGGAGCCACAAGCGACACGCGTCCGTCGTAGGCCAAAACATAGCCCGATGCACCTGCAGCAAGGAGGATGCGCTTTTGGTGCATGCGCCGCGCGGGCGGGCACTGCGTCGGCGGTCAACGGCTCCCGGACGCTTTTGCACGGCGTGCGCCACGCGGGGGGGGCGGGGTGGATTCGCGCTATCGAGGGGCAAGGCGCACGGCCGCGCACCAGAATCTTCAGGGAAGGGAGCTCTCGGCGACTCCTCTCGTCGAAACGCCGAGTACGCCTGTGTTTCTTTTATTTGGGAACTTGCTTAGTTTGCAAGGGCGGCAACCCGACGAAGGGCGCCTGGGTCTAAATTTAGTGCGGTGCCGGCTCGTGCGACAGCCAGCCGCTCTGGAACAAGGCTCGCGCTCGGCGCGTACGGCCTCAATTCGCGCCATTCTTCTTTCTGCCTAGCCGCCATGGACCGGCTGCACGCGTGCGCGAGCGGTGGACCGTTCGCGACGCTCGACGGCGCCGCCACCAGCTCGCGACGCCTGCGCTCGGCGCCAGGCGCGAGAGCGGCACATATCTCCCTCTCTCGGCGTTGCATCTCGCCGCTTCCGAGGCCCCCACTCGTGCACGCTGATCCGAGGGCGCCGTCCCGCCGCGCAGGCCGTCTCGGTCGCGCTGATTTCCGCCTCGGCCTTCCGCGCGCTCCGCCTCGTCGCTGCTTGCGAGCGCGCGCAGCCCCTGCCCTAGCCGCCGCCGCGGCGCGCCGTCAACCGACGGCCGGTCTCACGGCCGGGCGGCACGGCCTCCGGTGCCGCCGGTCGAAGCGCGCCGCTCGACGCGCCGGTGCTTGCCGTTGCCTCTTGAGAGACGCGTGTCGTGTTTCGCGTGTGGCTCCTCTTTGTTTTTGCACCGTCGGCCCGAATTCTTAAAGCTCGGCGGACTCTTCGCTGGCGTGCGCAAATGCGGCGTCTGCCTCCACGTCAGCGTCCCCTCCCGAAGGAGGCTCGCTACCCTGGTCGTCCTCGCACTCTCCCGACCCGAGTATCAGCAGCCCAGCCGCCTCCCCGGCGGACTGGTCACATTCATCCTCGCCGTCCTCCTCTCCATCCTCGAACGAGGCGGCCCTATCCGCGCCCTCCTCCTCGCCCGAGGCGCGCGCCACGCGCCCGGGGCTCTCCTCTTGCGATGCCTCCTCCTCCTCCTCCTCCTCCTTGCCGCCGTCGCCGACGTCGAGGGTCTCGGAGAGGATCTCGGTCTCGTCCACCGCCGCCATGCCGTCGTCCGTCTGCTGCTCTAGCCGCCGCAAAAGCGTACGGTCCTGCGCCGCCCGCCTCTGCGGATCGGCGAGCTGCGCGAGCCCGCCCTCGCATGCCGGCGCCACCTCGACGCAGCTCCCGATCTGCGACTGTGGCGAGTGCGGCGGCGCCGCGAGCCACGTGAAGGCGAGCAGCGCGCCGCCCGCCGCGCACGCCTGGTTCCGGCGCGCCACGCACTCGAACTCCTCTCGGCGATTAATCCCGCCTCCGGCGCGCGAGAAGGGCTCGCTTCCACTGGCAAAACGCTTCTTGCGCTGCCGAGCTACGGCGGCGGCGCGCCGCACGGCCGGCGGTGCCAGGCGCCACCTGACCTCGCGCGAGATGTGCGCGAGGCGCAGCTGAGCGCGGTGCTGGCTCTGCGAAATCCCCGCCCCTTGCAGGTGGCGCAAGAGCTGCGCGGGGCAGGGCAACGAGAGGTGAGCGTCGTGGTCGCCGTCCAGAGAGAGGTGCGATGGCAGAGCTTTGAGCACGCACCCGCTGCCGACGTCGTCGAGCAGCAGCACGAGGTCCTTGTACTCCACGGGGGGACCGTCGATCAGGTTGCCGCGCGGGTAGCCCTCGGCGCGGAGCAGCTGCACGCCGGCGGGCAGCGGCTCGAGCGCTCCGTCAACCCACCGCGCGAGCAGCTTGGCGGCGTGGGGGAACGTGCGCCACGCCGCCTCGTCGAGCAGATGATCCGAGCGCGCGTTCACCTTACCCTCCTTCTGCGTCGCAGATATGCCGTCCCGCCACGCGCCCGCGTCGGCCGCGAGCGCCATCAGCGGAGCAGCCCCAGTGAATTGCTCCCTGCCGATCGGAGGGTGGAGCTGGATGCGGGGCGGCAGGATAGTATGGCCGAGAGACCACGCGACGAGGTAGAGGGTGCGCGGCGGGCCGCTCTGCCGCAGCGGCAAGCAGCCTTCCACGCCGACGCGATAGACGAGGCCGGTGCGCGAGCCAGAGATCTGCAGCTCGACGAGCGACGAGCGAGCCACGAGGCTGTCGATGGCCTCCTGGCGAGCCGCGCTGTCGGACCCGCTCACTGGAGCGCCGCTCGCCGACGTCAGCAGCAGCAGGAGCACCGCCGAGCGCGGCCGCTCGCCGAGCGCGCCTCCGAGGCCGCCGCGGCAGCCGCGAGCGCGTCGAGGCCGGCTCGTACGCGACGGCGTCGCCCAGCTGGACGGCGCGGACCGGATGGACATCAAGAGCGGGTCGGGAGGAGGGCTCAGTATCGAGAACTGCAGGGCTGCAGCTGGCGAGCTCGGCGCCTATGGGCGTGGCCTGTTCCGACGCTGCACGAGCGGGAAGTGTTTATACTGCATCTTTAGTGCACTTTAGCGCGAATTTAGAGCTCGCCGCCTTCGACGCCGCTGCCGCAGCCCGGTCCGGTCCGCTGCTCGCACCCTCTGCCACCTCCATGCCGTCCACGCAAGACTTCCTCCTCCGCACGGCGGAGCCGCGCGACTTTGCCGCGATGTGCGAGCTGCTCTCGCAGCTGACCGTGCTCGACGGGCCGTGCGGGCCGCCGACGAGAGGCGACTGGGAGCGGATGCTGGCGGGCGCAGCCGCGCGAGAGCAATCCATCGTCGTGGCCGAGGATGCACACAGTGGCGCGCTGCTCGGGACCGCATCGCTCATCGTGGAGCACAAGCTTGTCCGCGGCTGCGGACGCGTGGGCCACGTCGAGGACGTCGTCACGCACGAAAAGGCGCGCGGGCGCGGGGTCGGCCGCGCGCTGCTGGGACGGCTCGCTGAGCTCGCGCGCGAAGCAGGCTGCTACAAGGTGATCCTCGACTGCGCGGACAAGAACGCGGCCTTCTACGAGAAGAGCGGCTACCGGCGCGCCGAGCTTCAGATGCGGCTCGACCTCGGCCCTCCGCAGCGCGGCGCCCGCCCGCCGGCGCCCGCTCCCTCCAAGCGCGTCCTCTCTCTCCTCTCCGCCTCCACCGAGATCGTCTGCCGCCTCGGCTGCGCGCACCTGCTGGTCCGCCGCTCCCGCGGCTGCACCCGTGGGCAAGCTGTTCACAGCGTCTCTTCACGCCTTCTGCCATGTACAGGTCGGCCGCTCGCACGGCTGCGACGACCCTCCGCTCGCGACGGCGCTGCCGGTGGTGACTGCGCCGCGCGTCGACCCAAACGCGCCGTCGCTGCAGCTGGACGAGGCGGTCCGCGCGCAGGCGGCGGCTGGCGGCCCAATCTACCAGATTCGCTCCGAGCTTGTGCGCAGCCTCCGGCCGGACGTCATCGTCACGCAGGAGCAGCTCTTCTCTTCACTTCTCTTCCCTTCTCGCCTCGTCTCTTCTCTTCACTTCCCTTCTCTTCTCGCAGGAGCAATGCCGCATCTGCGCCGTCACTCCGGAGGACGTTGACGCGGCCTGTGTGGCTCTGCCCTCCACGGCACTCGTCACCATCATGCCGGTCACGCTCGACGACGTGCTCGGCGACGTTGTGACCATCGCAGCCGCCCTCGGTGCTCCTGAGCGCGGCCGGCGGCTGGTGGCGCACATGCGCGCGCGGCTCGGTGCCATCGCGCCGCTCGTGCCCGCCGGCGCGCCCGCGCCTCGCGTGGCGCACCTCCGTGGCTCGCGCCTGCGGACATGTCTTGGACATGTGCCGCGGACGTGCCGTGGACATGTCTGCTAGGCGCACCTCGAGTGGCTCGCGCCGCTGATGGGCAGCGGCTACTGGATCGCCGAGTGCGTGCAGGCGGCCGGCTGCTCGATGGTGCACGGCACCAAGGGAGGCCACTCGAGGGTCATCGAGCGCGCGTCGATGCTGGCGGACGCCGACCTGATCCTCCTCGCACCGTGCGGCTTCAGCCTCGAGCGCACGCGCGCCGAGCTCTCCTCGCTCCAACTGCTGCAGTCGGACGAGTGGCGCGCGCTGCCGGCGGTGAGGAGCGGAGCCGTGGCGGTGGCCGACGGCAACCTGTACTTCAACCGCTCGTCGTGCGGCGTCGTCGAGGCGGCGGAGATTGTGGCGGAGGCGGCGCACCCCGAGCTGCGAGGCCTCTTTGGCCACCACGGCAGGCATTGGGTGAGCCTCTCGGAGCTCGACGCCTTCTGCGACCGCGACGGCGCCGCGTCGCCCACCAAGCCCGTGGCGCTGGCCTCCGGCGTTGCGGCGGCTGCGGTGGAGAACGGCGGCGGCGCGGCCAAGCTGCGCGGCACGGACACCGCGACGCCGTCGGCACACGTCGACGCCCAGCTCGAGGCGCTGAGCGACGGCGACTTCGCCAGCGCCTTCGCCCTCAACTCGGCCGCCAATCGCGCGCGGCTGAGCGGCGCCGCCAACTTTGAGGCCATCGTCAAGGGCTCGCCGAGCTTCAGCGTTCTGCTGCACTCTTCGACGGTTTGTGTCGTGCAGTGCGAAGACGGCGAGGGCAGCGCGGCCGCCGCGGCCGTGCGCGTGCAGGCGACGGCGGCGGCTGACACCGCCGCCGCTGCGAACATCGCGGATGAGGTCCGTTTCGTCTTCGACCTGAGCCGCAGCGGCGCCGGCAGGTGGGAGACCGACGGCGTGCGTATAGAGTGCTGATGTACGAGTCACTCGAGAGTATGAGTACACACACGTGTGAGCGGCGAGTCCGTTTTGCGTGAGCTCCTACGTTTCCCTGATAAGGTGGGGAGCTTGTTCGGCGCGCGCGCCGCGCGGCCGGCGCGCGCCGCGCCGTCGTGGGGGGGTTCGGACACGCTGGAAACCACACCAACACACACACAGCCCGCGCCCCCCGGCCCCGCCGCGTATTGTTTGGGGCTACTCATAAAGCCGCGTGTCGGGAATTTGCCCCCCCCCCCCGGCCGCGCCGCGACGCCCGCGTGTCGGACTCGGAGTCCGGTCTCCGGAGACCGGACCCTCGAGGCAGGCGGCATCAAAGTCGGCCGCGCCTCACGCGCCACGGCCACAGTCCAGCACATCCTGCCGCGCGCTACACCGGCTCTCGAGTGTCGCAGCCGCGCGACGCGACGCGCGCTTCACCCCTCGACGACTCCTCTCGCGTTGCGAGATGCGAGTCGCCGAGTCTGGAGACCGGACGCTCGGCGTGCCCCATTTCTTCTTTCTGTTTTTGGCCTGTGGGCAAGTGGGCACCGGCAGTTTTTTTTAGAGAGCCGGCGTCCTCGATAGTCATATATTCGATTATGGAAAAGTCAACACCTCGTGATAAGCGAGAGAACTGCCGCACCAGCACTGTCAGTGCCAGTGCGCGCCACAGTGCGCGCCAGTTGTCATGAAACTGCGAAATGCGAAAAGGTAAGAGATAAACGTGACAAAGTATCGGCAAGCCAAACTAGAGGCAGACACCTGGTGCGTTACACCTGGTTACCTTAGCCACGGTCGTCGCTGGTCTGCCCGGTCTCCGAGTCTAGGTCCTTGCCCGAACGAGTTCGAGGGTGGATGGAGGACATTTTCTTGCAGTAACTGCTGCCGTGGGGGGTATTTGTTGACGCCGCTTACACAAAATTGCTGGCCAGAGAAGTAGATGCAATATCGTAACACTTCACATAGAAGTTTGCCGTCTGCTCGTTATCGACTATCTTGGCTTGAAGAGAAGTAGCCCATGCAGGGAAAAGGTCCCCTGCACTAGCTCCAAACGCGCAGTCAGCTTTGTCTTCTTTGAACACGAGGTTGACAGTGGTGTCACCCACAGACGGTACATTCAGGGCAACTTTGAAGCCTTTTGCCTGACCCTGGTCCAACTCAGTGCTGCCGGTAATGGCTGTACCATCAAAGTTCGTGATTGAGATAGAACCCATTTCGCATTTGGGTGGTTGCAACCATCAATCCCTTACCATCAATCCCACGGCAAGGGAAATCGAGATAGGACCATGGCTCGCCTCTGGCACAGGTACCTGAACCGCCGAAAGTGCACCTACTGTTGGTGTCGCGATGGAGCATTTGACAAAAAACAATTTTTTGGCCGTTAGGAAAATTCAGACTCAGTCTTTCTCTGTAACCACCCTCGAATGATTCTGCGAATTTGCAGGCCCCGCCCGCCGCCGCTGTACTTGTAAACTTGACATCTACCTGTAGTGGTGGTGAGTGATGTGGCAAAAAATGATGATGACGTCGCTTGCTCTTGCTGGCCTGCTCACCGGCGCGTCGGCGTTCTCGTCATTGACGGGATGCACTGGCGCTGACTTGGCGAACACAGCCGAAGAGTTCCTCCTCGCCGTGGATTGGGGCAACGGTTGGGGCTCCGTTAAGCACATCGTGACCGACTCCGCCCCGTTCTTCGGCCAGGCCAATTCGTTTTTGCCGTACAATACGGTCGAGGACTACGCCACGTGGGTGGAAGAGCTCGTTGCTGTGAGCCGCGGCAGCCACGCACTGTAGTCGAAAGTCGATAATCGCCCATGCGCACTCCGACCAGCGAATCCCGACAGGAACTCAGACATGAGATGCTCGTGCGAACAGGTGATGCCGGGCGCCAAGGACACAGATTGGACGATCGCCGTTAACGAAGCCAAGAGCGAGGTGCTCATCTACGCCACCTGGGAGGGCTGCCACACCGCAGCTCTCGAAGGCTACCCAGACCCGCCCACCGGCAAGTGCACCAGCACCAACTTTGTGTACAAGATCCACTTCAACGGCGCGTGCATGATCGACGGACTCCACAAGGTGTGGAACGATGGCTGGTCGCTGGCCGAGTTGGGATGGGCGTGAATGGATCGCCAAAAGAGCATGGCAGAAACATCTGCGTGCACCGAGCTTTGCGAGTGTCCTCGGTCCTGCATGCTACTCTGTCTCGGCTGTGCTGGCTCTGTGTCGGCTCTGTGTGTCGGCTTATACCTAAAGGTCAAGGTTGAGCTGTCTCGCTGCTGGCTCTGTGTGTTGGCTCTGTCGGCTTTGTACCTTTTAGCTTTTTCGTTCACGAGCGACCCCAAACAGCGTGGAGCACCGAATCCAGCAAACCTCAAACGGTTTAAGGTGCCTCGGGCCAGTTGGGGGGGCAAACCCAGCCCGCCCCCTAGCGCCCCAGGTAAGGCCCAGGTGTGGCCTAGGGCATCAGAAGGGACCAAGAGAGTCCAGTCTGAGCCATAGAGCCCATGTCTTTGCCCCCGAAGGTCGCGTTCAAATGCCTGGAACGGACGTTACAGTGGTGTCCGGCCGGCGCGATCACCGAGCTGTGACGCTCAGGGAAGCCGGTTGAGGTACTGGTTTCTTTGCCCAGGCCTGGCCTACAACCCGTGCTGGATCAGCTGAGCAAGGTTTGGGGAGAACCCCCCATTCAGATCTTCAGATATTTTGACCAAAATCACCCCGTTTTTGACCAAAATCACCCTCGATTCCTGTTTGTTGAATGTTGAAGCCCTCTTCGATGACGTGTGAGTGTTAGATTTGTTTGGTATTGCTAAAAATCTCTCTCTCTCAAAAAAAAACACTTCGATGCAGTTGCAGGAGTGATAACCCATCGAGGTGGGAGCCGCCTGCGGCATACTGAATCCTCCACCAGTGGCGCAAGCCCGCTCGTCCCGACGCTCGAGCGACTCGTCCACCTTCCCAGCCACACCCTGCACAGCAGCATGGCCATCCTCCTCCTCCCCTCCTCCTCCTCACTGTAGTTGTCCCACCCGTCGTCGGAGTCGTCGCCACGGCGCTCGAAGCGGCAGCAGAGCTCCTCTTCCTCTGCTTCCTCTGCTAGCAGCTGCGCCAGCACTGCCTCCCACTCAGGGTCGGCAGCAGAGCCAGCATCGCTTTGAGCAGAGCAGCGCATTGCCACGTCCTCGTCGCAGAGCTCCACCACGGCGAGAGACGTGGTGACAGTGGCGACCGACGTGCCAGTGGCGCGGCTGGCATCGCCAGCAGCGAGGCCGCCAGCATCGCCGCCGCGCACCGCGGCGTGGGGCGCAGCAGCGTGCCGTTCGGCCATCGTGTTACAACATCAGAACTGCTTTTCACAGCCTTGTTATTGAGAAGAAAATTCGCCGTCAACGATTGGGGTAGGGGCCCCAACTCGTGTGAGGCTACTACTTTATCGCAGGTACTCACTGAGGAGCGTCTTCTCATATGAAGGGTCTTCATCCCTCCTGCCAGTCTTCACGGATTTTTCTCCGTGAACACTCAGGACGCGACGTACGTCCAAGCACGTTCCGCGTGCCTCGTGGCCGCGCTCTTTGCGTGCTGCTCCTGCAGCTCTCTCGCTGCTCTTCCTGGCCCCGCGCCGTGCCAGCTCTGTGGCCGCGCCAGGCTCTGCGACCGCGCCAGCACTCTGGCTGCGCCGGTTCTTCGCTTTCTGGTGCAGATTCTGCTGCTGCGCCTTTTTCTGCTGTTGCCAGACTGCTGGCGGGCAGCAGCGCACGATGGACAGTGGCTGCATCCGTTACGCCTGCAGCAGCCGTGACGTCTCTCACCTCCTGCCTCGGCGGCCTCGACCACTCGGTGGCCCGCAGCGGTGGCTCACCGCTCTGGCTTGACTGCTGGCTCAGCTCCACGGTTGGCGTGCTGTGGTCTCTCATCCATGACCGTCACCTTCTGCGGCCCAGCTTTCTGGCATCAATGGGCCCAGGCAGACCCACTGGGTAGGCCTCCTCCCCAGGCAGCCACTGGGACCTGTCGACAGCCCACGGCCCGCTCGTGCGGCGTGGCGTCTAAGTCGCACATCCTTCTGGGCCTTAGCCCACTCTGCTGCCTGTCGGCAGCTTGGCGTTGCGAGCAGCTCTCTGCTATCGCATCGTCTTCTCTCTTTGGTTCTCAGACCCTCCCGCCCCTCTGGCGGCGTGGCGTTGCTACCAGCCCTCTGCTGTCGCATCGTCTTCTCCCTTTGGTTCTCAGACCCTCCCGCCCCTCTGGCGGCGTGGCGTTGCGACCAGCCCTCTGATGTCGCATCGTCTTCTCTCTCGACGGCGTGAGCCTCGTCTCGCTCTTCGTCTACTCGAGCCTCGTCTCGTGTGCCGCCTCGTGGGCGGCGTGGCGTGGCGGGCGGCTGTCTCTGCCGCCGCCTCGAGTGAGCCTCGTCTCGCTCTTCGTCTACTCGAGCCTCGTCTCGTGTGCCGCCTCGTGGGCGGCGTGGCGTGGCGGGCGGCTGTCTCTGCCGCCGCCTCGAGTGCGCCTCGTCTCGCTCTTTGTCTACTCGAGCCTCGTCTCGTGTGCCGCCTCGTGGGCGGGGTGGCGAGCGGGCGGCTGTCTCTGCCTCCGCCTCGAGTGCGCCTCGTCTCGCTCTTTGTCTACTCGAGCCTCGTCTCGTGTGCCGCCTCGTGGGCGGCGTGGCGGGCGGCTGTCTCTGCCGCCGCCTCGAGTGCGCCTCGTCTCGCTCTTCGTCTACTCGAGCCTCGTCTCGTGTGCCGCCTCGTGGGCGGCGTGGCGGGCGGGCGGCTGTCTCTGCCGCCGCCTCGAGTGAGCCTCGTCTCGCTCTTCGCCTACTCGAGCCTCGTCTCGTGTGCCGCCTCGTGGGCGGCGTGGCGGGCGGGCGGCTGCCTCTGCCGCCGCCTCGAGTGAGCCTCGTCTCGCTCTTCGTCTACTCGAGCCTCGTCTCGTGTGCCGCCTCGTGGGCGGCGTGGCGGGCGGGCGGCTGTCTCTGTCGCCGCCTCGAGTGAGCCTCGTCTCGCTCCTCGTCTACTCGAGCCTCGTCTCGTGTGCCGCCTCGTGGGCGGCGTGGCGGGCGGGCGGCTGTCTCTGCCGCCGCCTCGAGTGAGCCTCGTCTCGCTCCTCGTCTACTCGAGCCTCGTCTCGTGTGCCGCCTCGTGGGCGGCGTGGCGTGGCGGGCGGCTGTCTCTGCCGCCGCCTCGAGTGAGCCTCGTCTCGCTCTTCGTCTACTCAAGCCTCGTCTCGTGTGCCGCCTCGTGGGCGGCGGGGCGTGGCGGGCGGCTGTCTCTGCCGCCGCCTCGAGTGAGCCTCGTCTCGCTCCTCGTCTACTCGAGCCTCGCCTCGTGTGCCGCCTCGTCTGCGGCGTGGCGGGCGGTCGGCTGCATCGACTGTCACCCCGCCCGAGTGCGTCTCGTCTCGCTCACCCTCTACTCGAGCCTCGACTCGTGTGCCGCCTCGTCAGCGGCGTGGCGGGCGGTCGGCTGCATCAGCTGTCGCCCCGCCCGAGTGCGTCTCGTCTCGCTCACCCTCTACTCGAGCCTCGACTCGTGTGCCGCCTCGTCTGCGGCGTGGCGGGCGGTAGGCTGCATCAGCTGTCGCCCCGCCCGAGTGCGTCTCGTCTCGCTACTCGAGCCTCGACTCGTGCGCCGCCTCGTCTGCGGCGTGACGTGCGGTCGGCTGCATCAGCTGTCGCCCCGCCCGAGTGCGTCTCGTCTCGCCCACTCTCCACTCGAGCCTCGACTCGTGTGCCGCCTCGTCTGCGGCGTGGCGGGCGGTAGGCTGCGTCAGCTGTCGCCCCGCCCGAGTGTCTCTCGTCTCGCTACTCGAGCCTCGACTCGTGCGCCGCCTCGTCTGCGGCGTGACGTGCGGTCGGCTGCATCAGCTGTCGCCCCGCCCGAGTGCGTCTCGCCTCGCTCACTCTCCACTCGAGCCTCGACTCGTGTGCCGCCTCAACTGCGGCGTGGCGGGCTGTCGGTTGCATCAGCTGTCGCCCCGCCCGAGTGCGTCTCGTCTCGCTCACCCTCTACTCGAGCCTCGACTCGTGCGCCGCCTCGTCAGCGGCGTGGCGGGCGGTCGGCTGCATCAGCTGTCGCCCCGCCCGCGGTCGGCTGCATCGGCTGTCGCCCCGCCCGAGCGCGTCTCGTCTCGCCCACTCTCTACTCGAGCCTCGACTCGTGTGCCGCTTCGTCTGCGGCGTGGCGGGCGGTAGGCTGCGTCAGCTGTCGCCCCGCCCGAGTGCGTCTCGTCTCGCTCACTCTCCACTCGAGCCTCGACTCGTGTGCCGCCTCGTCTGCGGCGTGGCGGGCGGTCGGCTGCATCAGCTGTCGCCCCGCCCGAGTGTCTCTCGTCTCGCTACTCGAGCCTCGCCTCGTGTGCCGCCTCAACTGCGGCGTGGCGGGCGGTCAGCTGCATCAGCTGTCGCCCCGCCCGAGTGCGTCTCGTCTCGCTCACCCTCTACTCGAGCCTCGACTCGTGCGCTGCCTCGTCAGCGGCGTGGCGGGCGGTCGGCTGCATCAGCTGTCGCTCCGCCCGAGCGCGTCTCGTCTCGCTCACCCTCTACTCGAGCCTCGACTCGTGTGCCTCCTCGTCGGCGGCGTGGTGAGCAGTCAACCGTCTCGCTCCTGGCTGTCACAGGCGGGTTGATCGGCTCTCGGCCGTTGCCTTCGCCTTCGGCCTTCTAGTCAAGTGGGCGCCTGGGCGTGGCGAGGCAGCTGGCCTTCGGCCTCTTCTCGCTTTCCTCCGAGCGGTTGCTCTCTCGCACCACGCTCTCGGCCGCCTGGGCGGCTCCGTTCCACGGAGCAGTTGCCCCTCTCTCGGCTACATTGGGTTGTGAGGGCCCTCTGCTCCTTTGCCCTCGCTCCTCCACTACTGCTTTGGGATGTCAGGTACTGCGTAGCTCTTCCTTGTGGAGGCACGCGACGACTCCAGACGGACCCTAGTACGCTCCAATGTATCCTCACGGATGCTAGGAAGTGAAGCCCAGATAAAGTAGTTCGCCGTCAACGATTGGGGTAGGGGCCCCAACTCGTGTGAGGCTACTACTTTATCGCAGGTACTCACTGAGGAGCGTCTTCTCATATGAAGGGTCTTCATCCCTCCTGCCAGTCTTCACGGATTTTTCTCCGTGAACACTCAGGACGCGACGTACGTCCAAGCACGTTCCGCGTGCCTCGTGGCCGCGCTCTTTGCGTGCTGCTCCTGCAGCTCTCTCGCTGCTCTTCCTGGCCCCGCGCCGTGCCAGCTCTGTGGCCGCGCCAGGCTCTGCGACCGCGCCAGCACTCTGGCTGCGCCGGTTCTTCGCTTTCCCCACCCACCCTCTCCTGGGATAAGGGGGTCGTTCTGAGGGCTCTCCGTATGGTTAGCTCCTCCCTCTCTCTGGTCTGTGGTGCGATCCCTTTCGGCGACGCGGCCAGGCCACGGGTCGTTGAGGCTTGCCTCCGTGCCCGTGGTCGTCCAAGCTGATCGAGTCCCAACCCACCGCCTTTAGTGGCAGGACCCCAGGGGATGTCAGGTACTGCGTAGCTCTTCCTTGTGGAGGCACGCGACGACTCCAGACGGACCCTAGTACGCTCCAATGTATCCTCACGGATGCTAGGAAGTGAAGCCCAGATAAAGTAGTACCTCCTATTTCACACCGCGACGCGTTCCGACGCGCTCTTGGCAGAGCTCCGATGAGCGACCCCGACTGGGCGCGCTCAACCTCGAGAGCCGTCTCTGCTGGCGCGGCGGCGGCCGCCGCCGCGGCGACGACGACTGCTGCGGCAGCAAAAAAGGCGGCCGTCGTGACGGGCGAATATGCTGTGCCGGCGGCTGTTATCGCGGCTGAGCACCTCTCCGTGGCTGCCGCCGTCGGGTACGGCGCCACGTGCAGCGCCGTTGGCCGCGGCTGGCACGCCACCCGCAGCGCCGTCGGTCCACGCCTGGAGCGGGCTGCAGACATGGCGGCGGAAGAGGTTGCGGTGGCGTGGTCACGCGCGACTGCACGTCTGGGCGAGGCGCTGCTCCCTCTGAGGGAGGGCGTGGCGAGGCTTGCGGAGTCCGAGGCGCTGGAAAAGCTAGCGGAGAGAGCCGCTGCCGCCCTTTCCGCGCTTCGCTGGCTCGCCTCGGTCGCCGAGGGAGCGCCGCTGCTGGCTGCGGCTGCCTGCGGAGGCGGGGGCCTGCTGCTGCTGCGGTGGCGGCTGCGGCGGAGGGCGCCGTGGCTGCTGCAGAGCGTGGCGGCGGCCGGGGAGGGCGGCGGCGAAGGCGCTAGGCACTTCAGCATGGTGCGTGCCGACGGCGCCGTGCTTCCGCTGCCCGGCCCGCTGCAGCCCGACCTGCCGCTGGCGCTGCCGTCGCCGGCGGCCGGCGCGAGGCCACACCACGCGGAGGCGCGCTGCCGCTGGCTGGCGCAGGTTGTCCAGTATCGCCCCACCGACGTCGTCCTCGCATCGTACCCGTACTGCGGCGCTGCCCTCGTCGAGCGGCTGGCGGTGCTGCTGCTGGGGGGCGGGGCGGGGCGGGGCCCGGCTGCGGCGCTGTGGCCCGAGGAAAGCCTCTCCCAGCACGGCGAGGGCCGGGTCACTCTGTCCGAGTTCGAGTCGCTTGCCCCGCCGCGCCTCCTCTCCTCCCGCGCCCCGCTCCGCTGCCTGCTCTCGCGCCGGCGCGACGGGGCCCCGGCGGCGGCAAGGCGGCGGGGCGAGCAGCGGTGGAAGGATGAGACGAATCACATCTGAAGTGTCCTGCGATCCGGTGCCAGGTGCGTCGTCGTGACGCGCAGCCCCGTTCCAACCAAGAATGGCTCACTGATTGCTAGTTGTTTGGTTCTCAAGGTACGTCGTCGTGACTCGCAACCCGCTCGACGCATGCAGCGCCTGCTACCGGCGCGGGTGGGACAGCCCCCTCTGCCAGCCCCCTCTGCCAGCACCGAGAGGACATGGCCACGCACCACCGCTCACCAGGGAGGGGAGTCTTCCACTCACTCTGCCAGGTGGGACCCTCGCGCGAGGGGGTGGCCCTTCGATGCGCACGCCCTCGCCTGGCTGGACGGGCGTGCCGGCGGCTCGTTCGGCGCTACGGGCTCCTTCTGCGACTTTTACCGCGGCTGGCGAGGCGCAGCGCTCCGCTACCCGCCCGCGGGCGGGCGGCACGCAACTCGGATGGAGGCGCTGCTACTGCAGGCCCCGGGCAGCAGCTGGTGGCGGGAGAATGGCAGCGATGCCGTCGGCGTCGGCGACGGCGCGGAGAGGCCGATGGTGCTGTGGCTGCACCTCGAGGCGCTGCTGCGGGAGCCGGGCAGAGAGGCGGCGAGGCTTGCCGCCTTCCTCGGCCTCGACGCCTCTGACGGCCGTCTGATCGACGGCGTCGTGTCGGACGCGACATTCGGCGCGTTGCGCGAGGCGGAGCTGCAGGCGGGCGGGCGGGCGGGCGGAGGGGAGGCCTCCGATGAGCTCACAGGGAGAGTGTTGAGGTGGTCTCTCTCCATACCTGGTAGGCGCTGGGCGGGTGGAGGGAGGACTTCGCTCCGCACCCGGGCCTGCGGGGGCGGGTGGAGGCGGCCCTCAAGAGGGAGACGCGCGGTCTGGGGCTGAGGTATGACCTCGGCGGCGGGGAGGACTTGCAGTGACGTAGCTTGCCCGGCCCGTGTTCGTGAGGATTCGGGTTCGAGTCCCCCTGGGAGTGTGCGTGCAGCGTGGTGGGTCTGCTGCTGCTGTGGTGGACTGGAGGTATGGAGGCATGATTGGAGGGTGAGGCACTCGCTGCTACCGGTCTTCTCTTCGACTTCGCGCTTTTGCGCACGACTCTATAACCGCTCCGCACTTGGAGCACTTGGTCTTGTGGGATGTGGGAGCAATTGGAAGCGATTTCCGCGAAAATCTAAGAAACCACGGCGCGCCGCAGGCGCGCCGGCTGGCAAACGCCGCAGGCGCGCAGGCCTGCAGGCCCGCGCCCCACGGCCAGTGCCGGGCTGCAGCCGCAGCCCAATACTACGCCTCCGCCCCCTCCGTCGCCTCCCCTTCCGCCTCGGCTGCCCCCGCCTCCACACCTCGCCCTCGACACACACTCACCCAAGTCCTCCGTTGATACAGTCGGTTGGCGTCGACGACCACAAGGTGCCGCCCAACGAGACCGACCAGGTGCAGCCGATTGATCGCGGGGACGGGTTGTTGCACGAGTATATGGGCCACGATGTCTCAAATATGAGGGGTTTTGACTCCTACCGGCTCCTGACGCTATCCCTGGCAGCTCTAATGACCAGGATCAGTAGTGCTATGATAGAGGGTGCCCATACTAGCGCAGGAGCTGCCACACTCGCCCGGACCGTCCCCTTCTGGGTCCGGTTCCGCAGCCCGCGAGAGCCGACAGCGGGGCCGTGCCGCGGGTGCCTACTTCCGAGTGCCACAAACACTGCGCCGTCCCGCCATCACCTACAGGCTGTCTTGTGTGATGGTTGGGATGTCCAAACGCCACCATCTTGGCTCTTGCGACCTCAAACCCGCGAGCTGTATGGGTGGTCCTGACGTCGACAGACGCCCGAGGACCACGGTGAAGCTGAGCCGGAACGCGTCGACAAGTCTCGTCTGAGCCCGTGGCGGTCGCCGGCTGAGTCGCTGTGCACGGGCCGGTACCTCAGGCGTCACCTCCGCAGCCTCAGGTCTCACACTCCATCACCTCCGCCGGGACGCCGTCGGTGGCACGCTCGGCGGCGAGTTTGTGGCAGCTCCACAGCGAGCACGGCGTCGAGCCTACTCACTCCAGTTGGTTCGGCACACTCGGTGGGGTCCACCGAGTGTGCCGAACGCGCGAGCGGTGCGTCCTGGCAGCCCGCGCTGGCTGCGGAGCTGCCACAAACTCGAGTCACGCTTTTTTGGGACATTTTCGACGCTTTTGGCCCATATACTCGTGCAACAACCCGGACGCGGCATGGGGCAGATCAAAGTCTACCTTGGGCAGCTGCTCGATGAGTGGCTCGACGACGAGGACAACCTCAAGAAGTGGGAGTCGAACACGCTGACGGCCTCGGACCGCCGCACCCTCCTCGCCCACTGGTTCTACAAGGCCTCCATGAAGCTTGAAGGCGCTCCAGGGCGAGCGAGGCCAAGCGCAAGTACTTCGAGCACGACGGCGCCCTGCTCACAGCCGACGGCACGGACGACGACCTGCTCATCAAGCTTGAGGGCGCCCCCGCCGGCTACAAGGTGGTGATCCCGCAGCTTACTTAATATTTTATTTTCTCACGGAAACACGCTCGGCCCGGCTGACCTGAGTGCCGGCCGGGGCTAAGAAACCACGGCGCGGGCTGGGGGAGGAGGGTGGAAAGGCTTAGAAACGGCGGCGTGGCGCCGGATCCTGTTTTCTTAATGCCCGAAACAGACTGTACTTCCAGCCTGCTGTGAAAACAGCTCACGCAGCCCAGCATCTCGTTGACGTCGGAGTATTCTGCCAGGACGCATGCTGTTTCACGCCCTCTGCTCTGCAGCTTCGCTCACGACACCGCTGCTGATCAGCGGCGGCATGTGGCGACCGGCACGAGCGCACACGCGAATGCAGCAAGGCTACGAGGAGGCCTTCGGCGAGTACGGAGGCCAGTCCGGCGGCGGCGAACAGCGGCAGTACCTGTACGACTCGCCGCAAGACTACTACGACGCCTCCAGTAGCTTCAACCAGCGGCAAGACGACTACTACACCGGATCGCTGCAGGCCGGCGGCGGCGGGCAGGCCTACAGCGGCGAGGGGCAGGTCTGGGTGCTCCACCCGCTACGAGGTGCCGAGGGATAGCCTCTCCAAGCACACAGCAGTCCTTCTCGGGACCTCTTCTTGGCACCTCCTGCAGGCGTGCGCGGCTTCTCGAATGCGCTGGCGTGCGACCCGGCCAGAGACTACTCCGCCCCTCCGTACGCGCTGCGGCGCGGCGAGGAGCACGTGCTGAGCCGGTGGAACATGGAGCGGCAGCGGCTGACGGTGTCGCGGATGCAGTGCGTGGTTGGCGTGGCGGAGGACGGGGCGGCGTACGTCACGTCGCACGGTAGAGGGCCAACCTACTGGCGAGAGAGCGGAGGGCCGTGGTACGCGCTGGAGCGAGGCGTGAGCGCGCCTCTCGCCGACGGAGACCAGGTCTCCCTCGACTGGCATGACCCCGAGGCCGCCATCTTCGGGTGCCGCGTTGAGGCGGAGGAGCGGCTGGGCGGCGGAGGGCCTCCGGGCGGGTGGGTGGCGCTAGTCGACGAGGTCAGCGGAGCGACGTACTACTATGACGAGGCGACGGGTGCTTCGCAGTGGGAGCCACCCGCGGCGCACCAGTGGAGGTGAGGGTAATTTTGGCGAGTTGGGCGCACGAGGTAGAGCCAGTACAGACCGTGGGGATTGATATCGACTGCAACTTCTGATATTCGCCTTATCGCCGGGGCAAAGCGAATACGGTATATACAGACTCGTATAGCGGAGCGGTGTGTAAAGCCTAAAGCCGTATCTCGCGCGCATGGCGCGGAATAACCAATATCTCTCGGGGACCCGGGGACCTTCTTCTACGGACAGCTCTATGAGGCTCTCTCTCACCTCTCTCAGTACTCAGACTCAGTCCTGTGAGAGACAATAAACAAAGTCAACGAAAGAATTCAATCAGTCCCCTCGCACAACCGTGAGCCGACTGGAGATCTTCTGCCTCGCACTTCCGATACAGTGTTTGACCGTGTTGTTTCCGGCTGTGACTCGTTGCCAGCGCGTGGCAGCAGCGGGTCCACCAAACCCGAGGGCCCAACATCCCGCGCCGCGGCACCCGCGTACTCTGCTCGCGGGAAGACGGGCAGCAGCAGGAGCGCCGTGCCGAGCCCCTGCAACGCAGCCGTCAGCAGGAAGGCGGCGCGGTAGCCGTACCGGTCGGCCAGCACGCCGCCTGCCGCGGCCGAGGCGGCCCACGAAACCTTGACCTACGCGGGTGGGCGAGTGGGCGGTGTGTCAAGGACGCACCAAAGGCCGGGCGCTGTCCGGGCGCACAGTCTCGACCAAGTTGCCGCCGACGCCCGCCCAGCGAGCCCGCTGCCTACGGGACACGTCACGGACGTGTCCTGGACCTGTCGCGGCCACGTGTCGCCCGCCGAGCGAGCTCTGCCCAGGCGCCACCGAGTCCATGAGCAGAGCGGACGAGAGGGGGGTGGTGCTGTTGGCCAGCCCGCCGCGCAGCAGGAAGAGAGCCACCGTGAGCGAGAGCCGGAGGGGAGGCGGGTCGCTCGGACTGCCCGCGGGCGAGGCGCCGGCTGCAGCTGAGGAAGGCTCGGCGGCGAGCGAGGGAGCGGCGGCGAGAGGCTGGCGCGAGTCGGCGAGAGGCGACGAGGAGTCGGCCGCGAAGTACATGCCGACCAGCAGGAGGCAGCCCGCCGCCTTGAGGGCGGCCATGGTTGGGACGCGGCCTATGGCACGTCCACGACACGTCCACGACACGTCCACGACACGTCCACGACACGACCCCGCAGGAGAGGTTGGACCGGCGCTCGCGGCGAGCCGTTCCCCGAAGGAGGAGGAGAGGGAGATTGCGACGGGGAGGGCAAGGTAGACGGCCTGCACTCGCACGGGCGACAGGCGGCACTCCCTCGCAAGATAGAGAGGGAAGAAGCGAACCGTCATCCCCGCCCCCCACGCCTGCAGCACGTTCGAGCAGACCAGCACCGCGGCTGCAAGCCACGCGCGACGCGCAAGCGGCCCGCCCGCTGCCCCCATGTCCCCTCGCTGCAGCACCGCCGCGCTGCCTCCGCGGCTGGCCGGCTCTGGTGGTCCGCTGGGCGGCTCCGCGGGGCCGCTGCTCCGGCAGGCAGGCCTCCGGTAGCAGCACATTGCTCCTACATGACACAATCTCGTATCCTGTGTGCCAGTAGCATCATCCTGCAGGCCTCCGGCAGCGGCAGCTGTGCTCCTCCCGCCAGGACCTCGCACCCCACCCCGACCAGGATCGCGTCGCGCAGCGCTGGGAGCGACCACGCGTCCCCGTGCGCCCAAAATACCGCCGCCGAGAGGCCGCGGCCCGCCACCGCCGCCATCGTGTACAGCTGGAAGGCGCGAGTCATCAGTCGGGTCCGGTCGGCGCGGCGCATCGAGCTTGCGTACAGGGCCTGTGCCGGGCCGTCGATCGTCGCGTTGACCACACCCCACAGCGCCATCGCGACGACGAGGAGGGCGTATGCGCGGCCGCGTCCCGACTCAGACACAGCCGCGGCGCCACCGACAGCCGCGAGAGAGGTGGTGGCCGTGGCGACGAGCACGAACGCACCGCCGCCGCAGACGGTGCGGGCTGCGCTCCAGCGATCGGCGAGGGTGCCGAGGGGCAGCGAGGCGGCGAGAGCGGCGGTGTTCTGAGCGGCCTCGGCGACGCCAGCCGCGGCATTGCTGCCGCTGAGCGCAAAGATGAAGGTGACGAGGACGGTGCCGTGCCAGGCCGAGTTGGCGGTGCCCGAGAAGACCTTGACTAGCCAGTGCGTGACGATGTTGTGCTCGAGCATGGCCGCGAGTGAGCTCGTTGCTGCCTGCTGAGAAACGAGTCTGATTTCGCCTCGCCGCCTCCCGATGGTGGTGAGGCTGGAGAGCCAAAGCGGCGGAGGATGGCGGGGGAGCGAGGAAAGCACGACTCTCGAGGTACTCGAGTACCGGGTACTCGTTTGGGCTGGGTTCTGCATTCTGCATTCTGCAACTGCATTCTGCATTTTCAGAGAAATACGGAATGTAGAATCAGCCCGTCTATGCAGAGGCAAACCCATGCAGTCTGTGTGCTGCATGCTACAAGAGTGCAAAAAGCGTTTTCGCTTGCGCCTGCGGCAGCCACTGCATCCATGTCGTCAACCGTTCGTGTCTTGGCCGTTGTGTTTGCAATCGCAATGCGTCGGTCGGAATCGTCATAAATCTCAAACTCCGAGATTTCGATGTTTTTCGTTTGCGGCGTCCAAAAATGCCCTTAAACGTCGCCCAACCGTGTTTCTGAGCGTCTTTTTGGGCTATTGCAGTGCTATAGCACTGCTAATAGCACTGCGATAGTATACCAATAGTAAGTATATCAGTAGGGAGAAGTAAGAAGAGAAAGAATGCTGATATTTAGAAGAATTCAAAGGCAGAGTTACTTTTACGCTTCGACAGGCGGACATCTTGGACGTTCCGAAATCTTACTGCGGCCGATAAAACACAGGGCGTGAACTTCACGGGTCGAACCTGACATGTCGCACTCGACAGCTACAGCAATATGGCGGAAGCGCGGAGCCACAAAGCAGAACAAGCGCAGTCAACACACACCGGAGAACGCGACCGAATTGACGATGACAACGTAAGAGCAGCGGTTGAGGGCCGCGCGCTACTCTCGGACATGTTGCGCTGCGCTACTCTTTCTATGCTTGCACTGGCGTCGCAAGCGTCTCGTCGACATGTTTCACCTCCTCTGGGAGCTCCCCACAATCACAGCCGGCGAGCCACACGGACTCCACGCCGTGCATGGGGCAGATGTCGATGCGCTCAAGCAGAGCTTCAACTGGGCAGCCTCGTATCCCTCGACTGATACGCAATACTCAGCGCATACCGCGGCACAAGTGGTGCTCAACAAAGCCGCTACTCAGCGCGCTACCCGCTCTTCTCGGAGTAACGGACACAGGTACAGGTCCCCGATGCCAGGGCTTGCCCGGCACAGCAGAGGCAGGGCTGCGAACGGATGTTGAAGCAGACATGTATCGTTGCGGCTCACAGAGGCGGTGCTGCGAACGGAGGTGAGACTGCGGCCCAAGGTGAGAGTGCGGCAGCCAAAGGAGCGGCTCTGCGAGGCGAAACAAACGGGGCAGACATGTCTCGTTGCGGGGCTGAGAACAGAGGCGGAGCTGCGGCACACAGAGGTGAAGCCGCGGCAGCCGAAGGCGCGGCTGCGTGACGCACCTTGGATCTTGAGGACGGTGCGTTGTTGGTACCGAGCAGCAGGGCGAGGGAAGCATCTAGCATGCCGTCGCCTCGCCCGCTGACGACCGGGTTTGCCTCGGACTGTGCTTGTTTCTGTCCGTTTAGGGTCTTTGTGTGGGTCTTCGTGCACCGGGTTGGTGTGCACGGTCCGTGCGGAGAGCCTGTCCGCTGTCGTCATTGTTGTTCCGTGTCTTAGTGTAGCAGAAGTTCGGTCGCACTTTCACGCCGAGGGGCTAGCGAGCCCCATCCCGCTCGTAATTCCGTAAAATCGCGCGAAAAGCGCCCTAATCGAGCTGGAGAGCGGCCCCCAGCCGCATGGGAGCGTGCCCCAGCTAGCAGGAGGCGTTAGACGTACTTTTCGGAAGGACTTTCGGCGACGTCCGTTCCCTTGGACACGTCGACATCTCGACAAATGGCACCGACGCAGCTCAGCATTGTGCTGGAGCGCCTGCTCAACGAACTCGGAATAGCCAACCTCAGTATGTTCGAGGCTGTGCTCATGCACGATACAGGCGCGGTGCTCGACGCGATCCGAAGCACCGCTGCAGCCGCAGAGGCTGGTGCGGCGGTTTATGCCAGCTCGGCCACGAGCAATGTTGTTGTGTGCCGAAGCAGCACTGCTACCGCTGGCGCAATCTCTGTTCAGCACGAGGGCAGCATCTCCCGCACTCTCGTCAGCACAGACGCGCAAACCACACTAAAGGCCTCGGACATCCATGCAGCCGCGAGTAGTGCGACTGCTGAGATGCTGCTCCGGCAGGAGTTGGAAGAGAAGTTGCGGTCACAGACCAAGGAGCTCGCTTCTGAGCAGCGCTCTGCGAACGCTATGAAGAAGGCGCTCGCATCGGCGCGGGATGAGCTTGCTGCGGCACAAGAGCTGAGGCGCTCCGACTGCGACAACCTGAGGACAGCGACATCAAAGCGGCTGAGCGGATGGCCGACCAGGCAAATCATGCAGCTCGAGCTGAGTGTGAGTGGCGTATCGGCGAGATGCGGGCCAAGATGCAGGCCGAGCTGCGCGAGCAGCTCGACGCGCTGCAGATTTCGATGGAGGCAGAGGCGAGGCGCGCTGATGCCGCAGAGGCAGAGAGGTCAAGGCTGTACGACAAGATGGAGGGGATTATGCGCACGCGTGAGGGGTTGATAGACGCACTCGCAGAGGCGCAGCGCAAGCGCGAACAAGTGATTGTTAAGAGATATACGTAGCGTTACAGTCGTACGGTCGTCGACCCTCCCACCGTGTGGGCCGCCCGGACCCCGGAGAGCGCTGCGCGTGCAGACAGCCGACAGCGCTGCGCGAGCATTGGAGAGGCCAGCCCCCGGCTTCTCAGCATGTCGCGAGCGCTGAGTCTCTGCCTGCCTGGTAGCTGGGTGCGGTGGGGGACTCCCTGGTGGCTTTTGGTTACAAATTTACGGATTTACGGATTTACGGATCGACCCCCCTCCCTCCCCGTCCCGCGACCCGGCCGTGAGACGCCGATCCGGGAATCAAGTTGGTGCCGGGTGTGTGGAGGCTAGAACGAGGCAGTGTGATGAGATGGTCGGGAGCTCAACCACGGGTCCCCGCGGACGGCAGTTGCCTCTACTACTACTTGCGCCGTTTAAGGAGCTTTAGCGCGCCATAAACTCTGTGTCTAGGCTCTAGTTGTCCGTGCCCAGAAGTGTCACCCCCTCCGCCAGTGCGTCCGGAAAGTCCTCGGCGTAGTGGCGCACGAGGTCAGCGGCGGTGAGCTCGTCGCCCCACATGCCAATCGCCTACACAAGCGACTCCGCCTGTGACTTATGCCCGCCGAGAGTCCGCGGGGTGTGGGCCCCGCCCGGTTGCCTTTGCACGCTCGCAAGTCACGCGGGTCGGGAACGAACCGACTGCGGCGGAGAGCCGCTCGTCCACATCGTACGTGACGCGGCCGAGGAGGCTGGCCGCGTGCGGCGGCACCGCGGCGCGAACCGCAGCGTCCAGCTGGGCGAGAGTCACGGCGATCGACGGCACGAAGACCGTGCGGTCGAAGCCGAGCGTCGCGTCGACCGCCATGGCGCTCGCCTCGTGCATCGTCAGCAGAGCGTCGACGGCGGGGCGGTGGCCGACGACTGCGTGGCCCACGCCAGGGCCGATCGGGCTGCTCGTGTCGACGCCCGCGAGCGTCTCGCGAACCACCGCCGAGTACACACTCGTCGTCGCTGCGTTGGGCGCGCCGGCGCGGCACACTACCGAAGGGAGCCGGCAGCCTCGGCCGTCGACAAAGCCGCGGCGCGAGTAGTCGGCGAGCAGAAGCTCCGCGCACGCCTTGGTCATGCCGTAGGTAGTGTGCGGCGTCGCCCGCGTCGCGTCGCTCACCGCGTCGTCCTGGGTCACCCAGTCGGTTGGCGCGCCAGAGCCGAGCGTCGCTCCGGCGGAAGTCATCACAAAACGCGGCCGAGGCGCGCCGCAGCGCCGCGCCGCCTCGAGCATGTGAAGGGTGCCATGCAAGTTGACGTTGACGCACAGGTCAAAGTCGGCCTCGCCCTGTCCCGACATCACGGCGCCCAGGTGAAACACGGAGAGCGGTCCGTCGCCACGGCCGACGAGAGAGCGGCAAAACTCAGCGTCCGACACGTCACCGACTGCGATTTCGGCCCGCTGCTCGAGCTCTTCGAAGAGCAGCCGCGGCGGCGATGCGACATCGGCAAGCACCAGCTCGCCGATCGGAGCGGAGCCCTCCACGCCGGTAGCCGTGTGCGTGCAGAGTGTGCCTCGGCGCAGCAGCGACCGAGCTAGCATCTGACCGAGGAAGCCACAGCCTCCCGTGATGACGACTCGTGCTGGAGCCGAGGCCATCTGACTCAGCCTCGAGCGGCGCTGCTGGTGGCCCGCGTGGGTTGACCCGCGGCAGCTAGGCCGCCTGGGCGCGGGGGGCGGTCCGGTGCTTCAACCGAAGGCGAGAGCTCGCTCGCGAACCCAAAAGAATTTTGCGGAACACTGACAAAACAAAACTGGGCGTCGCAGAACGAGGCAGAGGAGAGCGACGCGACAGAGGAAGAAGCGACAAGGGAGAGCACGACGAGAAGGGGGCGACCGCGAGGTGGCACGAAGGTTGCAGCGAGAATCGGCGAGAGACTGCGAAGAGAGATCGGAATTGCCGGAAGAGGCGGACGCCCAAGGGTGGGCGACGGCTAGCGCACCACACCCCTCTCCTTAAAATCCCTGTGTGGTGGCGGCGTGCCGTCCTCCCCTCCCTCCCTCGGGTTGTCTGTTTTTTCTTTCTTTCTTTTTACCTTAATTAACTACTCGCGCTCCGGCGCGTGGGTCGAGACCACGCCCGGCAGCCCCAGCCAGGCCCCGCGCGCTGGCCGCGACCGCGACCGCGGCGGCCTCACTCGAGCCCGAACTGCCTATCAGACGTGCCGGAGCCGTCCGACTGTAGCGACTAGCACACCTCTGTCGTCAAGAGTCCCAGAAACCCGAGGAGTCACACAGTCCACGCCTGTGTGATGCACGCCCTGTGGGCGGGGCGGGGTGCGCACTGTGCCTCTGTGTTCGTGCGTCGCCCATCTCTCCTGGAGACGACTGACTGCGCTTTATTCTGCGTGTGTTTGGGTTTCTATGGACTATGCGATTTGGATTTTGGATTTTCTCTGCACTTTATTTATTTATTACCTTAATTAGACCCTGTCCTCCTCCCTGGAGCCCGTTGAACTTACTCCGGAATCCGGCCTGTCTGTGCTCGAATCCGCACCAACACAGTGAACAATTGCCGGGCTCACCAACGTGCTCGTGTCAACATTGCGACCAGCTGCCCGTGCAACAGATGTGAGGTCGATCGTCTCGCCGTTCGTGAACTTGTCGGCCATCGGAGCGCAATCCAAATCGATAGGACGTCCGGTCGAGCCCGGCCCACCCTTGCGCTTGGCACGGTAGACGACCATGTCATCGCTGCGGTTGTCGCGCCTAAATTTAGTCGCCCAACTTTAGTCGCCCCAGGAAACCGTTGCCACGCCTAAAGTGGCGGAAATTCCAAGCTCCATTTTCTGAAGGCGAAATTCTAAGGGTGGCAAACTGCTGTCCCCTTACTCCCCCTCCCCCCGACCCCTCCGTCGGGCGGCTCCGAATTAAAAAGCCCGGCACACTCCGACCTCTCCCCTCCAGTAGCACCTAATTAGCACCTACCTTTCTTAACACCTCTAGGCTTGTATTTTAAGGATTCTTAACACCTCTCTTTCCTAACTAACCCATTCTTAATTGTGTACGAGTTGCCAACCAAGAGACAAAACACCGGACCCATACACTGCCCACAACGGCGCAGCCGTACGATGACGACCTTCGACCTCGCACTTCGTGACTCATACAGAATAGTATCACAGGAAATGGGCGCCATCTTTGTTTGCGCAACGGGCTTCTACTTCCACGCCGGAGCATAAGTTAGGCCGTGGCTCACAAACTTTTGCTTGGCACAAGCCTACTTTGCCTCTGCACTCTCAGTCGCGGACGGATAGTAAGCGCGCTTTTTCCTGGGTCATCGCCTGCCGTGTGTCTCGGCGGACGACGTTGTGGATCTCGGACGAGCACATGTGCACATCGTGCTTCCGGCAAAGAAATTGCCAAAGTTCCTTCCCTCGCAACAGGTGCCTGCGGCGACCCATCTGCCCAGTCAGCCTAAGCGAGGCGACAATCTTTCCCACGGCCATCCTGTCGTACCCCCGCTTGAAAGGGCCGCACCTAGAGCAGCATCTTTCGACGACCTGAAACACAAGGCACGTGAAGGAGTTACACAGCTCGCTCTTTTCTTCCTCCCAGGGCCGCTTTGCTGCCTTCCCGCCCGAAGTGTACTTGACGCCCGAAGGCGCCGTAACGCCCTCGCAATCCGACACGAGGTCCGCATCTCTCCCGGCCTGCTCCGCCTCAGCCTCGCGCGCGTGTGCAAGCTGCGCGTCTCCTGCAACCTGCGCAACCACCACTGGAGCGCGCGTTGCTGCCTCCGAGGAAGGAAGCTGTAGGGACGCAACCCCAGCGAGGGTCATAAGCGACTGAGACGAAACCGAACAGTCAGCAGCCGTAGTGTTGGGTAGGAACATACGGCCAATATCCGGCTCTTGAACCGCGGGAGAACGCCGCGCGGCCGCGGTGATCATCGTTCGTCCCCTCAAATGGTCCCTCCGTACTCACACGCGGCTCGCACGCGTAGAGTAGGGGTTCACGGCGCGATCGTGTCCTGAGTAACCTGGGCAACCATTCAGGGCGACGAGTATGTATGATTACTGCAGGTGCAGCGGTCGCGGGTCAGTCGCGGTCCGCGCGGTCCGCGGGATCGGTTTACTTTCACGCGCTCGGGGGTATGATAGCACGACCATGAATTCTTACTCATGATATCAACAGACCCATCATTACATCACAAATATATGCGCAAATCATGCTTTTCTCCATAGAGCCGGGGTTTTCTAGATGATAAACGCACAACCCCGGGCCCGAAATCGCAGAGAGAGAGTCACGCAACACGCACCTTTTGTGATTTTTGGGTCAAAATCGTCCCGATTTCATAATGTTCGTTCGTACGTGCATCCGCGGCGCCCAGCGCGGTGCCAGCGGCTCCCATACCTCTAAGAGGCCACCCACCTCCGTATAGACCCTTATATCCGCGGTTTACGCCCAATAGAGGCAGCTGCAAGAGGGCCCGGACGGGCACTGCGGCACACACTGCTCGCTGCTCGGCCATGCGGTAGCGTCTGGTGATGCCGCCCCTGCGCGGGCGGGGGCGTCTCGCTCGGCAGCAACTGCGCCGCGCAGCGCAGGTTCGAGGGTCGCGGTGGGTGGGTGCACTGGAAGACGTAGCGGTCGAGAAAGCGCTCAGCGACCGCTACGTCTCGAGGATGGAGCCGTCGCGCGGACCCGACCGGCCGACCGGTAGTAGCAGCAGGCGCCGGAGGGCGCGGGAGGCAGCGGCGACACCTCGGGCCAGAAGCGCGAGCCCTAGGCTGGTGAGGGGGCCCGCTCATGCGTAAACGGCTCTGGGACTTAGCTAAATCGCGCATCGAAATCGGGACGATTTTGCCAGGGCACCGTCACAAGGTGGGGTCCAGGGAAGGCGAGCAAAAACCTTATCGCGCGCGCTAGACGCCGACTCGGAGGCTGCACCGGTCAGGCGCGCAGCCGGAGAGAGAGGGAGGCGCTCAATCGCCGCACGCGGCGAGCGCCTCCATCATCTCCGCCTCATGCGCACCCTCCACCCCCGCGCCCGCGCCTGTAGCGTCCGTGCGCGCGAGGATGGCCTCGCCGGGTGGTGCGGCCGCAGCAGCTATGGCAGCGACCGCAACAGAGGCAGCAGCAGCGGCAGAAGCGCGGCAGCGGTAGCCGTAGCCGCCGTCGCCGTCGCGCGGTCGCTCAGCATCTTGAACGAATGCCCATGATGAGCAGCGAGGCGAGGGACAAGGGGTATCTCCTCGCTGCCGATCGTCGGCCCGATAAACTGCAGCATGAACATCTCCAATATAACACGAGCGTAGCGGGAAGAAAGTGGTAGCTCACACCTCGCTGTCGATGTCCTGGCGCTCTTCGGTTCGTTCTGATCTGATCCATCCGCGTCTTCCGCCGCGAGCTCGGCGAGCTCTTCGAGCTCGTCTGCCCACCGCTCCAGCGCCGCACTCTCCGCCCAAGCCTCAGCATGGCTTTTGCCGGAGCAGCCGCCACCTGAAGCCGCTGCTTCTGCGGCACTGGCGAGAGCCCGCTGCGCGTCCTCACGGAGCGCTGCCGCAGCGCCCTCCGCCTCCTCCACCACCTCCACCACCGCATCGACACCACCACCGAGATGCTCTGCGTCGAGAGCGACAGTGTTGGCTTCATGCAGTGAAGCGTAAGCGTGCTGCACCGACTGCTCGTCCGTCGGCAGTCGCTGCCGGCCGGCTGGCGCCGACGCCGTTGACGACGCTGGCAGCGCCGCTGTTACCGCCGGTCGCAGTACCGTCGTCAGCGGCGGCGGCGCCGCCGCCACCAGGTGGGCGAGCAGAGTCGGCAGGCATGCACCTGCCGACGGCGTCTCGCCCGATCGTTCACGAGGTTTGTCTCGTTCACACCCCTTTGCAGAATAAACAAAGAACTAGGCGAATACCAAATTCCAAATCGCAAACATAGAAACCCAAGCACAGGCGCGGGCGACGTGGTAGGTGACGGAGGCGAGCACACAAGTTCCAAGGACGCACGAGCGAGCGAGACAGAGCCATGACGATGATGATTCAGCGCGTGAACGCCAACTCGCCGGCACAGGCCGTGAAAAGCCGCGCACGAATAAATAAATAAAAACGGACACCTCTCTACTGTGAGGTGGGTAAAAAGGGGAACAGGTCCCTCTCGAACCGCGCCCCGCTTCTAGATTTCTTTTTTTGCGGACCGCGTCATTTCAACCTTCCAAACTAGTAATAATGCTCCACAAACCGCACTCCAAGTAAGTAAGTGCCCGCACATCGCTGGCAACAGTACCTCCGCTGCAGTACGAACGGCGTACTTTCCGTTTGACGGACCCCAAGCCTGGCGGCCCTCTCTCGTCAATCCCACGTGGGCGCCACCGGCAGGAATCCGAGCTCCAGCGCGCCAAGCCGCCTGCCCACGCGCGGCACGAGGCGCGCCGAAGCGCGCAGCTCGGACAACACCGCCTCGCACCCCTCCCTCGCGAGCCAGAGCAGCCGAAGCCCTCCGGTGGCGTGCCATCGCGCGAGGGCCCGCCCCGGCCCGTCGCCACCCGCCTGGCCCAGCGAGCGTGTGGGGGGATGGGTGAGTCTCGAGCGCCCGCGGCGCCTCTCGCGGCGGCGGGCGGCGGCGGCGCGGCGTCGCGGCACCTCGCCGTACATCACTTTGACGGCATCCGCAACCTCGCCCGCCGCCCAGGCGCCGGTGCCGCCGCCCTTGCCGTCGGAGTGGTCGGGAGACGTGGGCTCCGCCACCACCTCGCCGCGCCCCTCGGCGCGCTTGAGGTTTGTGTGGACCGTCACGTGCGGCGAGAGGAGGGTGAGGAGGAGGAGCGGCTCGGCGGTGGCCGCGTCGCAGAGGGCAAAGTTGCGCGGCGCGCCTGCGCCACACAGACACCAGAGTCGGGCGCGCGAGCACGGTCTCGTTCCGAGCATCGTGTGAGTACACGGGCTGCGAGTACAGCTGAGTGGGGCTGAATGCGAGTACAGTACGGCTGAGTGCAGTCCGAGCCCGCCCCCTCCCCACCAGTCCTAGGACTTGACGTAGCTCACGGACCAGCTTCCGCATCTAGGGAGGGCGAGCCGCCAGCCGCGTCGGAGCCGTCGTCTGCGTCGCACGCCTCGCGCAGCATGCGCCAAGCGACGACGGAGCCGAGGCTGAAGGTGCTGAAGAGCGGTATGCGGGCGGGCGGGCGGGCGGGAGCGGCGACGCCCTCCTGTTGAGAGCCGTCAAAGGCCTCCGACCCATGCGTTAAGGGATCGCCCGCCGCCGCCGAGCCGTCCTCCGACGCCACGGTGCAGAGCATCGCCCCTTGCGGCGCCGAGAAAAGATGCGGCGGGTCGGACCGGGCGACGGCAACCGCGCACTTGAGCAGCTGCATGCTGGTGCGACACACCGACGGTACGCGCTCCTCAAACCATAGCGGCGCCTATCGGAAGTGGGAGCGAGTCCCCGGCGCCACAAGCTGGAGAGACGCTCTCCGCGCCCCGCTCACCGCCGCGCTCGTGCCGTCGCCGCCCGCCGACTCGCGCCGCGCCGCGCCGACGAGCGCGCCGCAGCCGCCACACGTGAGCGGCCCCCACACCTCTGGCGCGCCACCTACCGACGACACGGCCACGGGTCGCGCACTCCTCGCCGCGAGGCATGCGGCCGTCCCACCGCCTCCACCGCCTCCACCGCCTCCATCTCCTCCCCCACCCTCCTCCCCTCCGTCCCCGCCGCCTGCACTGCCTCCTCCACCCTCGCAACCCACACCACCTCCACTGCCTCCTCCACCCTCGCCCCCCACACCCTCGCCCCCCCACCACCCTCGCCCCCCACACCCTCGCCCCCCCACCACCCTCGCGCCGGGGCGCCCGTGCCTTCCGTGGCGCGGCTGTGGACGTGTCGCGGCGGCACGAACGGGCGCAGCCCGCCGCCGCCGCCGCCGCCGCCGCCGCCGCCGCCGCCGCCGCCGCCGCCGCCGCCGCCACACAGCTCGAGGGAGGCGGGAGGCGCGCGGCGCAGGTGCAGCGCGTGGTCAGACGTGAAGCAAATCGGCAGCGCCGCCTCGGCCTCTGCGTCGCGACGCCAGTTGCCGTGCCCGCCCGAGGCCTCGGCCGCCGCGCCGCCGGCCTCCGGGAAGACGCAGCCCCAATCGAAGTCGATCTCCTGGCAGCACTGCGCAAAGTCCACCATGCTCGCTGCGTCCACATCTGGCATCGCGTGCACGGTGGGCGGCAGCTGCAGCAGGCGGGCGCGGCAGCTGCGGCAGTGCACCTCCGCACCAGGCAGTTCGCGCCGCTCGCGCCGCCGCTGCGCGGCGGCGCGGCGGCATAAGCCCGACTCCTCGCGAGGGAGCCGCTCCTCGCGCTGCTCGTGGAGCAGCTGTTTCTCCGGCAGACACCCATCGCCAGCCTCCTCCCTCCGCATCGCTTCTGCCCCGCGCGAGCTCACAGACGGCAGAAGCACAGGCGGCGGCGGCTGCAGCGCGAGACGGATGTGCGCCACGCCGTCTCTCGTCCGAATCGAAGCGCCATCGGCGGGCGCGCCGAGCAGCTCCCCGATGTCGAGTCGCAGCACCAGCCTGCGGCCGCCAAAGAGGGAGCCGCACTGCAAGTCGCACTCCGTCGTCACGACGCTGCCGGAAACGCTCGCGCGCGCGCTCGCGATGGGGGGCCATCCCGGCGGGGACGCCAGAGTCAGCTGCGCGCAACGGATGTGAGCGAGCCGCTCGAGCACGTAGATGGGTGCGGTGGCAGCCTCGGCGCCGCCCGTACCTGCTGCAACGCTGCCGCTGCGGGGCTCCTCGGTACACAGCGCCGTGACAGGGCGCTGCCAACGGCGAGGCCGCTTGCGGGGAAGCTCGCAGCGCGGGCAGTTGCAGGAGAAGAACATCGCAGTGGCCAGGCCGGAGCGGCGTATGCCAAGAGAAAGCACAAAAACGAACAGAATTTTCTCTCCTCCCAACATGACCCCCATGACAGATTTTCCCTTGTAATGCCAAGAAGTAAGAAAAACGTTCTATTTTTCTTTTTGTTTGTTGCGGTTAGAGAGAGAGAGAGATGCGTTTTCCGGCACAAACGCCAGGCTACAAACACGGGGAGCGGCGTAGTCGTTTTGTGAAATTTCGATCTATTTTGTACATGTAGAAAGAAGAAAAACTCGCTTGCAGCCCTGCCAAGCCGCCCGCTAGCCCCCGACAGCAACATCGGATCGGTGCCCAAACTGCCCCTAGTTCAATCGCGATCACGCGACGCGTCTCCGCCTCCTCCACGCAGTATAAACACTCTCGAGCGCTCCCCGCTACCGGCCTCGCTTCGCCCCTCCTTCCGCAGGCCCAACGACGAGAGGCGTCCACCACGCACGAGCGAAAGATACACACATGCTCCGACGGCCCGCACGCGACCTTACCCGCACCTTTACCCGCACCTTTGCGTCCTCGAGCAGCTCGGCTCCACGCGTTTCCATCGAGCGCGCCGCCGACGGCGTCGCGACGGTGACACTTGGCCGGCCGGAGAAGCTCAACTCGCTCGACATTGACATGTTCCGCGCCATCCGCTCAGCGGCCGTTGAGCTGGCGGAGGACAAAGGCGTGCGCGCGGTCGTTGTCCACGGGTCGGGCCGAGCCTTTTGCGCCGGCCTCGACGTCAAGAGCATCAACCACCCTCTGCATGCGCGAGCCAACGGCCGGGAGCTGCTGGACCGCCCCGACGGTGCCATCTCAAACTTGGCGCAGGACGTGTGCTACCTGTGGCGGCGAGTGCCCGCTCCCGTCATCGCGGCGACCCACGGCGCCGCGGACGCGGGTGGAGGGGGGGGCACTGACGCCCCTCGTCTCCTGACTGCAACCCTCGGGACTCGGCCGTGCATAGGTGTTTGCCTTGGCGGCGGCTTCCAGATTGCACTCGGCGCAGGTCGCCACGATCCGCCCTCGCTTCTCCTCGTGTTCTCCCTCCGCCGCCTTCCCTCCCAGCCCGCCTCCGCAAGCCCCGCCCCTCACCCCTCACCACCACCGTCCTCGCGGCCGCCGCCTCGCCCCTCCTCTGCCTCCGACACGTCCCTCGCCTCCCTCCCCGCCACCGCCGCCTCCCTCGGCCTCCGCCGCCGCCTCCCCCGCCGCCGCCGCAGACATGCGCATCGCGACGCCGGGGTGCAAGTTCTCCCTGATGGAGGCCAAGTGGGGCATCATCCCCGACATGGGCGCGACAGTCGTCCTACCGGAGCTGGTGCCAAAGGCGCGAGCGCCGAGCCCTGCTGTGCGGGCGTGACAAACTGCCCTCTTCACAGCTGCATTCTGGCCTGGTGTCAATCTGAGACGCGATCTCTCAAGTGCCTGCGAGTGTGGGTGCACCGCCGCTCTCAAGTGAGTGTGAGTGAGTCTGAGTGTGAGTGTGGCAGCGCCGCCTCTCCGCGACCACCGGGGGGGCCCTCCCTCCCCCACCTCCTCCCCAGACTCCCTCTCGCCGCCGCCGCTCCCCTTGGCACCTCCCAGTCTCCGAGGCACCTCCCCCATCTCTCGGCCTCTGGCCGCCGCCGCAGGACGTGGCGACGGAGCTGATCATGACAGGGCGCACCTGTTGCCGGCGAGGCGCTGCTGACATCTTCTCACCGCGTCGACTCGCAGCCCTCTGCTTTAGGTGCGCCTCACTCACACTCTCACACACCTCACCCACGCGCACCGGGCCTTGCACTTTGAATGCCGTGCTAGCTCCTGTCCTCTAGACGGGGAGTCGCGAGGGGGCTGCCCTGGCCCTTGCCCCACCACCTCGTGCGTGTTGAGAAGTTTCCCGGACCTTTCCTTAGGCGCATCTTTGACGGAGAGGAGGCACTCCGACTCGGCGACCGCCACACGCCCCGCCCTCCTCCGCTTCCCCCCCCCCCCCCCCCTCCCCGTGCCTCCCTTCCCACCCTCCCCACCCGTCCCACCCTCCCCACCCTCCCCACCCTCCCCACCCTCCCCACCCTCCCCACCCTCCCCACCCTCCCCACCCTCCCCACCCTCCCCACCCCCGGCTCCGGCTCCGGCACTCGGCGCGCAGGTCTCGTCACTCGCCTCGCAGAGGTGACGAAGACGCGCCGCCGCCCTCCGCAGGACACGCCCCGGACACGTCCCGGACACGTCCACGCCACCCCTGCAGGAGCCTCTGGCCGAGGCTCGCCGGCTCGCTTCCGAGATCGCGGCGAGATCGCCCGACAGCACCGCCGCCGTAAAGCGGCTGCTCGACGCAACGTACTGCGAGGCGGACGACCGGCGCAAGCTGCACTTGGAGACGGAACACAGAGACCGGAGCCGCTCTCCGCCCGCTTGACACCGCCTTGGCTTGACGACGCCCGCTGCTCCACAGGCCCTCCAGCGGAGGCTCCTCGGCGGCTGGAACCAGCTGGCGAGCGCGGCCCGCGGCCTCGGCGCGCCGCCGCTGCTGCAGCCGAGCTTTGCCGCGCGATCCGACGAATGGCTCGCGGAGGCAGACGCGGAGGCGCCGCCTTTCCTTGGCCGTACTCCTATCCCCTCGGTTCCCCCCTCCCACCCACCCACCACGCCGAGGAGGAGAAGAGCGAGAAGGCCGTGCGCGCGAAACTCGCCGCGGACCGGAACCGGGCGGCGCAGATCGAGGCGAACCACCATCACACGCGCGCGCATTTGAACATCTGTGTTGGTAGGCTGAGGCCGAGGTGCGCGCCATGCTCGACGGCGGCGAGGTCGAGGTGCGGGGCGACGAGGTCAGCGAAGCGTGCGCATGAGCTTGCGGCCGCCGCCGGCGCTCTTACTGTGCTTGTGGGGTGTTCGCAGATCTCGCGACTCTGGGGCTTGTGGTTGGCGTCCGGTCCCGCGCAATGAAGCTATTGGTGAGGGTGGGGTGGGGGTGGTGCTGTTGGGCTGGTTGGCGGGTGTTGTCCGGGTGGCAGAACTGTGAAGCAGCAAATCAGCAAAGAGCGGCTGAACTTAAGGTTCTTCGGGCCCCTTTAGGGGGGCAAACCCTGCCCGGCCCAACTGGCCCGAAGAACCTTACAGAGGTGCTGCCTCGGGGTACGACTCGAAACACCGTCTCTCTTTTGCCCCTCGCATGCGTCGCAAGAGCAAGAGCGCTCAGCGCGCAGAGGCCAGAGCGCGGCCAGCGCGTGTGCACAAGTGTGTGCACCTCGACGTGTGCACCTCTCCGGGCTCTCGGTGCTAGACATGTCGGGTAGCGTAGGTCCCTGTGCGCCGGCTGTGTGGAGGATCGTCGCGTTCCTGGCAGGGCGGACGGCATGCATGCGACTTGCGAAAGAAGACATGAAAATGGTCTCTCTGTCTCTGCTCACGACCGTCCTTGATGGCGCCTCATCGCCGTGTATTGCTGGCGTCACATCATGGACCATGTGCCTGGGAAGATCGAAGGGCACATCCCCGGCACCAGAGTGATGACCGCCACAAAGTCAATAGGAACTGCCGCCGACGCGTTCTCGGGGCCGGCTTCTCAACTCGACCCTCTCTCGACCATGGTGGATGGTGGCCTGATTATGAGCGGCGATTGTGGCGGGACCAACTCGCGACTGACGCTCTTTAAGGTTCCAGCCGGGACGGTGCTCGAGCTTGGCGTCAAGCCCCCAGGCCAGCACATCCCCCGTGCCACGGCGTGCACCGCCAGTTGGTCGCCGGCAGATTGCAGGCCATTGCCCTGCCTGCTACCCAATAGGTGAGCAGGTCTTCTCGAAGAAGTACCCCAACGCTGAGTTCCACTCCAAGGGGCAAGGCTTTGTCGACATCTGCAAGTTGTTCCTTGAGCAGGCGGGGGCGGGCAAGCCGTTGGTGTGCTGCCTCGCGTGCGCGGGCGGCATCCTCAACAACACCGTTGACTTCACCAACGTGTCGACCGGCTGGAAGATTGACGGCGGCGAGCTCGCAAAGGAGCTCGGCATCAAGCGAGTGACACTGATCAACGACTTTGAGGCCCAGGGCTACGGGCTGCTCACACTGCACGACGATGAGCTGGTGAAGCTGAATGGCGGTGTGAAGCGCCCCGGTGCGCCCATCGCGTGCGTGGGTGCCGGCACGGGGCTGGGCGAGTGCTTCTTGACGTGCGACAAGGTCTCTGGCAAATATACCTGCTTCCCGAGCGAGGGTGGGCACGCCGAGTTTTCGCCACGCGACCAGCTGGGCGTGGACTTTCTTGAGTACCTCAAGAAGGTCACCGGCGGACGGCGCGTCTCGGTCGAGCGCGTGGTTTCAGGCCCGGGCATAGTAAATATCTACCAGTTCCTTCGCCAGCACTGGGCCTTTATCGAGCTGAAGAACAAGAAAATTGACGACGAAATCACCAGCACTCCAGAGTACGACCAGGCACGGATCATCGTCAAAGGCGCGAAGGAGGGCGACCTCGTTTGCAAGAAGGCAATCGACATCTTCTGTGTCAACTACGGCTCCGAGCTTGGCGTTGCCGCGCTCAAGTGGCTTCCTTACGGCGGGCTCTACATCTCCGGCGGCATCGCGGCAAAGAATCCTGACTGGGTCAAGTCGGATGCGTTCCAGAGCACGTACAAGGACAAGGGGCGCCTTTCACCGCTCGTTGAGTCCATTCCTCTCTATCTGGTCACCGTCGAGGACACCGGCGAGCGAGGGGCGCTCTTTGTCGCGGTTCGACTCCTGCTCGCCTGAATCTCTTCAGATAGGTGCGTGGACACTCAGGGCAGTAGAAGTTTATGCTCTCGAGATCAGAATGTTAATAAAGGATAGGGCAAAGCGCACAGCGATCCCACACGCGTCCACCCGTCGCGCCACGATGTTTGTTTACTTTTTCAAAACACTCACACGACGCACCGATTTTTCTCTTAGTCACTGGAGGGGAAGAGTCAGCGCGGAACCGGAAGAAAAAATCTAAAAATAAAATGTCCGTCAGTCACTTAGGGGACCCCTAGGCTTAAAAGGGTGGGCCCTGGGGCGCCTGCGGCTTAAACGCTTTAAGGCGGGCCATGGCCCATTTTAAGGCTGCCTGGGCCGCCGATTCCTTAAACGGTCTTAAACGCTTGAACGGCGCGGGAGAGCTCCCGAGCGGTCGATGGTCCGGGAGGCTCCCCCGGTAGACGCCGGAGGCCGGGAAGCTGGCTACAGTCAGCTAGCACGCGTGTCGCGTCCCCTGTATGCGAGTATGGATCCTGCCAGGGCACCAGACTTACAGATGTGTCTTCAGAGGCGGGTTTGTGCCTAATAACGGCAGTATTGGAGAAAACGGCAGTAACCCAGCGACGCATGCTAGAGAGGCCGATTTTCTTAAACGGTCTTAAAAGAGGGACCCCCCGGTGCCTGCAATCTCTTAAATGGCAATTTAAGCCCCCAAACCTCCTCATTTCTTAAAAGCTCTTAAAAAAAATCCGGCCCTCAGAACCCTAGGGATCCCCTAAGTCAAAAACCAGCCCGCGGAGACGGCGGGAGAGACTCAGAGAGCTCTCACGAGGTGGCTAGTCGTCGCAGGTGGTGGGTGCCGACTGCAGGTGCCGACGTGTGTGCGGCTAGGCAGGCCCACTCTCTTACTTCCTGTCAATTTCCCTCTCTTCAGAGTTCAGTACACGGAAACTGAGGTGTCCGAAATAGCAACCCGACCCCGCGACCGCACACCGACTGGAGGGTCGCAGGACAGCTCGCACACTATGACGGGTTCGTACGCGTCCGACACAGGACACCATAGGCGCTTCAAGCGCTTCTGTAGCGGGCGACCCCAGTGAGTCGCGCCTGGAGAGGCAGCAGAGTGGTCCACAGGTTAAACCTTATGTAGCAGAAGACGAGGTCCATCAGCAACAGCGAGAAGCTGAGGTTGATGATCCAGCCCGAGAGCATCCCCCACCACGCGAACCCCTCCCGCAGGAAGAGGAGGACGCAGAGCACCATGAACCCGATCACCCAGTACTGGAGGATCGTCCACGACATCTGCAGGCTCTCGAGCAGCCCGGCGCTCGCCTGCCAAGCCGCCTGCCGCGCGGCGACAAAGCGAATCACGCGCTTCATCAGCAGCTGCATGCCCTTGGACACGACGAGCGTCCACAGCGAGGAGCGCAGCCCCTGCCAGGAGCCCATCGACACCTTGGGCGTCCGGAACACCGCCTTCCAGTACAGCAGCGCTAGCGTAGAGACGGCGACGGCGAGGATCCGCTCAGTGCGCGTGCGGCCATTGCCGCGAACGACGCATCCCAGCAGCTGGTGGTTGTCTCGCAGGAAGTCGGCCCACCGCACGGGCGGTGGCGCGTGCGCATCCTCGCCCAGCAATACGCTTGTGGAGCCGCGCTCCTGCTGCCGCCACGCGAAGCCGCCCACAGCATACACGAGCAGCACGTCGTGCGCCGCCAGGCCTAATCGCGCCACGGCGAGCCAGAGAACAAGCAGCAGCAGCGCGACGGACGCGACGGCACTGCGCCGGCTCATGTGAATCTAGGGCAGGGCCAAGGGCTGGCACAGCGGCAAGAGCCTCGCCGATAAAAGTCCTCTAAATTCTTTTGCCTAGCTGGGGAATTCCATCTTCAATTTTCAGTGTACATGTACAAGAGGCTCTTACATTCCCGTGGGAGGACTTTGCTGACAGGGTTTGCGATGAGGAGCGATACGAAGGGTTTCTCGGAGGTTAGTGCACCACTAACCGCCGAAGCGCAAGCGCGAGGGCGGCCCAACAGGAGAATCGTGCTTTTTGGGTTGGGTTGGGTTGTGGCCTGGGTTGGGTTGTTCCGCGTAAGGTTGGGTCGTCGGCGCGAAGGGTGAGGCTCGATCGCCGCCGCTCACGCACGGCCACCATCGGTGTTTTTGGCTTGGCCACCGTTCAAAGCGTGCGCAATGCGCTCGCCGGCATCGAGCGAGCACGCCTGTCCGACGAGTGGCTTGCTGTGTGGACGCCTTCTTGTGGCTCTCGCCGAGAGCGTTTTGCGTCCCGGCGGGTGGGAGAATATGTGATAGGAACGAGTGTATCGCTTTGACGGATCGACCGTGCTGTTATCAAGAACTGATGTGACGCACACA